ATTTTCCACCAACATCATCCACATGCACATGCACATCCATCTCTCTTCTTCTTTTCGCTCTCTCTCTTTCAGAAAAAAAAGCAAGTCTTGAAAAAAAAGAACCCATCGATCAAATGGTAACAAGGAGGTGAAAGGAAAAAAAAAAGAGAAAAAAAAGTCGCTTCATGACAAACGCCCTAAACACCTCATGCCAAGTTCCTCGTCTCCTAACATAAATTGTTGGGGAGGAGCTTTTAATCACTATCGCTCAAGCTGTCCCTCCGGCCTACAGCCCTCACACCGCCCCTACGATACCCATCCATGACATCTCTCCCGCGGCGATTCGTCGGCACGCCAACCTGCGAGACGCTCTCCATGGGGTGCACGCTGCCGGCCTGGCTCAAGCCAGGGATATGGCAGGGGTAACTCATATGGCCGTGCGCATCTCCGTTTGCCGTAGTGAAGATATCGGAGGGAGGAGGTGCGGGACGCGAGGAGCGGTGCTGTTTCCTGGGGGACTCCGAGGGGGGACGCGAGCGGGAGCCTGAGGGGCGGGGGCGAGACGAGGAGGATGGGCGAGAGGAGGATGGGCGGGCGGAGCGAGAGGAGCGGTCGCCGCGGTCGGTGGAGGGGCGGGCGGAGCGGGAGCGGGGGGCGTGCTTGTTGGGGTCTGGGTAGAGGGAGGGGTCGGCGTTGGGGCGGTAGTCAGAGTAGTAGCTTGATTCTGTGACTTCGGTGGGGGCAGTGCGAGAGGTCTTTGCGGGGGCTTTGGCAGGGGGAGAGTCAGGGTCGTTGGTGTTGACGCCGGTGTAGACGGTTTCCGTGTCGTCGCCGGTGGTGAAGGAGTAGGCGGCTGAGGGAGGAGCACGACGGGGTCCGTTGGGGCCCTTGCTGGTTCGGGTGGAAGCGCGGGTTGGGGTGTTGTCGACGACAGAGGGAGCGGTGTACTCGGTGTAGGCGCGTGTGTACTCAGACTCAGCTGGGTGGTACTCGATCATGGGTCGGCTGACTTCAGCCATCTCGGGGGCTTCAGAGGGTGCACCGTTCTTCCTGGATCGCTTTTGCTCGTCCTTGAGGCGTTTGGCTTCGGCCTTCTGTTCTTCCTTGCGGGCTTTGGCCTCGGCGGCTTCCTTCTTTGCGGCTTCCTTTTCAGCGGCCTTGGCCTTGCGCATGCGTTCCTTTGCACGTTGTTCCTTGGCCTTGGCCTCCTTCTTGGGGTCCTTTGGTTCTTTTGCTTCTTTCTTGACGAGGGGGACGTTGCTAGAGACTTGGGAGCCGCCGACTTCAGAAGGTTGAGAGCCAGAGTAGTCGGTGTACTTGCCATCGCCGACACGGTTCAGACCACCAACACGGGCAGCCTTCTCCTCGCGGTACTGACGGAGCTCGGGGTCGTTGTAGTCATTGGTGTGGTTGCGGCGGTGCTTCTTGTGCTTGCGTCCGTCACCGCCACGAAGGCCGGCCTCGCCTTTTTCAGCGTCGGTGTAGGCGCTTGCAGTGACGGTAGTTCCAGACTCATCCGTGTAACCAAGATCGCTCTGAGCACCAAAGTAGCTGCCGCCGTGAACAACACTGCCACCACCGAGCCTGGTGCTCTTGGTAGCGTTGGAGAGAGTCTTGCCGTCGGGTCCCTTGCGTCGCAGGACTGTGGATTTGTAGTCTTCCCAGTCACCCTCACGCCATTTGAAGCCGCCATTCTTGGCCCAGAAGAAGAACCAAATGGCCAGAAAGGCCATTCCAATGCCAATGAGAGCGAACAGGGCCTGAAAGCCAGGACCAGCGAGGTCGAGCGGTGGTTTTGCTCCAGCCGAAGCAAGTTGCCTGTACGGGTCCTCACGCTTGGCCAGAGACTTTGCTTGGTGCAAAGCGTTCACAGCCATGGGAGAGAGTGCATCGGCAACAATCTCAGGACGGGGCGCCATGGTGGGCGAGCCGGTAGTGTTTGTGTTCTCACCGATACAAGATGGGTTGTGTCGGACTTGAGAACAGCGAGTGCAACTAGCAACAAAATAGTCAGGCTGATGTTCTAGTAGAAAATAAGGATGGGTAAGTTTGTGTGGTTGTGGAGGTTAGGAGAAGAGCGGTCTTCTCCAGAGACTTTTGGTTTGGCTGGAGAGGCCAGTAGTCGAGTGGCTGGAGCAAATGCAGGTGGTTAGGAGGAGGCTGGGGAAGCGAGCCGACGTCACGCCTCACCCAAACAAACCGTTGATGCAGCAACGGCACGTTCCCTGCCACACCATTGCCACGCGGCAACCAGTAATTGATGAAAATGAGATGAGAACGCCTAGACTGCAGTATCCAGGTACCATCCCGATGCATTGCGCCAATCATGGTTGCAGCCCATGCAGCGGTCGGCTTCGTCGTTGTCACTGGCGACCGCTCTTTCGCAGCGGGTACCACGGCGGCCCATGGCCCCCTGCAGTACTGCAAGGTCCCTCGCAGCAGCCTTACATCTTCCTCTGCCCAACATTTTTTATTTTTGCTACTATTCTGCTACTATGGATTTACTCCAGACATCTCGTGCTAACAGATGCGAAGCCCTGCAGGAGAAGCTCAGGGTCTTGGCGTATCTCACTGTGGCTTGCCCTCCACCTGAATCAAGCCAGTAGCCATGCGCAATGCTAACAGCACGTTGACATGTATATTCCGTCGTCAGTCAGCATGAGAGCATTGTTCTGCTCTTATGGCTTTAAAAGTATTTTTTTTCACCCCGCTAGAAATGTAGATTCTGGATTTGACATGTTTCAAGGCATAGGGCGTGCGACTAGTCATCTAACAGTTTGGTTCGCAGTCCAAGTTGGAATGTGCTCGAACATCAGCCATCTATAAAAAATACCATTTTTCTTAAAACTTATGTGATTTTGAAGAGAAAAAAAAACAAGTCAATTCTTCGAGAAGATTTCAGAAATGGCTACGCAGACGGAGGAGACTATGACTGAAGTCTTTGAACTTCACCAAAGACCCAAGCCCGCATCGATTCCATACACATCAGGACCTCCTGGAGAAACTCCATCAATTAACCATGGCATGTTCGACACCGAATCATCTCTATCACCTCCGTCATCCACCCTCAAACCGACAACACTACGCACCTTCCTCACAATCTTCACGCCATCTTTCGTAGGCTTCATGGCAAGTTTTACCAACGGCATCATCACCGTCGGTCTCCCAATCATAGCGCGCTCCATCTCCCTCGAGAGATCTCTATACCTGTGGCCCTCTTCTGTCTACGGACTGACGTCTGGTGCTGCCTTGCTCACCGCAGGCTCTATTGCCGACATTGTTGGTGCGAGACCCGTTGAACTTACTGGTATCACACTTCTTGGTATTCTCACATTGTTATGCGGATTCGCGCAGTCAGGTGCTCAACTCGTTGTTTTCCGTGCTCTTCAGGGTATTGCACTCGCGATGCACCTTCCAGCTTCTGTGGCCATCATAACGGGGGCTGTGCCATCTGGAAGAGCGAGGAATCTTGGGTTTGCGTGCCTGGGGTTCAGTCAACCACTTGGCTTTGCTGTTGGTCTTGTACTCAGTGGTGTTATGATTGAAAGAGCGGGATGGAGGTCAGGCTTTTACTTGGCTGGAGGATGCACTATAGCTATTGCTGTTGCTGCTCTGTGGACACTGCCAAAACTACCGTCTCAGAACAACGAGGATGTAGTCGCTCTATCGAAGAAGGTGGGCAAGGAGATAGACTGGGTAGGCGCCATTATTTCTAGCGGTGGTTTGGCAATTCTTGCCTACGTTCTAGCGTAAGTCACAGCACTGCTTGATTTATCACTGCCTCATACTTACAACATACAGCATCATCAGCGCAGACCTCACAAGCATTCGTTCAGCCTCGACAGCCTCCCTCCTCGCCATCAGCATCCTCCTCATCGTCGCCTTCCCACTATGGATGCACTACCGCGACCACACCGGCAGGCCAGCTCTCGTCCCCAACAAACTCTGGAAAAATCTCCCTTTCACTAGCACCTGCATCATGGTCGCCCTATCCTACGGCGTCATGAACTCCATCGAGCTGTTCTCCAGCCTCTAGTACGCCACACCACAAATCAACCCTTTATCAACTCAATTGCTAACCACAGAACTAGCTTCCAAGAAATCCAACACGCCTCGACACTAACAACCTCACTCTACCTCCTCCCCAACCTTACCACGGGCGTCCTCATCAACATCCTCGTAGGCCTCTTCATCCACCGCGTCCCCGCCCGCTGGCTCGTCGCCGGCTCAGCCCTCATCTGCGCCTTATCACCTCTCCTCATGGCCCTCGTCCCACCATCCTGGAGCTACTGGAAACTTGCCTTTTGGGCCCAGATCTTCGCGCCGTTTAGCGCAGACGTGCTATTCACCGTCGGCCTCATCATTGTCAGTGATAATTTTCCGGAAAAGACGCAGGCGCTGGCGGGCGCGGTTTTCAACACTGTGGCGCAGTTTGGTATGAGTTTGGGCATGGGGAGTTGTCAGGTTGTGGCGCTGGGAGTGCAGGGTCCTGCTGGTGGTAGTAGTGGGAGTGGGGATGGACATGGAAATGGGCATGGTGGGGGCAGTGCGTTTGAGGATCAGGATGAGGGAGCGGTGCTGAAGGGGTATAGAGCGAGCTATTGGCTCATGTTTGGGTACATGGTGGTGTGCATGGGGATTGCGGTTGTGGGGTTGAGGAAGGCGGGTAAGGTTGGGCTGAAGAAGGAGTGAAAGGACTAGAACAACTGCCTCCATGTACTGTAATTCATTGTATGTACCACCTACCTCGAACGCCTGCCCTTTCAGCACTTTCTCAGCCCACATTCTGACATCGATCCGTACTCGACAGCTACACCCGGTCCCCTCCATCGCCAAAGCGGAAGGTCACATACCGCCTCACCAATCACATTACCATTACCTTTGTTTCCATCTTCCACAGCATACGGGCCCACACATAGAGTATTCCCCGCAAGTCATTCGCACGCCGCGGGCGTAGTCTACATGTTGCGCGTTACCGGAAGTGGCAGTTGGATGGCTTGCCACGGCGCAAATCCCCTGCAGATCACCATCTAGGCGCATAAGGCTTGACACTGGCCACCCAAGCTTATCTCGCAGTAAGCAACGATATTAACCACCTGCCTGCCATAGTCCCCAGTACCTACGCAGATTATGGCAAACCAGCTTCCCGAGCAAGGTTGCTGCCCCGGCCAGCGGCCAAGGCCAGTCGGGCAGGTGTGAGGGAATGGTAGGCTGGCGACGGCCCAATGTGGAATGAAGCCGTCGTACTGCATCGGCGGGGAATGTACTTTTGTCATGAGAGCATTTTATTTTGTTTCGAAGCGTTTTTATATATATTAGAGACGACTGGACCCCAATTGTGTTCTGTCCTCAGGCCACGCTTCTCCCTCTCTTTTCTTTTCTCTTCAATCTTGCAGCCAGCCATGAAGCTCCTCAGCGTCACCCTGGCCTCGCTGGGCCTCGCCTCCGCCGCCACCGTTGCCAAGAAAGTAAACTACGACGACTGGAAAGTCGTCCGTGTCAATGTCGGCACAAACGCTGCTAAGCTCGAGAATGTAATGAGCAAGTTGCAGCTTGAGCTGTGGAAGGGCAAGCCTGCGTCCAGCGATGTCGTCGATGTCATGGTGCCGCCGTCGTCGGTCAAGGACTTTGAGGCTCAGACTCAGGGTTTCGAAACAAAAGTCATGCATGACAATCTTGGCCTTTCTATCGCAGACGAGCAGAGTTTTAGCACATATGCTGGTACGCTTGTTTTCCCGTCCGGTAAATTGAAGAGATGACATGGGAGGGTGCTAACTCTACGTCAGCTGGTCTTGCACCAAACGCGACATGGTTTGACTCTTACCACTCCATTGCCGATCACATGCAATGGCTTACCGATCTTGCGGCTGCATACCCCAAGAACGCGGAAGTTATTTCTGCGGGCAAGTCAGTTGAGGGACGTGATATCAAGGGTATTCATATCTGGGGTAGCGGCGGTAAGGGATCGCAGAAGGGTGTAGTATGGCACGGCACGGTACACGCACGTGAATGGATCACTACAATGGTAAATTACCCGCCTTCAAAGGAAAAGTGAAGGTAAAAAAAAAGAATCATGCTAACCACATTTACAGGTCGTCGAATACGCAGCATACCAGCTCCTCACTTCCACCGACGCCACAACCGCTAGCTTCAAAGACTCCTACGACTTCTACATCTTCCCCATTGTCAACCCTGACGGCTTCGCCTACAGCCAAACCACCGACCGCATGTGGCGCAAGAACCGCCAGACCACTCCCAGTGCCTCGTGCGTAGGCCGGGACATCAACCGTAAGTTCTTCCCCCTCCAAAGCCGCATAAAATATCTAACTCGAAAAAAAGGCAACTGGCCCTCCCACTGGAGCCAAGCCAACGGCGCCTCCACCTCGCCCTGCGACCAAGACTACAAAGGCCCCTCCGCAGGCGACGGCGTAGAAACCAAGGCTCTAAAAGCCCACCTCGACAGCATCGCCGCTGGCAAAGGAATAACTCTCTACATGGACATCCACTCTTACAGCCAACTCTGGATGTATCCCTATGGCTACACCTGCTCTGGTGCTCTCCCCAGTGCCGCAAAGTACTCTTCACTCACAGCCGGTGCAATTGCTGCGGTCAAAGCTGTGCACGGAACTGCGTTCACCGGAGGTCCCATTTGCAATACTATCTATCAGGTTAGTGGCGATAGTGTGGATTATGCGTTTGAGGTTGCGAAAGCGACGTACAGTATGACGGTCGAGTTGAGGGATACGGGCAAGTATGGGTTTGTGCTGCCCAAGGAGCAGATTTTGCCCAGTGCCGAGGAGATGTGGGCTGGATTGAGGTATTTGGTTAAGAACATGTAAGGCGTGGCTAGAGGACGCGAGTAAATAAAAAAAGGGGGGGGGGATGTATATATATGTGTGTGGAGATGTTTGTGGCTTGGGGTTTCTGGGAGATTTTGAGTGGAAGCCTATTGTAGATATTTCTGGGCAAACGAGATTGAAAGAGCGAGAGCTGTTGGCTTTCGAAATGGACTCGAAGAAATTGTGGTGTATCATTCATGACTTTGATGATCCAAGGAGAGTGAGAAAGAAAGAAAAAAAAAGGGGGGGCATGACCATAATATCGCCCAACACACTATGAAGAAAAACCCGAAAAATTTGATTGGGAATAATACTACATACCAAAAAAATATCTACACCTCTCAACGGATATATATAATTTATTGGGGGAAATCGGTAGTAGGCACAACAACTAGATTAGTTACAGTCATGATCAAAGGTAGTGAAATAGCGAACTGCGAACAATAGTTGCAATAAAAGTAATACAATAGTAAACTACGATGATGATAAGACAGCAGCATAAAGGAACTATAATTGCAACAAGGGCACACGGTGCAGCAAAAACGCTCCGATGCCCATAAACTCGCCATATTATCCGTCCATCTGTCCCATCTCACCACCGCCACAAATTCACTTGGAACATCCACTTCAACCTCTCCCTTCCCCTTCATAACTCTTACCCCCCACCCCCCCCATTTCCTCCCTCTCAAGCACCCAATCCCTCCTCCTCCATCTCATATATACTTATTAAAAAAAAGAAAGAACAATGAGTTAATATTTCTCTCGTTTCAAGACACAATCAAGGTTTTGAACAAAGACATGGCAGTGACACTACTGTCTTTGGAAATTGTAACTCAGTTGGGTATTCACGTACCAGAACATCGACAGTACTGGTACCCTGGCCCATTTGTATTATCGGAATAGTCCAAAATTAAGCATAAAACTTCATCTCGTCCATGGAAGGGGTATAGTTTGTTGCTATAGCCATATAATCTGCTACAGCATCTAAGTAAAAAGGGTCTAGTAATTGAGGCACCGCAAGAACAGAACCCTTCATCTCTGCCTAATCCAAGCAATTCTCCTCACACTGTCTTTCCGCCACATGAAATTTCGTCATCGTCAAAGCATCAACTGCGTCAAGGTGCAACGCAATATCTCTCATTGAGCATTGGCAGCCGCAGGTTCAGTAGCATTCTCTCCGCCAGTCTTGGCATTTTCTTCAGACCCTGTAGCAGTAACGCTGGCAAAGTGCACTTTGCGGTCTGCAGCCTCCGAGATCCTTCTAAGCTCGGTGACGAAGGACTCGCCCCACCAGGCACTACGAATGGTTAGGTTTAGCTTAATATATATTTAGTTGGAAGACTCACCTGGTGTATTTGCGGACGTATTTTGAGAGCTTCTGGTAGTTCAAGCTACGTTGTTCGTCGCCCATTGTGACTGCATCATGGATTGCATCCGCCAGCTCTTCAGTGTTCCATGGGTTGACAATGAGACTGCCATTCAAGCTCTGAGCAGCACCAGTGAACTCGGAGAGAATCATGACGCCATGACGCTTCTCTTGTGTCGCAATATACTCGTAGGAGACCAAGTTCATACCGTCGCGCGTTGAAGAAACGAGGCAGACGTCTGAAACGGCATATAGTGCGATGAGCTCGTCGAAAGAGACAGACTTGTGCATGAAGTGGATTGGCATGAACTCAATGGTGCCAAACTTGCCGTTGATGCGACCAACAAGTTCATTGACGACAGCCCGAAGATTTTGGTACTCTTCAACATCTTGTCTGGAGGGAACAGCGACCTGGACAAGTACGACTTTGCCAATCCATTCGGGGTGTTCGGTGAGGAATACTTCGAGAGCATGCAACTTCTGTGGTACACCCTTGATGTAGTCAAGACGGTCAACACCAACAATCAGCTTCACGCCTTGGAACTTCTTCTCGAGAGCCGCTATCCGCTCCTGGACCTTTGGCTTCTGGAGACCTTCATCGAACTTCTCTGGATCGATACCGATGGGGAAAGCGCCCACGGTTACGACCTTGCCTTGGAACTCGACACCATTTGGAGTCGTAGCCAGACCGCTTCTGCATGTTAGCACAATTTTTAAATTTACACCGAGAAGATACGTACAGAATGCGAGAGCAACTGCTGAGGAAGTGGCGGGCATAGTCGTAGGTGTGGAAGCCAATGAGATCGCAGTGGAGGACACCAAGCAAGATCTCGTTACGGACAGGAAGGATTCGGTAAATCTCGGAGCTGGGGAAGGGAGTGTGCAGGAAGAAGCCAATCTTGACGTTCTTCTTTGTGTCGCCAAGCTCTTCTCGTAGCATAGACGGCATGAGCATCAGGTGGTAATCGTGCACCCAGACCATGTCGTTATCTTGTACGTCTTTTGCGACAGCCTTCGCAAACAGACGGTTGGCTTCAGTGTATGCATCCCAGGCAGATTCGTCAAAGGTGATCTCACCGGGGTGGTAGTGGAAGAGCGGCCACATGATTTCGTCTGTGTATGGTTAGTATTGGCAGTTGTGCAGCTCGCCAGTGTGGTCTCACTTGAGAAGCCGTTGTAGTGTCGGTCTGCGAGTTCGTCGTCGAGCATGACAGGTACGGCATTGTACTTCTCCTTAAGCTGGTCGTTCAGGCCCTTGGCCTCGTCTTCTGGTACCTCGAGTCCGGGCCAGCCATACCACTGGAAGGTCGTTGTCTTTGCCAGACCGCTCAGGCCACTGACCAGTCCACCGGAGGACATGGACATATCGTACTTGCCCTCATCGGAGCGCTTGATAGTGATAGGAAGTCGGTTGGAGACAAGGAGGAGGCGTCCTTCCGAGGCCTCGGGCCTTACAAGCCGTGTGGGTTCGTCGGGCATCTTTGCGAAGTTTGCGCAAGAGCTGTGTGGAGGGGCAGTGGACTGAAGGAGGGACTAGATGGTCCGATTGCTGGAGACGGAGGTTTATTTACAGCTGGGATAATCAGGCGAGGTCAGCACAGCAAGCGTGCGGGACAGGTTGTGACGGCGACAGGTGAGGGGTGTGACGAGTGCTCGCAGGCGCAAGAGGGGAGGGATCAGTGTTTTTCAGCCGCGGTGTTGGGGTGACGAAAGTATGATAATAAACAGGGCCCGCTGAGAGCAAGTGGGTTCTCGTAGGTTCCGAGCTCTGGCTCCTACATATACTTTTCTACCTACCGTACCGATGGAGAGACGGTGGGCGACAGGGCCCGATGCAGGCGGAACAGGGACCAAGGATGAACGAGACTAGGGCTCTAGGGCGGTGTGGATAGCGGGCAATGGGAGAAGAATCAGATGAGGCTGGTAGAGTGGGATTGTCCAAAGCTGCGAGCGTTTGTGACGTCGGCCGTGGAGCTGCCCGCCGCGTGGGCGGGGCATCCCTACATAAATACAGAGCGTGGCTAGTCCTGCCGCCCAACAAATGCCGCCTTTGCCTGGAATCTGCAAAAGGATGAGGGAATTGTCACGGGCTGCGTGCCATATTTCTATCGTGTCTGTCTACGCAAAAAACAATTGACCAGCGCATTGGGTGGTCTTGGGGCCTGCCAGCCAAAGTGTCTCGCAGCAACATCTGCTGCGGGGCTGCCTGATGCGAATTGACACAATTCCATGTCTCCGCCATGTCACGTGCACCGACCATGCCAGACTAGGCCATAAGCTGCCGTCAAGCTCCCGCGCCTTGTCGCGTCCATCCTATCGGCGATCATCCAACATCACCACCAACCACAGCCAGTCCATCATGTCGGATTCAGAGGGCGGAAAGCCTTCCGAGGCAACAATCACCAGCAAGCTGCGCGACATTGTCATCGCCATCCACAAGTCTGGCAAGACGGATGACTTGACCGTCAAGCGCGTTCGGGCGCGCGCCGAGAAGGAGCTAGGCCTAGACGAGGGCTTCTTCAAGACCGACGCGAGCTGGAAGGAGAAGTCGCAAAAGACAATTGTAGATGCAGTGGTCGGTAACAGCAGTGGCCGTAGCATTGACCCATCTAAGACGCAATCTAGGACAAGTTCTGTAGTGATGAGCCCTCACCGAAGCCCACTCCCAAGAAGGCCGCACCCAAGCCGAAAGCGAAGCCTGCCCCAAAGAAATCCAAGCCTGCTACCGAGAGCCCTCGCGGTGTAAAGCGAAAAGCTGCTGCGCCTGCGAAGAAGCCAAAGAAGCGCGCCAAATCTGAATCTGAAGAGTCCGAGGCCGACCTTTCGGAGCCTCCTGCTGAGATATCTGACGCTGAAAGCGAACCACCAAAGAAGCCTGTACGGCGCGGTAAAAAGGTTGTCGCAGAGGACTCGGACGAAGAGGACGCGCCCAAGCCATCGTCAAAGCCCAGAGCCGCCGCCGCTGATGATGACGATGAGACAGAGCCTGCACCCCCAAAGCCGTCAGACACAAAGGGAGACGTGTCCGACAGTGACCTTTCAAGTGTCATTGACGAGGAACCCGTCAAGAAGAAGAAAAAGACTCCAGCGGCAAAAGGCAAGAAAGAAAAGGCTCCACCAAAAGCGAAAGCAGCACCCAAGGCCAAGGCCGAGGATGACCCCGATACTGCAGAGGTTAAGCGCCTACAAGGTTGGTTGGTCAAATGTGGCATCCGCAAGGTCTGGTCTCGCGACCCAGAACTCTCAAAATGCGACACATCCAAAGACAAGATTCGCGTCCTCAAAGGTTGGCTGAAAGACGTCGGTATGGATGGCAAGTATTCCAACGAAAAGGCTGCAAAGATCAAGGAGAAGAGGGAATTTGCGAAAGATCTCGAGGCTATTCAAGAGGGTGAGCTAGCGTGGGGAAAGACAAACGAGGTCACAGCCACTGGAAGGCCAAGTCGGAGAGCTGCTGCAAAGCCAGTGCCCCAACAAAAGGTTGTGCTTGAAGACGACAGTGAAGAAGAGGATGCTCCTGAAGGTGATGACGACGATGACGATGATGATGTTGAAGTTGACGACGGCGATGATGACGACGGCGATAAGAGCGAGGATAGTGTAGGCGACGACTCGGAGTAATCATTCTTCCTGTGTTCTCTTTTTCAGCTCGTCATACAAGTAGCTTAACCACCCCTCCTTCTCAGCGTGTTCGTTTATTGATACCCACGAACCAAATCTCAGATATTCCTTTTCAAGCATCTAATCTTCAATGTTGCATGTTAGATACTGTGCTTTTGCCTACAAGGAAAACGATTGAGAGAAGATACATGTGTAGGAATGCTGGACGATCAACTCTGCAAGTAGCGGGTCGTCTCAGTTCATCCTAACCACTGGTTAGTGAGATCCTCATTGGGATTAGTCGCCCATTTTACCTCCGAACATGCCGCTATCAAGAGCCATGCTCATCTTGTTACTTGGAAATCCAATGCGGTTCATAATACATTTGCTGGTATCGAAACCCTCTTCAGAGTCACTCAACATTATTCCAGTTCGTCTCGAGAATCGCTAGTATCCCTTCTTAGCGATGCGTGGTGTGAGGTTCAATGGGAAGGAGCTCATAAGGTTCCCACGTGCGTTGAGGCATTTATGACACTCGTTGCGCCCACTTGACTCTCAATCTTTCAGCTGCCAACACATCAAATGCATGGCATCACTTCCACACTTTATTTCAACACACCCAAGACGAATCAACCAACGATTAGTAATCCTGATCGACCTCATTCTATGAGACTTGGATCATTTGATGTTCAATAACGGATAATGACATTACGCATGATCCAACTACTAAGAGAACAATCCGTCTTTCAGAAGGTAACCGTTAAACAACCTAAGCAGATCATACACTCTTACACTCTAGATTCCTCTTCCCGGCGTCCTAACGCGTTAGGATCGATGTTTTCGGTCTCTTCGTATGTAACACCATCCTCGTCCTTGATCCCTGTAACTTGCGTGACAATTTTGGCTGCCCAAGTGTCACAGCTGACATTGACAGCCGTCCTGAAGCGATCCAAGAACCAATCAATTGCAATGACGACTGCATACATTCCAGTGATTGGTACACCAACACTTGTGGCAATCATGACTACAAGAACCAGACTGGAACTCGGAATCGGCGTCGTTCCGATAGAAGCAAGGGTCGAAAGTAGGATAATGATGATGTAGTCAGCAGCATTCAAGGTAATGCCTTGAGTTGCAGCCAGGAAAACAACTACGATTGGGAAGTAAATCGCAGTACCATCCATGTTGATCAAACAGCCAAGTGGAACGGAAAATTTGGTAACTACGAAACGTTAACGGGTGGCAGTCGAACAAATTGATCACGTGAACTGACCTGTAACGGGAACACCCTGCTTTAGTACACAACGAATAGTGACGGGCAAAGTAGCAGCGCTTGATGCAGTGCCCCAAGCGGTGATCCAGGCAGGGCTCATCTTGAACCAGAATGTGTACGGGTTGCTCCTGGTAAAGATGAAGAAGAGGATAGGAATGAGAATGAACATATGAATGAACATGCCGCATAGCGTTCCTCCAATGAGTATACCCAGGTTTGTACCAATCTCAGCAATGTCGAGGCGGAAAAGGTTGGGCATGATAAGGAAGAAGACACCAATGGGCGCCAAATGAATCAGGACAGTGATCACTCTGAGGATTATGACTTCGACTTCCTCGACCGCTCGGTAAATGGCACCTCCTGGCTTAATGACATATCCGAGGACGATAGCTGTGATCAGCACTGAGAGAAGGGCATCGGTGGCCAAGGCGTTGACAATGTTGTTGGGGACAAGGGAATAGAACATGTCAACGACAACATCGTGGATCGCCGTGTCCTTCCTCTCGTCGACGAGCTCCTGGTCCTCTTCAGACACCTCCAATGCACTGCCAGACACAACATTAAACAGTTTGCTCCAGACTAGACCTACTAGCAGAGCAGAATGTGCAACAGCTAGAATGGTAGTAAGGACGTAATATCCAACAGTCCAGCGAGCGAGTTTGCCGGCCGCACCACCTCCTTGGGTCATGTTTCGTAAGCGCTGGACAGCCATGATCATAGCAGTGACAATCATGGGAAGTACTGTATCTGTTAGATCGCCAGATTCGGCCCACATAACTATCATGTCACATACCAACTGCTCGCAAGGCACGCAACCAAAGGTTCCCGGGGACGGCGAGAAGAACAATTGCTGCTTCGGGTACTTCGTCGACAGTGGTAGTAACGGCGAGACCAATGGCAATGGCCAAAATAGCGGCGAAGATGATCTGCCATACCGAGCCTGGAGTCTTCACTCTCTGCCAGAACGTCTTCTTCTCCTCGACTGCGACAGCTGTCGTTGGCATGGTGTTGGCAGAAGGTGAGCTGTTGCTGCTCGCAGCACGCTCCATCTCGTCCGTTTTGGACTCGAGCTCGCCCATTGCAGACGATGTATGGCAATACGTCAGGAGATGGACAAGTTTTCGTTTTCCGTGAGAGGGGTGAGAAACAACAATCACCTGGAATCTCACGCTGAACCTGTGCTACTACACGTACATATTATACAACGAACCCCGCCCTTCAGCTGCTCCGTGCATCATCCTGTGGCGAGGTAACCAAGAGATAACGATTCTGTTACCAATAATCCGGAATGACACCGTGCTCTCGCACCGCCTTCGTCCCTGAGTATCCTCAACCTATCACACGGAGCCAACTATCTTTGACCATGACATCTCATTCGCTCTGGGCGGACACAAGTCTTGAGTGGATAAGCAGGTGTAGTGCTAGCAGATTCCTCCCAACACTCGGACATGAAATTTGAGTCTTGGAGTTGTTGGCAGTGTTGGCAACTATTGCACGCAGGGAAGTTTACAAGCAAAGTGATGTGCCGGCTCCCGACTCGGCCAACAAGGATCGGCTAGACGGCGCCCCATGCCAAGTGCTCATATCACTATGTTCGCTAGATCGAAACCATGCGATTGGATTGCGCTTGGACTAAAGAGCTTTGTGGAGTATGGGAAAGTAAGATGCTGTAGAGGAGCGTAGTGCCTTGGTCTTTTGTCGCGTGCCGGGTGCAGCTTGGCTGGTGGACTGAACGGCTTGGCAATGACTCTGGCTCGCGTACTATGGCGCATGCTAAGATGAACGTTATCATAAGAAAATACTGGAAAGGACCAGCTCAGGCAGAATCGAGGTCACAAGCCGCGGCGCTGCGTTGGATACGGGCATTGGCGAAATCAGCCTCGAGGCGCTTCAAGGCAGGACGCCATACGACACAGACCGGTCACCTCCTTGAATAAGCAAGTGGGAATGACTTTCGTAGGCATTTCTTTTGAGACATAAGACATGTTGAATCCAGAATTTGCCTAGGAATAGACTAGAGTACCTGGGTATCGATGCATCTGCATGCAGTCCGGGGTTGGCCAGCGGTACCCAGGTGCCAGGTCAGTCAGAATTCAGAAGCAATAACCGTAGCTTCTTTTGACTGGGGTCTAGACTTCTAGGGATAGCCGCGGAACGAGGTCAAATAACAAGGCTTCTCGCCGTGGTATTGCATCTGATGCTTGAAGGGTTAGACTTGGTGCATCGAAGGCCAAGGTTGTGCCTGGCAAGCAGCTTCGACAAAGATTCCAGAAGCGCATTTGCGCCAGCACCTGATCAACCCTCAGTCAACTAATTGGCTCTTAGTGTTTACCACGACTGTGGTACGAGCCTATCTACTAACAAGCCAAATAGCGAGTATACCTTCTCAATATCAGGTAACTGCTGATTTTCACTTTTCCGACTCGCTGACTCAGTCCACATAGATGTACAAATATGCTCTTCTATCTCCCACGCAATACTTTCTAAATGCATACAAATAAAGGCTAACTTTATCGAGAGAAACCCTCAAGCTTTTATCTCAAAGAAAGTCCGGAGCTCTTGACATCTGCAGGGTATGCTTTCACACTAAGTTTACAATTCAGATTAGAAAGTTTCCGTTTCCAGAAAAATACTGCCACAGCTCCTTTTTCAGTCAATAACAATCGATCATGATCGCGCGTCTATCAGCGCCATTATTGCCACTGGGCTACTTAACATTCGGGGAACCTCGTGTTCTCTTATATTCGGAAGAGTTCCCAATCCAAATCAGCCGCATCAAACTCCAGGAAATGAAACTCGGCTCCACGGACGTTGGCTGCCGGTTTAGAAACTACGGGATAAAGACTAGAGAGCTCATGTCGGGGCTTCTCTGGCTTGAGCTGCTTATCGCACATGACGGCAACAAGACACAGCATCAAATCCGCAAGGTATCTCATCTTTGTATGACTTGAGGTATCATCGATTGATAGGGCATTATTTTCTGCTCTGTGGTACCTGAAATATGCGTATTTGGTTTATATCAGGTCGGTTTCAAGAAGTATGGACCCTACATGGAGAAGACTGATTTAAATTTATACTCAACATCTGGAGCACCGATCCGGAAGGATTTCCTCAATCAGAAGAACAGTATGGCGTATCAAGCACTGTTCGAAAGGGCCACGTGGTTGGTCGAGACCATCTCTGTGCAATTGATTTGTAATACCAGCTTGACTCCTAGTGAACAAGTTTCGTGCTTTTTATCTCACCAACATCATAGATTGTGCGTCCATACGATTGTCGAGGTAAGTTGTTTTCCATCATATGTCAGCAGAAACTGGCTCGTGTGTGCCCGTGGGGAACGTATCTCCGCCAGCCATCGCATTCAGTGTTACATGCGACTGCATCAAGCCAATGGAGTTGACACTTCCTGTTGCAACATATCATTTTTCTTTTGAAACCAAAGCAACACGACGTTGTTTCTTCTCGCAATTCCGTTATGGGGCGCAAAAGAGCGTGCCCATTGGCTGTCGGGCTTAGCATCACGGAAGCCGGATTATGATTCTTGATCCGATCCGACCTCACTTGCTCACATAAAAAGCGACCACGTACCGACTTAAAACATCAACAACGACATACAGCAAATTCTAAATTCCAATTTACACATCAATTGACCAAAATATCTCAATAAATTCAATTCCTCCACCAAAAATGCCTCAATTCAAAGTAGCAATCTACCTGTACCCCCAAGTCGACCTCCTCGACTTCTCCGGACCCGCAGAAATCTACAGCTACCGCGACACCCTAGACAAAAACGCCACCTTCCCCTTCGACGTAACATCCTTTGCGCACTCCAGCCCTGTCGTCTCTGCCTCGCCCGCCCTGGTATACCAGCCTAGCAAAACTTTTGCCGAAATCGCCGACCAAATCACAGACTACGACATTCTCGTCATCCCCGGGTCCCACGACAAAATTGTCACGGATCTGATTGCCACAGAGCCCGGCAAGCAGGTCATCTCGCTGATTCAAAAGTTTGCCGCTGCGAAACCGCGTGCGGAGACGGGGAAGCGGTTCCTCCAGTCCGTATGCACGGGTTCACTCTTACTCGCTGCATCGGGTGTTCTTACGGGCCGCACGGCGACGACGCATCATCTTAGCTATGAGTTGCTGAAGACGATTGCGGATGAGGCTGCGGGCGGCGAGTCGAAAGTTAATGTTGCGAGGCAGCGGTATGTGGATGCGGGTACGACGGATGGTGGCGTGCGCATTGTGACTGCTGGCGGTGTGAGCTCGGGTATCGATGCTACGATTCATATCGTTGGGGAGCTTTTTGGGCAGGAGAGGGCGGATTGGGTGGCAGAGGTTGCGGAGTTTGAGAGGAGGGAGAAGGGGTGGGGGGTTTGAAGGAGTGGAGTGAGTGTGGAGTCGGAAATCTTCGGTTTTGTTGGTTGACTAAAGCTGTGTATCTGATTTAGGTGAAAAGAAAAAAAACATGTATGGTATTCAGTGAATGCAAAAGTTGACTTGACGGCGATGTGTTGATTTTTGAGTGAATGAAACCTTGCATAGTGATTGGTCAAGACTTGAGTTCTCTACTCCTTTCGCTCTTTGATACACTCAAGAGATTTTTCTTAGTAATTTATTAACAAGGGAAGTCTATGAGAATGTTTAGATTCACCCTGCTAAGTTTTATTTCGCTTTGTTATCGCTAGCTGGGTAGAGTGGAGAATAGCGTCATGTGATACCTGATCTACTTCTTGCTCTAGCTGGAAGAAGTGACTTCCATCAAGGCCATGCTGACAATATTCCAATGTTGTGATGACAATCGCGTGCAATTTGAATAGGCAGCCACCCAAAGCTCAGACGCAAAACGCCGTGGTTACCACAGTTCACTCCTTCCGAAACCGTGACATAGTGAACACCAACTTCCTATCAAATTAGTCCCCGAGGCAAGCAATAGCGATGAAAGGCACACTCCTACCTTTTTATTCACTTCTATTTCATTCGCTTGCACACAGTATAAAATTTCATCTTTTTTTCGACTTGAAACCAAAACACAACTCCGACTTCATCTACCAACAACCCAATCTTCAACCAGCGAGATAACGATGCCGTGCATCTCCCTTCCCTTTCGAAAACGTCCTAATCCCAAAGACCCTTCTGCAGGTTTCCCAAAAGCCCACAAGTATGACGGCCCGCTCCAGGAAGGCTCACAAGGCTGCGTGGAGCAATGGACGCATATCCCAACCAACACCGTTATTGCAGTAAAGGTAATGGCCCGTACCCACCCACCTTCCCCTGAGATCAAAATCCTCAGCAAGTTGCCTTCCCACGACTGCATTGTGAGATACCTCGGCCACTACGAGAAAGTACCATCTCCAACTCAAGTATCGATCCTCCTCGAACACTGTTCCGTCGGAGACCTCTACATGCTCCGAAGCCTAAGTATCGATCAACACAAACCCACCTTCTCCGAGCCCTTCATGTGGTCCACCTACACCCAACTCCTCAGCGCTCTCGCCTTCCTCCACCACGGCATCTCCCCCACGCACCCCTCGGGCCGCCACCCCTGGACACCCATCGTCCACCGGGACTTGAAATTCGAAAATATCCTCGTCAAATCCATCGGTTCCGCCCCGGACTGGTCGTCTCTCGACATCAAACTCGCAGACTTCGGTATGGCAGGCTACCACAACCCGGCGCACCCAAATCCCTCTGGTTACATCGGCACAACGTACTACTGGCCGCCCGAGGTGACGTGGGAAACGAAACAGCTTTCACCGGCCAGCGACGTCTGGGGTATCGCAGCCATAATGCACGAGCTAGCGCATAACTTCCCACCGATCGTCGATCCCGCAGTCGTAGAAGCGCAATGGTTCAAAACTAACACCGACACTCCCTTCTTAACCGCATACTCAGACTCGCAAAAAAAGAACTACTGGGCCGCCAAGGCACCTCGACGCGTTACCCCGATTAACCTTGACCCTCTCGCCGACGTACCAAGTTTGCGCGACCCGGAGTTGGGAGGGGAAGATAAAACGGCGCTTTGGTTTCGGCGGCGGAGACCGAGTCCGAAGTATTCGAATCGGTTGAATGAGTGTGTGCTGAAGGGTTTGGAGACGGTGGAGCGGCGGGCAAGTGCGGGCGTGTTGTTGGGGGTGGTGCAGGAAGGGTATAAGGAGGTTTTGGGAGAGAGGCTGAGGGAGCGGAGGATGGAGAGGAACTGAAGGTTCATATCATGGAGAGAGACCGAAGCTCCGGAGGAAGAGAACCGATCAAGGTAAGAAGTGATTTGGGGAATTAGGGAGGGGACTATGATTTGGGCAGGATCTCTTCTTGGCAACACATGGTCTCTGGAAACAAAAATACTGGGTTGTTGAAGGGCCACATGGGCATTGGAGATTCTCTTTTTTTTGGATCATGGATGGAGTTGTTCAGCACGTTTCCTTTGCTGGTCATTGTAGCATGTCTCGTTTGTGTAACATTAGTCTTGAAGAACACTTCCTCAACAACGTGCAGGTTCTACTGTCTATTTCGCCTTTGATTTTGTCCAAGTCACTTGTCATGAAAGCAAAGCCTCGAACAACGTGCGAAATCTGAACACAACGATCCCGTAGAGTTATTATACCTCAAGCAATACAGCCAGCACTTTCATCCTCCTATTCGCAGCGTACATTCATGTTCGATCGACACATTCCTCACCATCGATACGTACACATCAACCCACTCACGCCCATCAAGCTACATGCTCATCTCCGCGCTATCCCATACGGGTCACTCCCCATATCATCCCAATTGCTTGTTCGTGATATACTGATGACTGAACATGTTTGATTTGGGCTGGAGTCGGTGCTGCAGTTCGCAGTTCGCAGTGGGGATGTTGGGGTTACGTGTAACTTTATGCAGATCCTCCTACTACTGGAATGGGTCGGTTCTTCAGGGTCACTATGCTTTGTGAACACAGTATGATACAGAATAGGCTACAGTGGTTTGTTTATCTGGTACAACTAGTATATGGGTTGATGTGAAGGAAACTCTTATAGTCGTATGCCTCGAAACAGCACATGGAATTTCTGGACACCGGATAAGTGTGTTTGGTACGTGGCCATGCAGCGATCTACACATGGGATTTCTCTGTCATATCCGTTCCGGACAGACGCCGTGGTTCCGCGTTTAGAGCTCCTACCTGAATGGAGGTTTAATCGTCGGGGTATCCAGAAGGATACATTTATGGGTTTCCCATGGGACGCTGGAATTATTCGCAACAGCTCATCCGTTAGCAGAGATAGCGAGGGATTGCGTGTCCTGAGTGGCGATTTCGTCGTTGCGCAAAACTCTATCACCACACACTGGAAATGCTCGAGGCATGGCGTGATTGCACAACTGAGACACTCTATAAGGGCTACGCAAATTGGAAGACAGGGTGGAGCCACGAACAGCGCGCATCCTTCGAGTACGTTCGCGATGACTCCAACAAGACACCAGAAACAATCGACGGCATACTGTGTGATGTTGCAATGAGCTTTCCTGGTTTCCATAAATTCGTGTTGAATCACTCAACCTGGAACGAAGACATCTCTGACTGCAACGGTAACATGATCCGGTATTACGCAAATAGAAGGGCACATGCTAGGGAAGCCGGTGGGGCCAGTGCAATACAAGTCTTGAGCACAGTATTGCAGCAGCAGCTCTTGGGTCACAAGCGCATGCTCTGGTATAGCGAACCCTGGCTTAACGCTCCGCCGTCTAAGATTTTGCAGTCAGCTGTAGAAGAGGGTGAAAAGGAGGAGCCTCCAAGATTGAGTGGCCTCCTCGTGGAAGAATTATGAAATGTGGTCACCGGATGAACTTGAAAGAGTCTTCCAATCCTGCTTTTACGCATCCTAGACATCTGGCGCTTGCTTATCCCGAAAACCGGGATACGCGTATCAAGAGGTACCTGAGTTAATGTTAACAAAAAGACCATTAAATCATCTAATGATACAATGTTCTTTTTTTGCTAAATATCAGAGCTATCTTCTACTCGCGCATGGTGTCTTAAGCCCACTACAGCTTCGCACATCCGGGCTAGTATACACAAACCACAACATGCGCGAAAGTTGAGCGGGACTTCGAGACACTCGGTTCAAGTGTAATGTGGGATCGTCATGTGTGGATGGAAATTTCAGATTGGTTAATCAAGATTGGAACGTACCTACGTCTATAGAATCTCGCGACACGGTCCATGTTTTTATCCACGTTCTTAGGCGTTAGATCAGTTGAAGTCAGTTTGTGGTGGGTAAAGCTGAGAGGCAGGAGATGACGGGAACAAATAAGCTCGGGAAAGGGGAGCTCAACCGAGCGATTATGTCAGCTAGTACTAGTGCGCTTGGACATGCACGCGTCACCAAACACTCTCCTTCTCTGTCCATGGACTTTCAACGATTATATTCTGTTATTCATTGGCTCATGAACCGTTATTGAACCTCAAACCCATTGTTTACAGAATTTCCTCTGGCTTAACTACGACCCAGTTCTTGTCTGCGGTGACCTCCCGTCCGTTGGCAATCTGCGCCAGAGTATTGTTCTTGATCTCCTCTTGCAGCTGCTTAAAGTACGAATCCTTGCGATTGATCCACAGATGAATGCCACCCTTCGAGACATCTACACCGTGGAACTGCATATAAGAGTCGCTTCCGGGAGTATCGCCACCGACCAAGATCGGACGCTTCCATTGATCGATGTAGGTCAGGATACCAGCCCATTTACCCGCGTACCAGGTGGCTGGGGTCCAGAGGTAAGGAGTCACAACCAGGTCAAGATTGGCAGTTTCGTTGTATGTGCCTGCAGTGATTTGCTCCCGTGCGTTCGTGACCGCACCTGATGTTGTGTTCTTGAGGACCGTGGTAACGCCGATAACATTCTCGGGTGGGACATTGTATCCGTACTTTGGATCGCTTGCCACCATGCGTACAAGCTCCTCATGCGAGGCACTCATGATGTAGACGGCAATGCCATTTTCCATGAGCGCATTGTATAGTTCCGCCTGGCCCCGGAAAACTTGGGGCGTATGAACGCTGCTGGAAATGACTTCATCGCCATCCCAGTATTTCGTAGGGATGGTCGAGTTGTACGCCATTAGCTCGTCGACGTAGCCCTTCAGCTCGCGAAGTGTGAAGCCAGACCACACTTGCGCCGCCCATGGATAGCAAAGGAATGTGTCAATGTCACACAGACGGTTGTAATAGCTGAAAAGCGATTCTGTGAAATTCGCCGTATCCTTGAAATCAACCAGCTTTAGGCTAGGATCCAAGTTTTCGCGCTTGAGGATACCGCGGTTCTCGAGGAAGGGAAGAAGCGACTCCTCGATGTCGTAGCGCCAACTCGTGTTGTCCATGTCGAACACCGCATAGTTGCTCTGGTTTGCGTTGCGCGCAATCATAGTATTTAGCGCTTTGGCAGCATCGGCAGGCCAGTGCTTGAGTTGAGTTTTATGATGAGCGCCATAATAAGGCGTTGCTGCGCCGAAAGAACTAGCAAATGCCAGCCACAGGGCTGTATTGAGGGTTGAAGTGCGCATTCTTTGTTTCAATGATGGATGTTCCTGGGTCCCAAAAAAGTGAGCGACTGGGAAAGTGAGCAAAAGAGAATGCAGGAACCCGATTTTCCGGAGAATTGGACAATTAATACTGGGAAGCTGTCAACATTCTGTTCGGGTACATGGAGTCCGCCAACCACGGGTGCTGCTGCCGATAAGGGAGCCCGGTCCCACGTCCGCGACTCAAAGTCGGCCCTACTAATTTGAAATTTTGCTGATCGCGCTATCTCGATTTTCAGAACAAAATATCAACGTCCGGCTTGAAGAAGCAAGTGCTCGCGTGACCTCATGCACAATGACGTGCGTGTGGGGTGTATCGACGCGTCTGTATTGTCGGTACGCATGCAGCTATTCAAGGGGTACATGCCTCCTCTCCACGACTAATTGAATAGGGAATAGTACACACAGCTCCATCGTGAATACAGTGTACATATTTTGAAGGGAACCCATGTTGAAGCAATACTACTACCATATCCAGTAAGGCAGCCGAGACACTACGATTCGCTCCAACACCGGCCCATATCGGGAGCTATATTCCCATGGTCTCCCAATCAGCAATAGCACTGCCGCACACCGGTCTTTATCCTGACCGGTAAGATTTTCGTATCTCTTTTCCTCATTCAGGTACAACGAGCTAGCCATTCAGGCAACATGTGCCTGAAGGGGAGCTCATCTAGCAGCAAATGTCTATAACAAGCAAACCACCACAGGATAACGCCAAACATATAGAAACCAAAAACTAGCATGGGATTAGAGCGAAGACGCTCGTAGGCAGCCTCCGGACCCGTCATTCCCATATAATAATAGGCAAGCCATACGGGGCCCAAAGCAAGACACAGGTAGATGAGAGCAAGCGCCACAAGGGGCAGTGCGGGTAATATGATGATAGAAGCGAGAATAGTGAGCAACCAAACAAATAGGGTATCCTGCCATTCCTGATTTTTCGGTAGCACAGCTGGTGTAGCAGTGGGTGCATCGTCAAGAGAAGCGTCGTCTTTAGTTTCCATCTCTCCAGATGGTTGTGCTGGACTCCTCTCTTCTTTACTCTCAACCACATCAGCCGTCGAACGCGAAAGTGATTGATCTACCAGGCTTTGTGCAGGCAATGGAGTCTTCTCCCTCTCCATATGCCTTCCGATGTCTTCAAAGGCTCTGTTGAGGCCATGTCTGGAAAATCCCGATGAAGGATCTTGCTGCGACTCGGGAGCCTGTACTGGAGGTCCTGGTGCGGGTCTCATAGGCCCCTCTGATTTCTGGGGAGTTCTGGCAGACATAATATCGCTAAAATGCCTTGATCGTTGTGGCATAGGCATACCAATTCCATCCATTGCTTTCCCAGTCTTTTCCATTGCTACCCTCACAAGGCCCTCCCATGAAAGTACCAATAACCGATGATTAATTTTGAGAAGATGATTGGTACGTTGACCCGGGTATTTTCTACAGGTTTCTTGGATGCATTGATACACAAAATCCGGATACGTCGGCAGAGCGACTGGTAGGATATGATCCACCTCGTACATCTGTATGATGGTGAATCCCATCTTTTCTAGTGTCTTTACAAGAATTTCCATTCCCAAGGTAATAGGATCCTTCTCTGGTGTGCCTGTTGTGGTAGTCAAAACTTGAGCAACAGCAATCTGAAGGGACAGTGCTTCGTCATCTTCCCGCAGTGGATCCACATGGTACTTGGCAACCGCACTAGATCCCAATGTATGAGCTACATGCTCCATCTTTTTTAAGAATCGTAACCTCGGGTCATCAGGCTTGTCGCTGACCGTTTTCATCGAATAAAGTCCTCGTGTCAGACACGGATATTCCAGATAGAATTCCAGCGCCTTTCGAAGTGCTGACTTCGACTTGAAAACCAACTGATCAATCTTGTATGCTTGGTCTAGCATCACCATGTTGATTTTCTGAGCATGATTACTCTCGAGGCGAAAAAAAATAAAGTCGAATTTGTCGTTCATTCTCGGCTCTCCATCAGCACCTTCAGCCAGCTCGATCCGCCCATTTCTCACAGTAGTGTAAGAATTTCGAGCTTTTGCGATGGGGAGATCCTCGAGCAAGGATGTTGCGTGCTCTGGATCTGTGTGCACCGACGCAATCGCAGCCAGCATGTCTAATTTCTGCTCACGGAACCCTGGAAAAAGGTCTTCGAGCGGCTCTGGCATATCATTACTACGGAAAACGATAGCGAGTCGAGGTGAGATGACTGTCAGTAGGTGAAACTCAGTGTAGACTGTTTGTTTTTCTTCGCCCGTGAACCTGTCCACAGTGTAACTAACAGGCCCTTCATGAATGCTGAACGCATTTTCTGTTAAAATGAATTCTTCCTGGGGGTCCGAAGGCGTAACAAAAGCCATATACATAGATCGAATGTTGGTGGCGAGCCAGTGCGCATCAGGGGGGTAAATTGTTCCAGCAAGTTCCCACGCCCAATGACCGGCGGGATCCATGGGTGTGTCGATGATCTTTTCTAGATTGTTGACCCATACATCGAGCGGCCGTGAGAACTGGTTATCCCTCATATATTCCAGAAACGTATCTCGATCATCAGAATCGTAACCTTCGGCAGTTTGATGGTTGAAGCGACGAAAGAAGATCGGAGAACGGTATCTCATAACGAACTGGAACTTGCGCAACAAGTCTTTTTCGGAGCGTAGGAGGGATATCCCCTCTTTGCCTGCTTCCTGTGCATCTACCACTCGAGCTATGATTCGGGCCGCTTTTCTCTCAATTTCCCCTAATTTTGTTTCTACACTGTCCTTGAGGCCGTCGTTGTACATGTCCTGCTGGCCGAAAGTCCGCCGTATAGGTTTATCTGTTATTATAGGTGGACTACTGTCCAAATGGGGGACTTTGACAGATGCATTGTTCTTGCGACGTTGTCTTTCACTCTTTCGGTAGGATGCCGAAACGTTAGATGGGCCTATCGGCTGAGTGGGGGCAAATCTTCGCAGCATGAACTGCGGAACGTAGTGCTGATACTGTGTGAAATCCATTTCATGTCGTGGAAGTATGCGGAAAGTAATGATGTGCAGGTTTTCTGGCTAGACTTGTGTGGCGCGTACTGGGGACGAGGCTAAGGATAAGAGGGAAAACGCAGGAGGAAGTAGTGATTGGTGTCAGCTAGTCTTATGAAAAACGAAAGCTGATGTCGAGGGTTATGCTCAGGTACAATAAGTTTACTATTCAATAGATACTTTGTAGGGTGAAAGAGAGAGGAGGGGTAACGTCCAGGAGCTTGAATTGCGGCGTAGACCAAGGGCGCTTAACTATCCATTACTAAGCCCTGTTGTGTAACTCGAGCATCTTGTTTGCTCTGCTTAGCGCTCTCACCACCGAAGTATTGATAATGCAATGTTGAATCATATCAATGCTTTGTTGATTAATATGACGAGGGTAGAAGTGCATGCTAAAGATAACAAGCGAGGGGCATATACGAAAGGTCTCGAACGCTCTGTTCAAGGTTTAAGAAAGGCTGAGTGATAGGCACTCACAATCAAAGTATCTAACTGCAGCTTCAATGACGATTCACTCTCATATTCACTGGTCAGTGGAACTTTTCCTTCGGCTACTTTCGGATTTTGGTTTTCGTCACTGGAAGGTGCACCTCACAACTAACTAACCCACTCACTTCTCACTATATTAACGTTTTCAACAGCGTCTCCGCTTTATCTAAGATAATGATGGACGAATTTTCCACTGGTGCGATGCCAGATTGTATAGATCCAGTGCTACAAGCCGGCGATAAAGAATCCGGAGCAGTCGCAACGTCGACACTGCTTTGCCGCGTCACCACAACAACCGTCGATTTCTTCCTCCCAGCCCCTATCCGATCGGAATACCGCGTCATATCCACAACTCTTGCAAATAAATACTATTCATGCCTATGTCTTTTCCTCGTCTTGGTGTTCGCTATTGCCGAGTTTGAGCAGCCAGGGTGGTTCCCACGACCAGAGGAGCTCAGCTCAGCAGTGGTAAGTACTTTCTCTAGTCTACTTGTGGCCCTTCACGGAATCAAAGCGCTAATGAAGAAATCAGATTGGCTTCCTTGGTGTAGGAACTATCATATCCCTTGTTGTCGCACTGTCCGAGTATGTCGAAACACACACTTGGCCATGGGAGGACGATGGATTCGTATGGCCATGGGAGGCACTGCTTTGGAGAGGTACTATATACAATGATGAGGCATTAGACGACAGTGTAGCTGCACATTCAGGATCATATGGCGTACAAGTGTCACGGCAAGTAGGAACGAAGAAGTCTGATTGTTCTGAACACGAACAGGCAAGCAGTGCTGTGGTTGATGAAACCCCATCTTCCACGGCTTTGGGAGGCTTCCTAGAGAGACCGGATATGATCATTCCCCCGACAAATTTCCTGCCGGGTGGGCTCAGGCAGAAGCATCTTTCCCCGCCCATAACGCATCCCTCTGGGCTTTTGGGGGAATCACCGACACCTTTTTATGCCAGGCGTTCAGGGATTGCTTCGAGTCAGGGAGCAACAAATGAGGGGATTGTGGATCTATTTGGAAGCGCTGAATGATTATTTGTGGAGGGTTACTTACGCCTTAGTAACGATGTAAATGATCATGTCGCATGTCATGTAGATGTATGATAGAACGTCGGCGAGGTGGACTGAAGCAAATGACGAACTAGCAAAGTCAAAATGCGGATGATAATTTTATTTGCTCTTTGAATCTGAGTGTTACAATGAACTTTTAGCCATCTTCCTCAAGTGAAGGTATGGCGAAAGTGACCAAGCCCTACGACACCTACCACTCTCTAATCTCACCCCCAGGCCCAATGAATCCAGGAACCAACCAAGCCTTGGCCTCCTTACTTTCTCTCCTCACCCACTCCTCGTCGACATCAATGCCCAAACCTGGCCCTTCCATCAGGCGAATAAAACCGTCCTTCACATCCCATACCTCCGGATTCTTCGTATACGACGTAAGATCCTCGCTACCAGCGTTGTAATGAATGCCAAGGCTCATTTCTTGGATAGTAAAATTCGAGATTGTGCAATTGACTTGGACACAAGCTGCGAGTGCGATCGGACCAAGAGGACAGTGGGGAGCAATAGCTACATCGTAGGCTTCCGCCATGGCTGCTATTCGCTTCATCTCGGATATACCGCCGATATGCGAAATGTCAGGCTGCAGAATATCGACGCAGCCTGCTTCAAGGAAGGGGCGCACGTCCCAGCGTGAGTGGAGACGCTCGCCGAGCGCGATGGGAATGGAGGTCTGAGTGTGTAGAGAGGTGATACCGCCAATGTGCTCTGATAGTAGCGGCTCTTCGATAAACAAGGGCTGATGCGGTTCGAGAGCTTTGGCTAGTTGTTTAGCCATTGGCTTATGGACGCGACCGTGGAAGTCCATGCCAGCGTCCATTCCCAACTCTTTAACTGTTTTGAGACGGTCGACGGCGGACTCGAGGCTGGAGGGGCTATCGAGCCAACCAATATCCTCGGTGGCGTTCATTTTTACAGCGTGAAATCCTTGTGCTTTACGGCTAACACTGTAAGTGTTTTGTTAGAAATCAAATTCGTCGCAAACACTGTTCGTATATTTGTCGCTTACGCTTGTTCTTTAACATCACTTGGTCGATCTCCACCGATCCAAGCATATACTTTCAACTGGTCTCGGACTTTACCTCCCAGCAGTTGGTAGATTGGTACGTTTAGTTTCCGCGCTTTTAGATCCCAGAGGGCAATATCGATACCTGCCAATGCACTCATGAAGACAGGGCCGCCGCGGTAGAAGCTGGTGCGCCAAGACATCTGCCAGATGTGCTCAATGTCGCTTGAAATGTTGTTAGCTGGTCTCAAATTGGATACATTGAACGTCATACTCTGCTTCAAAACCGACATAGCGCGCTGCCCAAGCATCCAAACATCCTTCAACTGCTTGCGTGTGACCTTCAAGGGAAGCTTCACCCCAGCCGAAGTTCCCGTCGACATCGGTGATTTTGACAAACAGCCATCGCGGTGGTACTCTGAAGTACTCGATGGTCGCAATCTTTCCCATTGTCTAGTCCTTAAGTAGTACGTAGTCTTTTGTAATATATTTGGTCAAAGCTGGGTTAGCGAACGTTTCGAGCGAAAATATCCAAGAAGATGTGATATTTGAAAAGAGCCAGCCGTCGGCAAGTAAGTAACTGTACGGCCATGTCCAAAACCCGAAGTGCCTTTCTGTCCAATTAAACCGCCTCTACGACCTGGTACTCTTCGCGGCACTATCCCGAGCGGCAGCGAGCGCGGGGTCATCTACTCCACCGCGGGGCACGCAACTTCGGGAACTGGGGTAAAGCAACCCGAGCTGCTAATGCACCCGGCACGCAATAAAATGCGAAAACCCTCTGACAGCATCAAAAGTCAATCAGCATATATCAGTTTGTTTTGCAAGAGAAGTCGATAATTTTTTTAAAAAAAAAGCAAAGCAGAGTTCCCCTCGCGAACCGTTACTATGACGTTATCACCACCAACCGGCGTCTTCGTCCCCGTCCCGACGTTTTTCAAACCCAAATCTGCATCTAGCACCCTCCAAGCAGCTGTAGACGTCCAGACACAGATCGATCACTCAGTGTTTCTCGCCAAAAATGGAGTGCGCGGGCTTGTTCTGCTCGGCTCAACCGGTGAAGCAATCCACATGTCGCGACAAGAACGCATAGATGTCGTGTCTGGGGTGCGCAAAGGACTCGAAGACGCGGGCTTCAAGGACTACCCTATCATGGCCGGAACACTGATCAACAGCGTCGATGAGACATTGGAGTGGCTGGAGGACTTCAAGAAAGCCGGTGCACAGTGGGGCCTAGTGCTTGCACCAGGGTATTTCGGTGCGGCAGCAAGTCAAGAGGGAATTAGGGAGTGGTTCACTGTTGTTGCAGACAAGAGCCCGCTACCCATATTGATGTAGGTCACAAAATACAGTGAGAGAGGACACGAACTAACAAATGCTAGCTACAACTACCCCGGTGTGACAAACGGAGTCTTGGTAACGCCCGATACCTACCGCGTCCTTGCGCAACATCCCAACATTGTCGGCTGCAAGATGTCGCATGCCGTCGTCTCGTGGCATAACCAAGTCTCGCTAGACCCGAAAATCGACCACAGCAAGTTCCGTGTCTACTCCGGTCTCGGTCAACAACTGGGCCCCATTGTCATTTTTGACGCAGCTGGTGTCATTGACGGGCTCGCTGCCATATACCCCAAGACTGTATGCTCCTTAATGAAGCTTGCCGAGACACGACCCATCACAGACGAAAATCTCAAGAAGATCAAGGAATTACAATACACTGTTAGCACCACGGAAGAGTTCATTGGTAAATATGGCGTCGTCGGCATCAAAGAGGCAGTAAAGAGAGTAACCGGTCTTGGAACCTTGGAAGGCGGACGGCTGCCGATTCAGGGAAAGCTGCCGGATGGTGAGTGGGAGAAGTGGAGTGAGACCTGGGAAAGGATACAGAAGACGGAAGACTCTCTGAGCGAAAAGGATTTCAAGTAGTAGTTTTGTTTTGCCCGAAAGAAAATTGACATTTTGCGTATGGCATACTCTTGCTTTCGAGCTGAGCAATACAACTAGGTTGTGAGCGCCAACGAATCGACTGCGGGCCTTCTACCGACGTTTCTTTCCACGTGGCTATCTACTAATCGAGACAAGATCTTTTTGATCGGAAGACATCTAGATCCAAGCCATCGTATAGAGCGCTATGTAACCCGATTCAGCGGTACCCCGGCCATTTTACCACGAGACAAACCTGGTTCTGGCAATCGCCGTTCTTCAGCCTCTAGCGTGTGATTTTTCGAATGCCTGGCGTGTGTCGTGTTTGCCTCTTTCATAATGGTTGTGTTCGTCTAGACCTTCCCTTCGACCGCGCCTTTGACAACACGTTTCCTCTTGGGCCAACCTGTATTGGATGCGACACAGAAAATACTAACACACTAAAGTCTTGGTATGATATATATACTTCAATTGGCGAAGTTTGTCCGAAACAGGCATGTATGCTTTGCAGTTTTTTGATTCTTCCAAGACGCCACGAAGCCTTGACGAATAAGCGTCTGACTCCGAGCCTCGGCACTTTCAACGACATTCAACTCAAATACAGGGCCCGGTGATGCTAACATGTGACTTATGGGTAGCAGAAATGGAATGATTGCTGTAAACAACGACAGTGGAGCCGCTTTGGCAGAAAGTAGAGGAAGGATAAACATTGTCGGGAGTGGGACAAATTGATATGATGTCAAGCCAAGCTTGCGAAAAACGTTCCAACTCCCGCTGAAGTTGCCGTTGCTTCGGTATGATGTACAATGCAATCATCGGTGGATTAACTGCAGGTGGGGTAATTATACACGCAACACATGAGGGCGGTAGATTTCCGCTACATACAAGTTCAAGCTCCATCATATAGCAACACAAACATCCTCATGATTCGTTCTTCAATAAACATTGATATTCGTACTGAACAATCTCGTCTAAAGAATCATTCCAGGTGTGATTTGCGTGCCAGATATGACCATACCTTGCCGTGTCGATTACTGTACCCCATCTTACACACAAGGGGTAGTACATGGATACAGAAAGCTTCCGCACCTCCATCATATCCTGTCTCTGTACCCAACTGCAACACCAGCGGATAATGCCCTGACTATACGCAAAGACCAAGGGAATCGGCAAGACACACGCGGGTACTAACCTTAGCCAAGAGTCTAGGCCAACGCCGCGTGCCTGTAGCGTACGGCGGATTGCGCACTATGCGTCCGCCGAGACCTCAGCTTGTCGCAACCTGCTCAATTTAATGGTAGTCCACCATATTCCCACGCGGGGTACGACTGGGCGTGACCACCAAAATGGTTCCGCAAGGCGCTACTATCGTGTCCCGGAGTAGCTACCGGCATGCTGTCAGTGTCAGGGTGGCGCATCCATGGCCTGCCAACTGTTCGGTCCTTCTTGCTATGTGGGCCTGCTAACTGCTACCGTAAGCTACCTCCGAAACTATAAGTCTTGAAAATCGCATCGGGCGTAGGCCAATGGGACTTGTTAGCGATAGCCCAGGAGAACCTATTCCACATATCGGGTAGGGACATACAAGCTGACCGTGCTGTTGTGTCTGGGGTACAGTGGAGCCGATGGCGGAGGAATCTGGGGAAGATGGAGCTCCACAATCTGGGGAAGCCCCTGAGTATATGAAGGCTCCTATCCCACAGTCAGCTGAGGATATTTGTTCTCGTTACCAGCTCCCTCTTTTCCAGTAGCTGTACCCTCAATCCTCTTTCATCGACTTGGTCGACCCCTGAAGCACTTGGCAGGGCAATTGAGCACCAGTACTTCTGTAGCATAGCCAGAAGTTTGTTGTACAAACCCATACCATCATGTCCTCTTTTGCCGACGAGAAGGGCGATGTTGCCGCCATCGAACGCGTCGAGTCCGACACGTCAGCTAACAATGCTGCTATCGAGCGATTTACCCCTGAGCAACAAAGGAAAATCATTCGCAAGGTTGACTTTCGGCTTATCCCTACACTCGGTTGCATGTACTGTGTCTCCCTCATGGACCGTACCAATCTTGGTGTCGCCATGGTAGCAGGCATGGGTGTCGACCTGAAGCTCACAGGCGAGCGATACAGCATCATTGTCTTGCTGTTTTTCATCACCTATGTTGCACTGCAGCCTCCAGCTACTGTCGTCCTGAGAAAGTTCGGCCCAAAGCTTTTTTTGCCATCCATCGTGGTCCTTTGGGGAGCCGTCATGATCGGTTTCGGCTTCGTCAAGGAGTGGACTGCTCTGATCCCACTTCGGCTCCTATTAGGTGTGCTAGAATCAGGTTTCTTCCCAGGTATGTGTCGAAAAGTTCTCCCCAAGCATTAGAAAAGAATAGAGACATGAAGTGCTAATATCAACAGGCTCCGCGTATCTTCTTTCTTGCTGGTACAAACGGTACGAGCTCCAAAAGCGCAATACCTTCTTTTTCCTCATTGGAATGTTGTCCTCAGCCTTCTCTGGCATCCTTGGTTATGTCTTCTCCCTGCTCAACGGCCATGGCTACCAAGCAGCGGAGTGGCTCGGCCCGCACTATGGCCCAACAAAGAAAGCGCCCAAAACTCCCGTTGGATTCGGCCCAGGCTTGTCTGGATGGCGCTGGATATTCATGCTGCAGGGAATCATCACCGTCGTCATCGGTCTGATCGGATGGTACTATATTGTTGATTTCCCAGAGTTGGCTGCGAAACCGAGCAGGACTCAAAAGAAGTTCCTCGAACAGGAAGAAGTGGACTTCATTGTTGCAAGAATTGAGCAGGACCGCCACGATGTCGTCGCCGATGAATTCAACCTCAAGAAGTACCTTGCCGGCGGCATGGACCTCAAGGTCTGGGGCTTCGCGCTAATCTTCATGTTCACGACCACGATTACATACGCTATTGCGTACTTCCTTCCCATCATCCTCAAAGACGGAATGGGTTTCAGCGCTGCTGCTAGTAACTGTCTAATTGCCCCGCCTTACGTATTCGCTGGATTCGTCATGATCGGCTTCGCGTGGGCTGGCGACAAGTACCAGATCCGCTCTCCCTGGATCATTGCCAACGGTGTCCTTGCTCTTATCGGCCTCCCTATGATGGGTTTTAGCTCTAATACTGGTGTTAGGTATTTTGGTAAGTTATGCCACGTGGTCTGCCTTCCGCTCACATGCTAAACATCTCCCAGGGGTCTTTCTCGCTACCGCAGCAGCCAATGCCAACATTCCCTGCATTCTCACATGGCAAGCAAACAACATTCGTGGTCAATGGAAACGCGCTCTCTGTTCTGCTACCCTCGTTGGTGCCGGGGGCGTCGGTGGTATAATTGGTGGCACAGTCTTCAGGACCCAGGACGCTCCCAAGTACGTCCCTGGTATCATTGCCTGCATGATCTCAGCAGGCATGATTATCTTTATCACGCTCTTGCTGAACTTCAAGTTCTGGAGAGCAAATAAGAGAGCTGCTAGTGGTGGTAAGATTATTGAGGGGCTTGAGGGATTCAGGTATACGCTGTAATTGCTAGCAAGCGGGAACGCGGAAGAGAGTTATGATTGATGATCAAGATGACGAATAAGGTTAATGTTGGTGTGTTCAAACGAATGCAAGCGCGGGGGTACTAGCTAATTTTCGATAAATATACCCAATGAATGATGTCACGATAGTATTGTTCCATCTTGTACGTTCACATACCATGCACCCACTTGATCTTATTTTTAGTTCCAAAGATTCCGTCACCTGATTGTTTGTCTTTATAAATGATACATCACAAACTTTAGTTTGCGATTTACCAAGCGTTATGTCTTAATACTTTATGGTTAAAAAAGAGAAACTACGCCTTACTCTCTTATTTTTCTTATTCTTTTTTTATTCTCTAATTCTCTTCTCTCACTTGCCTGTTTATTATCTTTTTTGAATTTCATCCTAGAAAGCAAAGAATGAAGGATAGAAATAAGATGACAGAAAGAAGAGTAAGAGGGGGGGAGAGAGAAAAGTAAACTGTAACGCTAGATAGAATAGGACATGAAAACAAAGATTTTGCTTAGTAAAGCAGAGATAGCGTTAATAAACACTAACTCTAGTCTTATAGAGGGAATGTTTAACTTTTATTAGGAGAGAGGGGGGGGGGGGTAAATCATCATTGCCTTGAGCGTATGAGTATGATTCAAAGTGCCGACTGCTGAGTAGCTGTGGGATAATAATTTCGGGTATACGGGAAGTATAAGCGCGAAGACATTGACTGTGTATGTCTGGCGAAGTTAGGAGTCAGCACTAAAAACTGAACCGGCAATATTGTCGGGGAGGCGCTGCAGTTCCGTCGCTACACGCACTATTTATAACGACATACTAATAAATGATGATTTCATATTGTGTACTAACAAACCTAGGTATGTGAGCTTTTAAGTCCTGGTGGATGTTTGATAATTAATTCAAGCTTTAGTTGCTTGTTGATGCCATCATTCATGATTGTATCCACAATACACGCTTCTTCGTGCTATGGCCCGATTCCAACTTGGCACAGTTAGCCTCCTACGAGATGAGCAGTTAAAATCTTAAATAGGGTTTATCTCAGGGTGGGGCATATGCCTTTTGTCTTTTTTTATGTAGGAACTAGAGCGCCAAGACAGCTATAGTCAGGGGCGTGAAGGCATGAAGGCATATTTACGTAAACGCAGCCAAGTCCCCTATCCTACTCTCAAGACTATATAAAGCTCTAATCAGTAAACTTTGCTCTCTAGCCATACAAGCCACACCCAATCCTCACCTTCTCGTCCCTCCGCTAAACAAACCCCGGGTCCCATCCTCATACCACCATAACCTCAATCTGCCCAACATGAAATTCACAACCGCCTTCCTCCTTGCCGCTTCCGTCAATGTCATCACTGCTCTCACGGCCTCGTTCGATGGCTGCAATTACAACGGTCGTGGCGCAACATCTTACGCAAACGGCCCATGCACAAAGGAAATATGCGGGCATATCGACTGCCAAATGGCTTGTCATCAAGCAGGCATCCATGACAGCCCAAACGACTATTACCTTGGTGTAAACTACAATGGTTATATCCAGAATTCGTGCAGCTGTGTGTGCTACAAGCGCTAACAAGGAGGAAGTCGATGAAAGGATCATAATAGCTATGCGAAGCGAGGCATCGTAGGTTGTGCAACAGGTGCAACAGTGAGATATGGAAACTGGAATATCGGCATGCCTTTTGGTTGCGGAGGGGTACGAAATGGATACTGGAAGTGTCACCTTCCAGAGAGATGTGCATATGGATTCGATTTTACTTCGGCAATGGTAACCCGCCGCCTTGACAGATCACTGACTTGGTATCTTCCAAAACGAACATACTTCCTTGAGCACAACCTGGATACTTGACCACGCTTCGAGACCAAGACTAACTATCATTATTCGTACCTTCGACTCCTTATTAACAAGTTACCTCATAGTAATCTCCCTCGGACCGACTCCTCTCGGAATTCCTTCCGTAGAGATCAATTGAGATTCATACAATACGGTCATCACTCAAAATCAATGCAAATAGCCATATGCTTATCGAATGGGCATAAAAAGGATTCACACGTCGGAAGCATTACCATTGAACCCTCTGTCTACACTATTCCAAAGCATAAATTCATTACAATAATCATATCACATAACTAATCAAAACACACTTTCCCTAACCCCTTCTCCTTACAAACCCTCCTCACACCATCTTTAATCGTAGCAAGACATATCTTCCACGACTCGCGTGCAAAAGCCTCCTTCATCTCCATCTTATCACTGATAACGTAACTGACCCATTTGACGAGACTGACTGCTTTATTCATGTCGCGCTCTTCTAGCACGACTTTCTTGAGATACTTGATCAATGCTGTAACGTCTTCCTCGTATGGTCCCTCCTCGTCAAATTCGCTGATCCAGAGTCTCATTGCGCTGCGGAGGTCAGGTTCCGCAGAGAGCTTCTGTGTGGTGAAGGTTGCTGTTGGAGGACGTGGAACCTTGATTTTCGGGGCTGGCCTGGGCTGTTTGGAGGCTGGTAATGCTTTGGTTTTCTTGGACATGACGAAGCGGAATGCGTTTAGTTTTGCTGCGTTGTGCTGGTCAATGACTTCTTTGCGCATGTCTTCGGGGAGCGCAGCAAGGAAATCAGGATCAAGGTCGTCTTGTTTGTCGTGTTTGGTGGTCGGTGCTTCAAAGGCGTTATCGCTTAAACCAGCTGAACTCTCTCTGTTTGGGCTTTCTCGGGCTGGATTCTTGAGAGATATAAAATTGGCTTGGGTGAGCATCTTGCCAGTTTTGTCAATGGCTTTTGCCTGTGCAGCTGCAGCCAGCATGGCTGATCTGGGTGGGCGACCTCTCCCTCGTTTTGCTGGCACCATAGGCTTGTTCGCTGGAATCCCGATGATCCTATTTTTGCGAGGTGACTGAGGTAAAATAGTTTGATCTGGTCCTCTTGGCCTTCGTGAAGGAGAAAAGGGTGTTTCGTTGCTGGCATATTGGGCAAGAACCTCTGCACGGACTTCTGCAGGTAAAGCAGCGAGAATCTCTGGGTCAAGCTGGGACTGGTTGGGAAGCGCTGTCAAAGCGAGGGGTATGGCTTTCGAGGGTGTGTTTGGCATGTCGTATGCTAATGTATTGTTGACAGGTGTAGGGGACGATTTTCGAGCTTGGCGCAAGAGTTTGGTTCGTATATCCTCCGGTAGCTCATCGAGTACCTTAGGATCGACTTGCGAAGGCATGATGAACTGCGTACCGAGTGTATTGAGTGGGCGTCGAGAAGGCGTCGAGGCATTAAGCTGCTCGGCGCCAAATGCAACATGCTCATCTCCTGATGATATCTTGGATTTTCGTGGAGTCTCTGGGTCATCTTGAATCGGATCATCCTCAACCACCTGTAGTGCCTGCGCTGCTCGCGCTGGCTTGGCATTCCCGACTTTGAATTGTAACTTTGGTTGTGAGCCCTCAACGCTTCCATCCGTAGCCGATTTCATGAGTTCAAGTTTTGTCATTTGTATTCCGATGCCGCGAAACTCTCCGGGAGTAAATCCGAAGCCTCGTAGCATAGCCAAAGCCTCCTTCGTCAGAACCTCCTTTGCATTGGTTGCGATGCCAAGCAGAAGACTCTTGCTGTGTGTGTCACACTTGCCATGTCCAAGATGCTTTGGCGGATCAAGAGGCGCATCTGGTGAGCGTCGCATAACCTTCATGGTGAATTGTTTGCCTTTTACCCTCTCTTTTTGGAGTCGCTTCTGGAGCTCCCCACACAGGCTGGCAATGAACTCATCGGCTTGCTCCTGATTTTCAAATCGAACACCCCAGTTCACCTCCGCAGACACAGATTTGCGAATAACTTGTTCACCGACTTCTTGACGGTCGATACCCCTGGAGTATTCGTACAGCTTCTCACCGGTTTTGGGTCCAAGTATTTGAATGAGTCTTTCCTTGTTAAGCTTTCGAACATCTTTGACAAGTTTGACCCCAGTAGCCTCAAGTTTACCGCCAATTGACCCGGCAACACCGGGTAGGTCCTGCACTTGGAGATGACCAACGAAGTCTAGCACCTCCTCAGGTTTGATCTGATGTTGGCCAGCAGGTTTCGCTTTGCGTAAAGCCAGCTTGGCGAGTAGAATGTTGTTGCCGATGCCGACCGAAACATTACATCCTGTCCTGGACCTTACTTCATCTCGCAAATTTAGTGCGATTTCGTCGGCCTTCGCCTGCTCACGGTAAATGCTGTTTTCCGAGTGACTTTTGCCATCGCTGCCACCAACGGCTATGCACAGATTTGAGACGTCAATGAGGGCTTCGTCAATACTGACACTTTGGACGATGCCACCAGTGGCAAGTATAGTGTCATAGAATGAACGACTTGTCTCTTCATAAGCCGGAAAATCGTAAGGTAAGATCTTGAGGTGTGGACAGAGCTCTTGTGCGCGCTTCATCCACATTCCGTTTTTGATACCAAAGGTGCGAGCAGGATAGTTGCAACTTGCGATTTCTGAACCACTACCTTGTCCGTGGGCAACGACGGCTGGCTTGTCTTTAAATTCCGGGTGTTTCTTTAAACTGACAGCAGCGAAGAAACTGTCGAAATCAACGTGTAAGATGTATCGCCGAACACCAGACACACGCTTCTGCTTAGCTCTTTGGGAGGATGTGCTTTCATTCGCAAGCGCCTGTAGTTCCGACTTGAGATCAGCCTTCCAAGTAGACAAATGGTGTAAGCGTGACTCCCTGTAATACTGCTCAAGGAAATTTGGATCCACAACAGTGGACCGCCGAATCTTTGGATCACGGAGAAGGATTGCATTGTGTTCTTCAGCAGTAAGTGGCCTGTTTTTAGGAGCCGGAGGATCAAGTTCAGATGCGACCCCTTTCGCCTTTTCCTCGACTTGATCATTGGGCGGCAAGTGCGGAGCCCTGGGAGGGCTGGGTTCTGCATAGAGGCTGTTGTGCACATCACTCTGTATGTCTTTAGGGTCAACAGGTAGTAGCGGAGGGCTCGTTTTGGGTGGCGTAATTAGCTTTGCAGCTTTACTCGATTGACCTGGAGCGGGCGGGTTAAGTAGACTTTGGGGTTGCCAGGAAGGCGGAAGATCTTCTATGTCATCGTCAGGCGTCGGGTGTCGTTGCTTTGATTTTGAGAAGCGAGGGCGCCTAGGACTGGAGGGCGTCGGTGTACTGGATGGCCCGGATTGGCTAACTTGCAGCTGGCTCGTGTACCAGCTGGTGTCTGTCTGGTCTCGATACCCCCTCTTCTTAATGTTTGAATGTGTGGTAATGTTGCCCCCATCGAATGCCAATACGTTTTGTTTTTCGCCCTCATCCACTACGCGGTACTCATTCCATGGTAGCAATTTGCCCGCTCTTATACTGTCCACTACCCACGCTGGCTTTACAATGCGATATCTTCTGAATTCGACAGCCTTCTTCGGTGTGAGGCTGCTGGCTATAATGTGCGTTACGGTGGTCTTTCCGTCCAAATATTGCATGAAGCCTCCGCCATGCTGGACTATGAGTGTGTGTAGATCATTAAGCGATGGTTGAGTATAGCCGTTTACGTGTGCGACGATTCCCTTGAAGATCTGCGGTTTATCGCCTGCCTGAGATCGAATATCGGCATCCAGGTTCTGTAGTTTGATCTTCTTCCGCCTAAAGTAGTCGGTAAATCCACCAAACGCCGAGCCTCCGTACTCTTCACCATCTTCGCCGTCAAAGCGGTGGCTGGCAATGCGCTTGCAAACAGACTCTGCATTCTTGTCTAGACGGGAGCTCATGGTGATAGATGTTTTGGTGGGTCTAGGGCGTTCATGGGGGCTGGGGTCATGATGAAATGTCACGAGACCAACTGGACTGCTGCATGTCGATGTCGGTGTCGAGGTTGGTGCTGGTGGGCTGGTTAAAGGCGAATGCGCGTAGAGTGGCGCGTTTGACCGCGATCCAGTCGCGCTAGTGGGGCGAAGTGGAGCGTTCTGCCGGCGGTGAAAGGACGCTAACAGAAAGCTGCAGGGCTTGGCGAACTTTTTCTACCTCTCGAGCCCGCCGTTCTCGAGTTCCTCGTTTTTTTCGCTATCATCCTGCTCTACCAGCTGTCCTCGAGCTGTGTAAATCTCTGAGCAAAGAGCGCTTCTTCGACTGGATAAACTTTGATACTTTAGCCAGCTCTCTCCCACATACATCCACGACAATCTTCAAGATGGCGTCTGCTATTCCTGTTGGCGTCTACGGACGTCGCATTCCGGCTGGAGGCATTCCCATTCTGGCTGCTGTCGACCAGTCTACCACTGTAAGTATACTCTATGTGCTATGCGCATTGCATAGTCAGCGCATTTGCGCTGCGTCAATTCTGCTCGTCTTTGCGCGAAGCCGTCGCATTCGCAACTTTTCGCTAACTGAGCCTAGTTCAGAATTACGATGGCTGCCATCGACCCAGATGCTGAGCCACAGTTTGACGAGGACCAAAAGCATGCTCGCGCAACCTTGAAGCTCATCCGTATCCCTGATGACTTTGACATGGAAGATGATGATGATGAGGACTATGAAGAGGGTGACATTGAGGCAATCGCTGCCCGTCTGCGTGCAGCTGGTGCGCTTCCCGAGGCTGACTCGGACCTTTCCGATGACGACAGCGAGGATGAGAAGAATGGCGGTCCTAGCGATCCAGCCAAGTCAAAGAAGGCCAAGCAAGCTGCTCTTACCAAGAAGCTGCAAGAGGAGCTTGAGGCTGATGATATGGACATTGACAGCTTGACCAACGGCGCTAAGGGTAAGGCCAAGGGCAAGGCTAAGGTTACCAATGATGATCTGAGCGACGATGATGACGAAGATGATGAAGACGACGACGATGAGGATGAGCCTGAAGAACTTGTTCTCTGCACACTTGACCCTGAGAAGGTACGATTGCTCATTCCAGAGTTTGCTAGGGCCCTACTAAATTTCATGTAGCACTACCAGCAGCCTCTCGACATCACCGTCCGCCAGGGCGAGGAGGTCTACCTCTGTGTCACCGGCACGCACGATGTCTACGTCACCGGTAACTATGTTGCGTTCCCTGAAGACGAGGATAGCGAGGATGAGGAAGATGATGGTCTTGACGAGCTCGGCTACGATCTGTCTCCTGACGAGGATGAGCTCGATGGCATGGACGAATCAGAGGACGACGAGCTCGATGGCATGAGCGACCCCAGAATTACCGAGGTCGACAGTGATGAGGAAGAGGTTCCCAAGCTCGTCGAAGCTAGCAAGAAGAGCAAGAAGCGTGCTGCTGAGGAGGATGCCAGCCTTGATGATATGATCAGTAAGACTAACGGCGACGCTAAGCTCAGCAAGAAGCAGGCCAAGAAGTTGAAGAAGAACGACGGCCAAGCTGTCGCTAGCGCTGCTGAGCCAGAGAAGAAGGCTGAAAAGGTTGAGAAGAACGATACCCCCAGCAGCGACAAGAAGAAGGTTCAGTTCGCTAAGAACCTCGAGCAGGGCCCCACTGGCTCCCCAAAGGTTGACGCACCCAAGCCAGAGGCAAAGAAGGAGGCTTCCAAGGGACCTCGCAATGTCAGCGGCGTCATTGTTGATGACAAGAAGGAGGGCAAGGGCAAGGCCGCCAAGAAGGGTGATCGTGTCGAGATGCGCTACATTGGCAAGCTGAAGAACGGCAAGGTCTTTGACTGTAAGTGCTTACCAAAGTCTGTTATACCGAACATACCCTAACACTCGTATAGCGAACAAGAAGGGCAAGCCTTTCTCCTTCAAGCTCGGCGTCGGTCAAGTCATCAAGGGCTGGGACGTTGGTGTCGCTGGTATGACCCCCGGCAGCGAGCGTCGCCTCACTATCCCTGCTGCGATGGCATACGGAAAGAAGGGTGCTCCTCCGGACATCCCACCCAACTCTGACTTGATCTTCGACATCAAGTGTATCTCTGTCAGCTAAATCATCGACTTCCTTTATCTGTCCGCCTATGCGCAACAGGGTCCACTTGGCTCCTGTCAAATTGCAGGATCCGGCTCCACTCGTATGCAGGACTCCGCCAGCCTGCGTCTGTTGGCGTATCTTTCCTATTTCCTATTATGTCTGATTTCCGTATGCATAGCGCGTCGTCTGAGATATCCGACTTGCATAGTCCGGGCTGCTTCGATAGATTTGTGCAAGGAGGAAGGATCTCTCAGTCCTCTTCGCCAATGTTTCTTTTCATGGGTCATCTGTATGAGATATAGCGAGGCGATGTTGCCAAAAGAGTAGAAATTCGCTGAGGAAGCTATTTCCAAAAGTTAATAGTGTTTCATGTGGGCGCTAGCACGAGTGCGTAATAATACATGATATTCAAATTCAGGTCCCACCGGAATCCACATGTTCCCATTTAATGTGATAATCACGGGCTAGAGGGTGGTTTGAAATCTACTGTCCTGTTTTCACAGGATCTCCAAGTTACGGTGCTCTTCAAAGTGCAGAACCAAGTTCTTCGTCCGAAGTGCTCAATCTGTTGGCCGAGGTTTGGGCCAAGATTGGCGAAGTTTCTAGTGCTCAATTCTGGCCAGTCACATGGCCACCCTCACGCACGAGCCAAGAGACCCCACTCCGCTAGAGCCCAACTCCTCTTTCATCTTCCGTCTTCCGTCTTTGCCTCTTCTTACCATATACATCAGCACTCAGCTCTCTGCTACACCAAACAACGCCTCCAGCACCTCCGCGATCTCTCAACCAGCGATCCTATACGCGCATTCCCGTTCCTAAGACTCTTACCTTCTTACGCATCCACCGTGGCAATATTGTAGCAATGGCGATGTCAAAACGAAACAGTAGTAGTATGAGTAGTAGTAGTAGCATTCACTCGTACTCGTCCGCTAGCAACGTCCGCGCTAGCTGCTATGCCGTAGACGCGTCCACTGCCAGCCTTCAAGGCTTCCATTACTCCACTACCCCGTCTGCCGGGGCCGGGTGGTGTTCCTGAGGTCAGCTCGGTATGTCATTGTTCATGCGCCGTTCTGTATGTAATGTACCGAATACTAAGTGTCAACCAGGGAATACCATCACCTCCATCAAGTCCCCCCCTCGCCGCCAGACACGCAACTACCGCTAAGAACGGTAAGGCGCGCAGAGGGGGGGCAGCATATACCATCACGGAAGAGTGTGAGAGACTTTTCTGCGAGACACTGCGATCTGTTTTCCTAGGTGAGGGGAGCCAGCATCATCAGGACTCGCTAGTGATGGGTATGTCTTATATCGATACACCTGCAAATACCGCGATCACAAACGACTACGGCATCGACGTGCGTCGCTACTCTGACTCCTCGACTGACTCTGATGTATCTGAAATGGTACGGTTTGAGGAGCACAAGGGTGCGATTACAAACTACATTGAGATGTGGGATTATGTTGGTGGAGTTATGTTCCGTGGATTTGTTGTTGAAAGGGAAGAGGAGAGGAGCATGTTTGTCTTCTTTGATGAAGCTGTGATTGGTGCAGACCTCAAGGCTGGGTAAGTCATTCTTCAACGCTCTCGTGTCGCCTGTACCAGGACTAACATGAAACAGGCTCATGGCCCTACTCGAGCTCTGCGAAATTGATTACTTCTCGTGCAGCCGCCTCGTCCTTTGTATCGACCGACACAGTGACCAAGTAGCTCGCAATAACCTGACAAAGGATCTGGGCTGGATCGGATTTGGGCTGATAACTCTTGACGATTTCAGCCAGGGCGAGAAGTTAACTAGTGACAAGTGGTTGTTTATGGACATGGAAGTCTGAATGCGTGCATGAAACTATGGAGATTAAAAGTCATCCGTCACTCACTATAAAACGGTCGTGTTTAGAGTTGTTCTTCTCTCGGATGGTAGTCTAGCATGGAGTTTGGGCGCGGACGAGCTTTGGTATACGGATTGCATTCCTCTTCGTGTTCATATATCCTAGCAAGGCGCTCATTCGCGGATAGTCAGTTGATTCAATGCAACCTTTAACTTTCGTTCTTATGCCTCACTTCAATTACTCTTTGGTAGATTAATTCTGGTAGTTCAAGGTGTACTTCTCAATATTGGTTCTCATTCTAATTAGTTGCACTACATGAATGGTGCGAACATGAAGTACATTCATAATGGCGATATTCAAACCCTAAATCCTTACAAAACCCCCAGATATGATACCAATTCTACTTTGTTATGTGGCCCGGAATCCTCAAACTTCTATCCATCAGCCAATCCTGCCATCTCAGCATCAACATCAGCCCTGCCTCCATATTCATCCCCCTCCTCACCATCAACATCCATGCGTTCCACCTCAGCCCGCCCCTCTAACGCCCGCATAGCCGGGTTATCAGTCCCACTAATCCCATGCGCCGCCTTCTTCCTCTGATGCGCCTCGAGATCCTCCAGACTCCACGACGAATGACCTTCTTGCTCAGCCCTACTCCACGGCACGCTCATTTCCTTGAGAAAATTCTTGGCCATACCCACAGCCTGGTCGATTGAGAGTTTCGTGTTTTTGGCGTCGAGGCCCTGTTGGATCCATTTGGGGAGTTGCGTTTGTTTCTTGTTGAAGCGCTTATCCGCCAGGACCATGATTCCGTAGTCGTCTTTGCCGCGGATGACACGACCGAGGCACTGGGCGGCGTGGCGCATGGCGTCGAAGGAGAGGAAGTCTGCTTCCTTGATGCGATATGTTTCGCGGAGGAACTCCAAGCGCGCTTTGAGGATTCGGGACTCGGTGTATTGGTAGGGTACGCCCATGCAGAGCACAGTGCGGCCGTAGTGGTGGTCAAAATCGATGCCTTCGCTTACTTTGCCTCGAGCGACACAGAGGAGGACGGCGCCGCGGCCGTTGTTGCAGGCTGTGCGGAAGGTTTCGAGTGCGAGGGCGGTTTCTTGGGCGTCGGGCGTTTCGACGAGGATGAGTTTGTATTTCCAGACTGTGTCGAGGATTTCCATGCCTTGCCATGCGGAGATGATGCTTTCCATGTAGAGATAGGATGGGAAAAAGACGACAACTCCATCAGGAGTCAACTTGCAGAATTCAATGAGCAGGTTACCAAAGTTTCGCTGTACTTGCAAGTCGTTGCGGTGCTCAAACTGTGATGTGACTTGATTCTGGTCGTTTCCGCGATCGACAATCATAGGAAGGAAAGACTTTCGTGTCAGTGTCATTGTGAAAGACTCTTGTACAACGGTATTGAAGTTGAGCATGCGCGGGTACATGTCCAGGGGTGACATTGTTCCGGAAGTAACGATGACGGAGTAGAAGCGCTCAAAGACGGGTTTGATAGCTATTGCAGCATCCAAACATGTCAGATGTAAGACGGGGTTCGGTACGGTGGCTGTCGCTGATTCGAAAGGTTCGATGATCAGTAGGAAGCCAGTTTCATATGTTGCTACCAGTGTGGCGAAGGTAGCGACTTCTTGAAGGGGTTGGTAGTCCTCGATATTTGTAAGTTCGAGTGTACGGACGAGTGAGGTTAGACGCTCGGCGCAGAACCGCAGCGGTTTTCGTTCGATAAACGTCAAGTCCTTGAGATGCTTCAAGAATTCTGGAGGGGTATCCGCGACAACGTTGAGAACCTTCATTCGAGTTTTGAGATACTCGATGAAGCGCTTGAGAAATGCGACGAAATGCTCGGCTCGCCGTATGTTACCGGGTACGGCTTCTGTAAGAAGATCATCGGGAAGAGCAGGGTTCGCCATAAAAGCTTCTTCATTACGCGCCTCATCAGCAGCCCGCAGACCTTCCACTAATTTGGCGTATTCGTTTTGTAGCTTTTCTGCGTCGCTGCTCTTCATCTCTGTGATTTTTCGATCAAGGTTATTGACGCCCTTGGTTGCTTTCCGCAACACATCTTCTGTCAGGTCGATGCTGAGGGATTCGATGCACACATTGTCGATGTTGTGAGCTTCGTCAAAGACTACTATGCAATCTTTGGAAAGCTCCTTGGATACTCGATCTGCAATCTTTGGGTCTAACAGATAATGGTACGAGTAGATGATGACGTTGCAGTAAGGCATCATTCGCCTTGCGGTAAAGTAAGGACATTGCTTTTGCTGTTCACCATACTTCAATATGCCATCAAAGGTCCATACGCCAGGCGGAATGAGGTTGTGTGGCTCTAACAGATCGAGATTCTCGTGATAGACGCAAAGCTCGACATCCTCGCCTCGTTCTTTCTTCTCCTTGACGAAGCCTGCCGTCAAGCTGCGACATCGCGCATCTACTACCGTCCCACTCTTTTCTCGCTTGACTGAAGGGTGTAGACAAAGGTTCTTTCGACTTGTCAATCCCAGACCTCGAAATTCCTCCTCATAGCCTAGCTCGGTGGTACGATACTTCATCAACGCCTTCAACTCGGCCAAGGCCTTCTCAATCTCAGACATGGTACGCGAGCAGTATATCAGCTTCCGTTTTTCAGGATAGTGTTGCTGATACGCGATGATGAGTGAGAGCAATGACACGGTTTTACCCGTGCCTGAGGGCATTTCGAGGACGCAATGACCGCCCTGGTCCAAGGTACGCTTGAGATCGCACATGTAGGCATATTGCTCAGGATAGACCCGAGGGTATGGGAACAGCACGGGGAGGCTGTCGATGTAGAACTTCATGGTAACAGATCACCACCCGCGCAGAGTGCTGTCGTGGCGGATAAGTGTAAAGTAAACAAGAGAAGAAAGGTCAATCGAGCTTGGGCGTTGCCTCCAGACGAAGTTCCATGTCAGCGAAATCCACTAGACACAGATTGGCTCTAGTGTGTAACAGGGATGTGCCCGGATTGCCCCACCGTCGTCCGCCTACCCACAGTTGGTGCCGTCATCAGGCAGAGCCGCACTATTTCGACATTTCACAGCTGTTCGCCCATCGTTGTCGCGACATGCGACTGTTGGTTTTCTTTGAGTCATTCCTTGCATAACTGCGGCCTGTTCTGCTGCGTCCTCTGCCTCTACACACTAAGCGCCCGTATTACACAAACATCTTCGAGATAGCCTGGGAGTTTTGTCACACGAACCCCACCATGTCGAAGCGCACAGCGAAAGCTCAGGCAAGCAGTGCCCGCGCTGCCAACACAGCCGGATTTGGTGCATTTGGGAGTTCATCGCCAGCATTTGGCGCAAGTTCGTCGCAGCTGTCATACGTATCGGAGCCTCCAGATGTCTCTGCCATCTCCGACCCAAACGTCGTAGTCTACCTGAGAAACCTCTCCAAAAGAGATAGCACAACAAAGGCAAAGGCGCTGGAAGATATACAGGCATATGTCACATCACTTGACAGTCCAGTGGAGGAGGGCCTACTTGAAGCATGGGTTAGAATGTATCCACGAACCTCGATCGACAACGCGAAAGCCGTTCGCCAGAACGCCCATCTCCTCCATGGCCACTTTGCCGTATCTGCCGGCAAGCGCATAGCGAAACACATGCCTAAAAGTGTCTCAGCATGGCTCTGTGGTCTCTATGATAGCGATCGATCAGTGGTTGAAGCAACACAAACCTCCCTACGGCAAGTCTTCAACACAGCCGAGAAACTACAAAGCATTCGGAAGATCTACCAACAGCCCATATTAGAGTACTGTCGCGATGCCATCGATAAAGAGAGTCCTACAACTCTTAGCGATGAGAGAACAGTAACCAAGGATGATGCTGAAGCAAAGTACAGCCGTGTCATCTCGGCATGCGTGTCTTTGCTGGGTAGCTTGGTAGCCAATTTACAACCTGAGGAGCTCTCCAAGTATCAAACCGACTATGATAGCCTCTTTGGCGACAAGAAGTTATGGGACTTTTCTTCTTACAGAGATGCTGGAATTCGGCGATCAGTACATCGACTACTGAAAATTTGTTTGACAAAAGAAGATGGTTCGTGTTTCTTAAAGCAAACAAAATTGGAAAGACACGCTAACGAATTCATAGTTGCTATTGAGCAGAATCTCGCCATTGTCAGCAAAGCGTACCTGGCCGAAGCGTTAAACTCTGACCAGACTGGTTCTGTCAGCGATTATGTTGAGACTTTGACTCTTCTTACCACCAAACACCCCACAGTGTGGACGACGGATTACAAAAGCAAAACAGGTGTTGACAGACGCCTGCGGCAGTTCTTGAAGAAAGGGTCTCAGTTCGGACCACGTGACTTTTGGTCTCGATTGGCCGAGCTATTCAGAGTTATTCCAAAAGAGATTCTGCCACAACACGATACTGACGCTGCAGATCTATTGAATTCTCTCCATGGCGGTATTGTGCGCAAGGACGAGCCCAAGTACACCCATGAAGCCGCATTCGATGCTTACCTAGAGACAGCTAGCCTTTTGAGTCAGCGATTGGAAGAGTCTGAGCGGACAAAGCTACTAAAAGAGATGGTGCTATCTATAATCATGCAATACTTGCATCCGACATTGGAGACCTCGCACTGGGCTATACCATCAAATGCGACAGGGCTTTTATCAAAAGCACTCGGGATTGAAGGAATGGATACAGTCCTCAGCGAGCAATGGCCTGAGTTTTCACAGAGACTCATTGACAGTATCAAAACCTCAGCTCCAGAACAGTCAAAGGATTATGAAAAGTCGCAAACAGGTGTTAGCCAACAAGCGACGCGGTTCTCGATCCTGCAAGATCAAGCGCTGAAGATAGAAAGGCTAGCAGCGCTGCGGCCAGTTATCGTACGAGCATGTACATCGATCGTAGCAGAAGCCCTCGGAGTTCTCAGAAATAGGAATGGGAAGCCGTATGGCGCAGCGGCTGCTATTGCAGCAGTGTTGAAGCGCAACCCCACATTGATCTCCTCATCTCAGACAGAACAGGACCTTGAACAATTCATACAGCAAGACCTACCGGAGCTTGTCCTGTCACCCTCGTCTTCCTACCTGATTGACCTCTTGTACTCGAAATCGGATAGCACAATTTTCAAGGATGCATGGAGTGCATGTTTAAGAGCCATTCTTAAGGAGACAGACCCAACGATCCGGAACAAGGCCCTCGAGGGAATTCTTACCTCATCCAGGATACCGTCAGACTTTGATCTCGCAACTTCAGATCCTGGATTGCAAGAACATATAGTTGCCAACGTCCATGAAGCTATAGAAGGTTTAGGGGAATGGGAATCATTCAATCGTGTTCTTCAATCGCCGGCAAAGATACTATCTCCTCAGACAACAGATGGTGTTCTTGTTTACATGACAGAAACGCTCTCGATATCACAGCAAGCACCTTACTCTTTACAGGGTTTACGTCAGATTGTCAAGTCCAAACCCTCGATACTTCGCGAATTCCTCGCTCAGCCACAAGGTTCCAGTCTTCTTCAAGCGTTACTTCTCGCATCCGAATCACCAAACGACGAAGTAGCGCAGGATGCGAAGGCTGTCAATGCATCGATTCAGACCATACTCTCATCAGGCTCTGATTCTAAGCAATCGATGTATGACCTCATTCAGCAGGGTCTACGAGATGCTACATCAACGTCAGTCTCGGTTGAGACCTTGGTGGATTTGGCAAAGCAATCCGTTCAAGCAGGCAGCGACTGGGATCAGATTTGTAAAGTTTTCCCCAACATTGATGACTGGAACTCGGCGCTCGAACCGTTTCTCAATGCTGCTCCCAAGACCTCGCTAGCCATCACGAATCCTCTTGGAGGCGCTGTCTACCTAGTAACATCAGATCAATCACCGTCTAGGATTATCAACATGACACGAGATGTTGACGGATATTCGATCGCATACAGAATAAGCCAATATGTGACCCGATTGTTCAAGAACCCTGATCTCTTCTCTATCAGCAAAGTCCCGTCTGAGCTGAAGGCTGCCTATATTCAGAATATCGCCCTCGCCATGCAGCTTGCTGATGACAATCTTGGTCTTGCGGGGGCAAACGGTTTCTGGGCACACTATGATCTGGATGTCGAGTCTGATGCAATGACATTCATTTCAGATGCGCAGTCGTTTGTGACACAGGAACTGCGGACGCTAGCCGGTACTTGGTCGGACAGCAGTACTGAATCGCTTATGACATGGGCTAAAAGCATCTTGTCGAATGTCAGTGCTGACATAAATGCTCCCACGTACTACAATGCGCGGACATATAGCGTACTGATCGCAGAAGCAATTGAGATTGCTGGGTGGAAAAACTCTCAGACTCCTGCAATGCAGGAGATGCTCAAGACCACAAGAAAATCCAAAAACGTACTCCAGCTATTGGGACTACTGAACGGGTTCAAGGAGCCATTATCGGCTTCCAAGTCTTGCCAAAGAATGTCCAGCGAAATTCTGGCCGACCTCACAGGTTTGGATATCGAAGATAAATCGTCAGAAGCATTGCACAATCTCGTACAGCTGAACAGTATACTCAGCGAGGACAGTTTTGTGGAAGAGAGCGCCAAACATCGTGTGCTTCTCTTTATCAATCACGTAGTCTCATGGCTTCAAGAAGACCAAGTCGCACGAGCTGTCAAAGCGGAATTGTGCCGTTCATTATTAGTACTGCTTCCAGTAATCAGCGACCGGTACGGCGATCACTGGGGAAATATCCTCAGTACACTATCTGCGATCTGGTCGGCAACAACCGAGTTGGAAACAAATGAGTCTGGCATGGATAGTCCAATCCCTCTCGTACATGCATCGCTCAAATTATACGCCCAACTCCGAACCCTGGTCAATGTAGAAGAGCCAAACGACGATCTCCTAGATGCCTCGAAAGAGGCAGAGCAGCCTGTTGCCGATGGTCTAATAAATATCCTGAAGCACTCCCAGCACTTCCCTGACGAGTTCCATCAGCCTCTCAAAATGGTGAACGATGTCCTAGCACGTCAAATATCCAAGGTGTCGCTCAAGAATCTCGAATCAACTGAAGAGTTGTTCCCCCTATTGTATGTGCAGTCGCAACCCGTTCAGCAGACTGCGTTCGACATTCTGCATAAGCAAATCCCTGCAGCTCAAGAGCAGATCTCCATCGATGCAGCACTGGAGAAATCTACTGCGCGATTGCCAGAAGAGCTGCTATCTCTAGTTATTGATGCCCCTACGGTCGCATCATTGGCTGATACAAACTTTGAAAGAAGCGTGCCGTTATCGCTACGCGGCTACTTACTTAGCTGGAGGTTGGTCTTTGATCATCTGGAGCATGCTTCTTTCAAGGTCAAGAACGACTACGTCGAGCACATTCGTGAAGGTGATTACTTGCCTGGCTTGCTGGACTTCACGTTTGAATTCCTCGGACACGCAAACAACAGACCAGTCGACGTTTCGAAGCTAGATATCACAACATATGAAGCGGATGTCGAGCCTCCAAAAAGGGATATTCAATGGCTCTTGACACATCTGTACTTCTTGTGCCTACGCGACGTTCCTTCACTGACGAAGTCTTGGTTCAAGAACTGCAAGTCGCGTGCGATTGTAGTCTCATTGGAGCCCTGGACGGAGAGATACGTCTCTCAACCCGTCATTGTTGCTTCTCTCGATGCAGTGGCGAAATGGTCTGAAGAACAAGCCGCAGCCGAACCTGACTCTCCCTTCGCCGTCAAGGTCGTCTCTCGTGCTCGTGAGATTACTGCGTCTTACATCGTCGATGAGCAGACAATGGCGATGCGCATATCCCTGCCTGCTGCTTTCCCTCTGGCAAACGCTCACATCGAAGGTCTCAACCGTGTCGCTGTAAACGAAACTAAATGGCAATCCTGGCTACGAACATCCTTGGGTGCCATTACCATCTTTAACGGTTCCCTCATTGATGCGTTGACCACCTTTAAGAGGAACGTGGATGGAGCGCTCAAGGGGCAGAGCGAGTGTGCGATTTGTTACAGCATTGTCGGTTCAGACAGGAAGCTACCGGACAAGAAATGCGCGACCTGCAAGAACTTGTTCCATGGTGTTTGTTTGTTCAAGTGGTTCAAGAGCAGCGACAGCCCAAGCTGCCCACTTTGCAGGACCAGTTTCCAGTATGCGTAGACTGCATGAACAGGGTTAGGGTTCATATCGGTAAATGTAGATCATAAGCTGTACATAGAAGGCAGATGAAAATCGACCTAGAACATACTAAGAAGGCGGGCAAGCCGGTAGCGGTATTGTTGTAGAAAAGAACCTCGGCTGTACCTGAATGTTGTACTTACTCCTCACGCCCTAACGCCAATTACCGACACTAAATCAAGATATGTACATCATTTCTTACACACCCATGCTAATCCAACATTTATACTAAACTCCCCTTACCCTTACAATTTCCACTGATCCACCTCCGCATCTCACCCGCATCTCACCCCCACCATGGCCTCCCCACCCCCAACCCTAATCTTCAACTACGACATCTCCTGCCCCTTCGCCTACATCGCCTCCACCCGCGTGCAGTCCCTCGCCCACCGCACAAACGCAACCCTCCTCTACCACCCCGTCCTCCTTGGCGCCATCTACCGCGCCACCGCCGCGCCCCAGGGCGCCGGCGGCAGCGCAAGCGACGTCTTCAATGCCACCAAAAAAACCGTAGCGGGACAAAGCATGCAGCGCACATTGGCTCGCTACCAAGTCCCTTACCACCCCCCGCCCCAACACCCGCGTAAAACGGTGAATGCGCTACGTATGCTTTATTGCGTCCCCGAGCAGGACAAGAGGAGGGAACTCACCGATCGTCTTTTTCGCGCGTATTGGGTTGAAGGGAGGGATGTCAATGATGATGCTGTCTTACTGCAGATTGCAAGTGAAGCCGGGGTGAAGGGGCTGGATCGGACGTGCTTTAAGGATGTGACGGCGAGAGGAGAGTTGGAGCGTGAGACGGGGTTGGCGATTGAGAGGGGGGCGTTTGGGGTTCCTGGGTTTTGGATTCCGGAGGCTGAAGGGGGAGACGGGAGGTTTTTTTGGGGACAGGATCGCATGCATTTTGTTGAGGCGACGCTGCTTGGATTGTCGTCGTCATCGGGGGTGAAGGGGAAGGAAGGGGAGGATGCGTGGACGCGGGTGGGGAATTTGCGGGGGTTGCTTCCGAGGGTTGTTGGTGAGAATCGATTGCCTTTGGCGAGTAAGCCGGTGGCTAGGCTGGAGTTTTGGTTCGATTTTTCGTCGCCGTGGGCGTTTTTGGGATACACGCAGCTTGCGCGGTTGCAACGCACGTTTGGGCCTGGGCTGGAGATTGTGCTGAAGCCGTTCTTGCTGGGGATCTTGTTTCGAGAGATTGGGGCCCCGAATATGCCGATGATGGCGATTAGCCAGGCGAAAGCGGAGTGGTCGAGGCGCGATCACGTGGACTGGACGAGGTGGTGGAATGCGGTTGATGTGCAGGAAGGACAGCAGCAGGGTGGTAGAGGGAAAGATGGGCCCATCAAGTTTTATTGGGCTGATAAGTTTCCCATACGTACGCCGACGGTGCTTAGGGTTGGGATTGTGGAGCCGGCGGCGACCAAGGTTCTGTGTAAGTCATTCGTTCTTTTGCCTTCAAATTTGCACTCGCAGATGTTGTTACACGAGAGGCCATTGATGAGAGTTTGAGAAAGCAAACACTAACGGGATGATAGACTCAGCATGCTGGGAGCAGAATAAAGATGTAGCAGACGAGTCTGTACTTCAATCGGTTCTCGATGAAGCAGGGTTCAATGGGGCTGACCTCATCGCGCGCGCCAATAGTCCTGCCACCAAGGAGAAATTGCGGGCTCTCACGGCTGAAGCTAAGGAATTGGGGCTTTGTGGTGCACCCACTTACCGTGTGTTGAGGCGGCAACAGAATGGAGAGTTCAAGCCTGTAGGTGGCTTGGTATGGGGACAAGATGAGACTAATGTTGTTGAGGACTTGATTGCCGGGTGGTCGCCTGAGGAGAGTAACGGCCAGATTGCTGAAGTAGGGAAGGTCAGATATGATGATGTACAAGGCGGGAAGGGTGTTGGCGCCAAGTTGTGATCATAATCATTACGTTGTAATTGTGGCTGGACAATTGAAGAACCATGAACATGAAAGAATCTCGGCATATTTACGGCGATTTTCAAAGTCATTAGACCATATATCATTCCGATGTAAGTACATAATGCATGAGAACGACCGTGGAAAGAAAAAACCATTACGCCAAAACCTGGGGTCCTCCCAGGTATCAGAAATCATAAATAGTGGTCGTGTGGGTATCTGCTGGGGTATATGGTATGTCGTGATGGGTGATCTGAAAAGATGACTGAGAGCCGAGGTCGGTTGCTGCAAAACTGTAGAACGAAAAAACCCCCTAAAGATCAACTTGGGGATATGCACGGCGCTTCCTTCTCCGTGTTGCCAGCTGTGGAGTCCAGATACCACTGAAGAGGTCCTCACATTCGTCTTCGTCCTGCGAATCGAATTCAATATCTCCTTCCTTGGTCTCAGTAACCATGCCATTGTCCTCTTCGTCCAAGGATTGATCCCATTCTGATCCTTTGACAGTCTTTTTAGCCTCAAGAATGAATTTTCCAATCTTGTACTTTTGACTGTCTTCTGCGGCGTCGACATACTTCCATCCTAGAACACTACCGCAGCTGCGACAGCTTATATCAGACACGATGTGCACACCGGTGACGAGCTGTCGAGACTGAGGCTTGTGTGTGAGTGTGTTGGGCAAGTCGCCATTCTTGAAGCCTGCTGCTGCGATGCTTCCGCCTGAGAGAAAGCTGGATGACGGCGGCGGACTGACAAGGTACGCACGACCATGTCTCCCAGTAAAACCCTTACTTATGATCGACGACGTAGGAATAAGATCGGCGAGGCATTTCTGACAACGAAGATGCGATGTCGGCTGGGTGGCGAGAAAGGATGTAGGCTGCCGCGGGGATGAAGACAGCGACGACGATGAGCTGTTGGAATCGCTGAACGCAGAGCTGCTCCGCCGGCGGAAGGTAAAGCTTGGGAATAGGTAAAGAGGAAAGGGAGTTGTTGGTGAGTTAGGCATGACATGCTAGGGGGTGGAAACTCGATTAATACGAAGTCTTGTTAAGTATTTTTCGCAAAATCAGATCAGAGGTCTCAAAGATGGCCTAAACAGGTGTGTGGAAAGTATTGGCGGCGTCAAGGAGTGTTCAGAAGAGATGCAGGCGCGTAGTAACAAAATAATGTTCCTGGTTATGTTCGCAGATGTGCCCAGCGAAAGGTCGGGGCTGAATTGGCCTTAAACCTGTGGAATGACCTCTGCCGACTCTGTAATAGTTGCGTCGAGGTCCGAGGAGCTTAGGGAACCCCGCGCTGGGGTTCGGCCTGGGTTGCTAAGTCAACCTTTAAAGGTTGTCACGCAGGAGGAAAGTGACGTGATGGAGTTCGAGGGGGTGATGCTGCGATAAGCGATAGGCGATAACGGATAAGTAACAGATAAGGCGCCACAACCGGGTAAGGCGAAGCAGGACGGATGCGCTTGGAGTTATCGATAATCGCAACCCTTGCAGCACTCAGGCATCGAAGGGCTGGGGGCGATAGAAGTATGAAGTGCCGTTGAGAGAGAGGGAGGAGCGAAGAAATAAAGCACAAGGCGGTCAACACGAAACTTTGGTCATCACCTCGGGTGGTACCCCGCTCTATCGAATCACAGTCAGCCTCTTGATCATGCGGCCCTTGGAAACCCAGTATATTGTCACGGGATGCGCTGGCACTCGGACCGCATGAGATTGGGACACACCCTCTTGCTAAGATATGTGTGTCCCTGTGACTGGTGCTTGTTCGCTGGAGTCATGACAAGATGTGCTTCTGCTGTCATGCCACAACCCTATAGGAGAGGCCCCACTCTTTCACTCCAGTAAACTACTATTGCGCACTGTCCTGAGGTCGAGCTAAACCATAATCATCCTTTCTACCAGACATGATGGGTATGGTCCAAGTTGTTTAGGTTGCTTCGATACCCTATTTTCCACCTTTCTCAGTTTCAAACCATCATGTGCGGACTGATGCTGCTTCCCATCTTCGCTGCTGCGCTTTCCGTTTACGGCGTCAACAACGCCTTCTCCCCATGGCACACAAAACTAGACTAGCGTTTCTTTCCACTCTCGTTACTCCACTTGCTCTCCTGACGGGGCGTTGGTTGAAATCCCAGCCTACGTCTAGCATTATTACTCCATCCCAGTACTAACATTAGGTAATACTGAGACATCAGAATTGCCAGGATGATGTCTCTTGTCCCAACGCGGAAAAGAAAAGAGGTCCACAACCCCGGACAAGAAGCCCAAGACAAGGGCAAAGTTCGTCTTGTTGAACGATCGGCAGAAGCTCGTCCTGTTGCTACTGCAAAGCGTCCGTATCCGCGCAATACTACTCCTGCCGGCCGTACTTTCACTACACTACGGCGTGGGAGCATAAGAATCTTCTCCATTTTCCGTAATGGCAAGAGTGAGTGTCTTAGATACTTTGTCCTTGAAGTGCTCAGATCTAACTCTACCATCAGGCTCTACTCCGAGCTCAGCAGAGGCTACGCTAGGGAGCAACGGCTCAGCAGCGAACAAATCTTGCAGCCCGGCGCATCCGAGAGTGGGAAAACGCTTCTCCAGATCTTCTTCGCGAATCCCTCTTACCTCCGACCTACCTACCAGTCTCCCACCCCTCAGCTTAGGCCCTGATAATTCATCCCTCCTACAGCTTGCCAACGCTGCTACGTTCGATGGTGAATCCGAACCAGTGTTCCAGAACCGTACACCTCCTCCTACACCTGCAGCTACAAGCAGATCGACTCCAAGTTTAACTAGACAGCTTACTACAAAGCTTTCGAATGCCCTGCCCAATAATGAGACCGTCGTGCATCGCCCAAAATTGAGTTCCCGGCCTACTGTTGAACTCAGTTATTTCAACCGACACAGCAGCGACAAAAATACCACCATCTCTCCTAAGACTCCCATGTCCGAGATGTCTTCTTTGCCCTCAAGTGGCTTCAGTCCAGGAAGCAGTGGGGCTCCACAGTCAACTGCTCCCACTTCGCTGGTTTCTTCAGGCGGCCCACGATCTGCCGAGACAACGCTTCGCACTCATAATGGCCGCTTTGTGACCGACAGCTCACCTCCTCTTTCCTATGAAGCGACCGCTGAGCATTCGCCCTCTCGATTTGTAATATTCCCTCGTCAAGACGCACCACGATTATGTGAACCTTCCATTGCGACTATTGAAAAAGCGGCGGCCGCGAAGATCTTCTTCGAGTCACATTTCAGTGAGCTCCTTACTACCAAAGTTACACCAAGGTCGATGCGTCGTCGCCATATGGAGCGTAAGCTTCTCGTCATGGCTGTCTCGGAGGAGCAACGTCAATGCAATAGAAGAGAATAGTATCTCTCCGAAACCTACCACTTGCGACAAGTACGAGTAATGAAATCGAACACCATAGCTCGACAGACTATGAAGGGCGTACACATTTCGAACTACGATATTATTCGAGTGTTAGGTAAAGGCAGCTTCGGAGTCGTCAGACTTGTTCGTGAGAAGAGCGAACACTGCGAGAGTCTCCGTGGAAGCAGCTCCAGCACAAGATATCTTGATGGATCTCCGACACCAAAGGAAGAAAGCCATTCGGGTCCTTGTCGCAGATCAAAACAGGTATTTGCCATGAAAGTTATCAGGAAATCCGACATGCTTCGCAATAGTCAAGAAGGTCATTTGCGTGCAGAACGGGATTTCTTGGTTGCTTCAGAAAACTCCCGTTGGGTAGTGCCTCTGATTGCCGCCTTTCAAGACAACAACAACTTGTACCTTGTCATGGAGTACATGATGGGGGGAGATTTTCTCGGACTACTCCTTCGTGAGGACATTCTTGATGAGAACGTGGCCAAGTGGTATCTGGCAGAAATGATACTTTGCATTGAAGAAGCACACAAGATGAACTGGATTCATCGTGACGTCAAACCCGACAATTTCCTCATCACCTCATCTGGCCATCTTAGAATTTCTGACTTTGGCCTCGCCTTTGATGGCCATTGGGCTCACAATCAAACATACTATAACGAACAACGGTACAGCCTACTACGTGACTTGGGCTTGTATGTCCAGGGTGATGCACAAGATATGGAAGAAGAGAGAAACCGACAGGATGCTCACAAGAACATGGACCATATTTATGGCAATGGATCGATGCGCAACCGCTATCAAACTCGACAGGAGACTGCCAATGGACCCATTATCGATTGGTTGAACCGTGAGCAAAGACGCCAGTTCGCAAAAAGCGTTGTTGGAACCAGTCAGTACATGGCCCCAGAGGTTATCAGAGGTGAAAACTATGATGGGCGTTGTGACTGGTGGAGCATCGGCGTAATACTATACGAGGTGTGTCGCTTCAAATGATATGAAGTCTCTCTAACATGCCCAGTGCCTCTATGGATGTACACCGTTTTTCTGTGAGAACAGACAGGCGACAAAGGCGCGAATAATCGTATGTAGGTTCACACGGGGTCTTGCACCAAGATTAACATAAGTAGGATCACAGACGGTGGTTGCGATTCCCGTCCGACCAGCGTTACGCTCGTCCGAATATCGATCGTATACCCCTTGTGCCAGTCTCACGCAATGCCATTGACCTAATGACGAGACTCCTCGAAGAGAGACAGGACCGACTCTCAGCCAGAAGATACCGTGAGAATGACTGGGTGCTCCGCGACAAATCTCTTAGTATGCGTAGCAATCGACACATTCACAACAACACCGGTCACATCGTCTTCCCCCACGATGCCGAAGACATCAAATCGCATCCATTCTTCCGCAACATTCAGTGGTCCTTGCTACACATGACCCGCCCACCTTTTGTGCCTCGTGTCCATGGCGGACAGCCCATCACCAAGTACTTTGATGATGAGGCCGATATTCTCACCGCATCCGATCATCTCGATTCTTCCAGCTACGAATTTTTGGAAGTAGCAGAAGAGACAGCACCGCCTTTTGCTGCTGCTGCTGCTGCTGCTCCCACAGCAAACGTCGATCCCCTGGCCATGGCAATGGATCCCCAAGTCCGTATCCCTGGGATCTTCGAACAAATTGCGTGGGATAGGCTATGTACTTCGTTCAAGAAGATACCAAGACGGAAAAGGGAGAAGAAACGACCTCGCGACAAGCTGCTCCGTGATCCAGAAGTTGGTCGCGGGGTACTGGAGATCAGGAAGAGAGGTGCTTTTGTAGGGTACACATATCGAAGGCCTAGGTTCTCACTGCCTGATTTGGAGGATAAGACTATGGCGGCGAGACCGCCTATCGCACGGCCCGGTATGACTGCCACGAGTGCCTAGATACCATAGTCTAGTTTGCTTTTGCCTTGGTATTGAACGTATCACTTTAATCATCGTTCTTCCATTCACCCATCATCTTCATGCCCCCCTCTCTTTCTTTCTTTCTCCCCTCAACCCGCATCTTTGAGACTGATTAACTAGGCACTCATCTAACCACCTCCGTGCCTCTCACTCACCCCCTCCTCAACCCCCGCACATTCCGCCCAAACACAGCATACAATACCCCCGCCGTCACTAGAAACGCTAAAATCCCCATTGTAACTCCTAGCCCTGCTGCTGCTGCTCCACTCAGCCCTGCTGACAATCTTGACTGCTTCGCTGAGACGAGAGAGGCAGATGCCATAGTGCTGACTATATCTGGTCCCGAGAATGTAGTAACCATACTGTCGGATGTAGTAATAGTAAGTGAAGGTGAAAAAGTAGGCACCGCGTCGACCCCGTTATCGGTATTGCTGTGACTCTGTATCACTGATGAAGCGGATATTTCCGCTGCAGAAGAAATAAGTGGGTTCGTCATTGTTGGGATCACAGGAATAGTATCAGAGGAGGAAGGAGAGGGAGGAGTGCTAGTAGGTACGAGTGGTGGCGGTGGTGGTGGGGCTGGAGCCATGGAAATTACGATGGGAGTGATTCCTCCGGTTTTTGTGGATGGGGATGCCATGGTTGCTGGGTGGGATTAGGTGTATTTGGGGGTTTTTGTCGTGGAGGTGGTGGGATGGGTTGAGTATGTGGAGAGGATAGGAATGGGCGAGTTTCCATTCTTTTCTTTGGCATGTGGGGTAGAGAGTATAGTGTGGGAGAGGCGTTCGTTTGTTGCCCGTTTGCTTCACTCGTGGTTTTCGTTGTGTTGGCGCACAAGTTGTTGGGTGGTGTTGGGTGGGATGCGGTTGGTGTTTGTTTGCTAATCACGAACGTGAGTGTCGCTTGGGATTTCAAGCTGAAGACTGCTCACAGTGGTTACTTGTGTCGCCTTGAAAAAGGGGGCTGCAAATCGAGAATGTGTAAGGCGATAGTGAGACTGTGTGTTAGTGGGAATACACCAAGGACGAGAGAGAGAAAATGCATATAGACGATATACTATTCCTCATCCACTATCGTTATGCTACATTACGAATGGACGGACCTATTCGAGTCCACAAAAATGGAAATCCGGTTATGTCTTAAAACAGATCCTATTCTATAATTCTAAGATTTCGAAGCGAAGGTGAGGCGATTACTTGCTACGGCGGAAAGCAGCGAAAGGAGGGAAGAAGTATGCGGGGTGGAAGGCAGTGAGAACTGCGCATGCGATACCAAGCATCCTAATCATTGTAAGCTAGATGTTCAGAGGCTGCGGTGAGCAGTGTAACTTACATTCCGTCAAGCAAAAGGAACTCCCGCTCATTACGCATGAGTGCGTTACCCCAGCCACCAGCCATCTCTGGCAAACGGTATATGCAGCGAATGAGCACAGTGAGGTATGCCAATACAATGACGCCAGCGAAAAGCTTGATTTTTCCAAGGGAAACACTACCAGCCTCCTTATCCATCTCGTAGCTGCTCTTCTCGTTCAATGCATCGCGGTTCTGGCGGGCCTTGCGGTATCGGAAGATGTAGATCAGAATGAGCACACCGCACACAACCATGGTGACAACCTGGAATGCGATACCAGCTACGATGAGATTGTTGCCTCCATCAATGAGTTTCTTGTTGGTAGTGCCACCAGCGGCTGCCATACCTCCACCGACAGCCTGAAGCACAATGGAGCCGAAATCGCAGCCGACAAAAATCCATGGGTAGAGGCGAGGCTTGATGAGTGAATACTGGGGTCCGCAGTACAGAACAAAGTGCTTCAGTGTGAGGTAGATGGCGGCAGCAACGAAACTGGGACCGAGGACAAGACAGCAAATCTGTAGTTTGAAACCAGACTCGCTCCATGGGTTATCATTCATGATGATTCGACCTGCATATCCAGCGGCCTCGAGAAAAGTTCCGATGCCCAAGGCAAGAGTGTAAGTCCATGTCTTGCTCAGTATACCGATGACGATGCTAGCAAGGCAGCAAAGAGCGAAGAGCGCGCAGAGGAAAGCATTGGCACCGAGATTGGGTCTGTATCCGTAGAGGGTAGCGAAGACAGGGCATTCAGGCGATACTTCGAGACATTGGCGGAAATTTCCCTTGGGCCTATCTTCGGCGGCGGAAACGATAACAACCTGGGTGGCGAGGACGAGGGCAGCAACGAGACCTTTCTGCGCGTAGGACCGCATCATGAGCGAAATGGACGAAATGGTATTAACAGGATTAGAAGAGAAAGAAGAAAGGAAGAAGAAGTAGGGCGCAAAACAACACAAGCGACACCAGGCAGCAGATTGGTGTGGTGTCTAAGCCATGCGGGCGTGGGTCGTCGACCAACTCTTCCGCGGCGCATGGTCGCTTCGAGGGGGACGCCTAGCCCTCTGCCATCATTATCCCCTGTGTGTTACTAGTCGAAGGTGATACCCACCAACCGTTTAGGCCGCGTTCACATGAGCGAGACTTTGCGAAGCTCTAAGCGAAGCTGCTCTGCCATACTGTTCTAGATGCTATTGGCTGCGCTTGCACCGTTAGGCCCATATGTCATGGCCAAGGCGTTGGCGTCAACGACTTTGTGTTTAGGCCTCGGGTTGGATATTTCCCGGACGCATGGGTCCCGCTGCATCATCCATTTGCGGTGGCGCTGTGCGAGACCTGCCTTGGAGGGGAAAGTGTTTGACGCGTGCAGGGGGCGAATCATATCGGTTGCGTAGCGGCTTCGGTTGCAAGTCTGATGCTGCCGTTTTCCCGGTCTTTGGTCTGGTCTTCCATTGTCTGTAGTCGTCGCAACAAACGCCGATCCTGCGTTTTTAAGCTTTCTTATATCAGCTTCCTCTAAACCTTTTCGCTACTACAGTTGGTGTGCAGGTATCGATATTGAGAACCTCTGAAATTCCTCCGATGGTTCATGAAGTGCTCCCGACGCTCAAAATTGGTACCTAAGCTGCCCTTGGTGTATACGCCAATGTCGTATTCTCGGATTGATAGTGCAACTTCTGTGCCGTATTCGCGGTGGCTGATTTGAAAGACGTTGGAAGGGCTGTGTTGGCTGACATGCAGGACTTGGAGGCTAGCCTAATTGAGACTTAGCTTCCCAGCTGATATCCAAACATATTTCCTGCCAGGTCTCCACACATTGCTAGTGCATATATCATCCCCAAGGTTGTACAAACGTTCGGTTTGTACATCGCTGTCGGGAAATGTCATAAGTATACAGTACTACCATTGCTGACCGCCACAACTTATACTTAGTCAGCCATTGGGGAAAACATGTTCGTGCTCACCTGTGCAGTTTCTAAACATAAATAGCGTGTACAAGGTAGTTCAGCACTACATAGTTGTAGAGCCGATCGCTATGTTGCCTGGTTTTTTTAGGTCCCAGCTTTCCAGAAGTCTCTTCCACGTATGTGTTAACAGGCCCGGACTCGATTTGTTAAAAAGGCATCTTGCAGTACAAGTGTCACTACACCTGGGGGATTAATCGAGATTGTGGCTTCACCCCTACACGTAGTTGCACAATGATTTCAAACAACTCCACCTACTATGCTATAGTTTAGCGTGAGACGTCAGCTACAGAACAACCGATGTGATTAGCCAGCCCTCGATCTTATGATAATTGGACTTTTGGAACGCTGGATACAGGTGAGGCTGCAACCATTAGTGACTATAGGCTAAACACATGCAGATTGTTGGACTACTTATCCTCAGTTTTGACAAGTTCCAGGACTAAATTCATCTAGTAAATACATGCAAAACTCGATGTAAACGTATGCACGGCTTGAATTTTGGTCTACATAAACCTTCTAACCTATCCTCAGCCCCTCAGGTTTCTAATCTCGTCCCATCTACCTGCGACTTTTACATACACCAGAGCTAGATGAGAGAGGTACCATGGATCATACCAGGCCGTCAACACACTGTCTGCACATATCAGATGTTCCAATTACTTCATCGCTTTTCTTCTCACACTGTCACATGAGATGACTACGTTCCAAAATTAAGGCGTGTCTGCTCGAAGATAAATACCATCTAGATAACCCCTAATTTCTTCTTCTTCACCAAATCACCCAAACTCGATTCTCCCATATTCAACATTCCTGCTCAAATTACTAGCTACCATTGCCTTATCTCTTTCCGCTCTTCGACATGAAGTTTTCAACCTCAGCCATCCTTCTCCCAATCTTTCTCTCCACGGCTACAAATGCCTGGGAACTCACTCTCTGGAAGATTAATGGCCAGCATATTACTACAAACGGCCACCTCCCCTCAGGATGTGTGACATTCATCTATGACATGAGCTCACCCGTCAACCGGGCTGTATTTAGTGAAGGTCTTATTGTGAATACTTTTGAGCTGTATGAGGAAGAAAATTGTGGAGGCAAGGTTAGCTACAGGGATGGCCAGGGCGAGCATTCGATCAAACCGCCGAGGGTCATTAAGAGTTATAGAGCCTACTAGCCGGTATGTGCATAGCACACTCATCAAGCCAGGTTCCTAACAAATATAGGGATAGATGCAAATAACTGGCTGCGAACGAAACGCAATTAACATACACAGCCACCCGGACCCTCAGACATGGAAGGACTGCTGAGTCCAACGCAACATCTTCCGCGAACCGAAACAGAATGCGCAATATTCTTTCCTTTATCGCTTTTATTTTTTTCTACAGTAACTGCACAAATTGCTTTCACTCCCACTTTCCTCAAACCCCTCACTATCACTAAAGTCAAGCATGTATCCTATATTGAAACCCTCACTATCACTAAAGCTACGCATCTGTTTTATCACTAAAAACCCTACCAAAAGAAAACTACAAATCTCCTAAAGTAATGAAATTATTTTCGCGATTGAACATATCCTATGGCGTGATATGTGATTGAGGTTAATAGAATAGGGAGTGGCCTGTAATGGAATAGGTGGAGAAAAGAAGCTGATATGCAATCGGTGTTGAAGAAGTGATTGGAGAAGGTAGATATCGATGTACAAAGGGAAGGCGTGATATATGTTTGTAAGTTGATTATGTGATGCTACACCGCAGTAATATTAGTGCTAAGAGTATAGCGCCTGTGAGAGGAGGTATGCTAGAGGTGGGCTTAGGTCAAGCCCCACCTATGTATACCTATTTACTGATCTAACTGTGATCATGTGTCATGATACAACCCTGGTACAGTGGACTACACTTTTCTGCGCAGCAAAACACTCTTAGTAAACACAAAAACCGCGTCCAAGTAAACATCAGCCCCACCACTTCCCTACTTCTCAACCACAAACCCTGAGCCTTCACCTCCCCCATATCCCACCACTAACCCGCCCTCCGTTCAACCCACTCAATCCCCACCTCCTCCTCCCTCGTCATCCTAAGTGTTAATACATTCTGACTATCCTCCATCAACCCCACCAACCTTTTTCTCGCCAGCTCCTCACTCTCCCCCTCTTTCCTTATCGGTCTCGCACTGCAGCGTCGAAACAGCGTGGCCACCACCGCCACAAATTCCACCTGCGACATCTTCATCCCAGGGCACGAGCGGGGACCGATGGACCACGGCATGTATGTGCCGGGGGGCGGTGTGATCAGAGTGGGCTCGGGAGCGTTGGGGTCGAGCCAGCGGGCGGGGTTGAAGGCGAGGGAGTCTGGGCCCCAGGTTGAAGGGAGGGTGTGTAGGGCGATTGTGTTGATGTAGGCGCTGAAGGGGCTGGTGAGGGTGAAGGTGCGGGGGCCGAGGGTTAGGGTTTGGGATGTTGTGGCGTCGCGGAGCATGAGGGTTACGGGGGGGAAAAGGCGGGCTGTTTCGAGCTGTAGGGAGGTTGGAGTGTTAGCGGAAAGTCATGTCGCTGCGGAAAGAAACATGCTAGATGGCTTTATTTGGGGAAGACAGTGGAAATGTGCGTTGAGATGGACGACGAGGATTCTGGATTACTTACCATGACGGCTAAACACCGTACTAGCTTGGGATAAACTATCGAATAGTCTGACTCTGACGGGCTGCATGTTTTGAAAACAGCATCGATCTCAGCTTGTATCCAGGTTTGCCATTCTGGATATACGGCGAGGAGAGTAGCGGCGTAACCCATTGTGTTTGCAGTTGTTTCGTAACCAGCAGCCGTGAAGACGAAGAGATTTCCAGCAATTTCTTCTTCTGTGAGATACGTGGTGCTAGTTTTGGACGAAGCTGAAGTCTTGTTTTGCTCCTTTTCCTGATCCGATATGCGAACAAGCGTGGTCATGATGGTAGTTGAATTACTCTTTGGGTTCTCTGTCGCCTCTGCGGCATTCGACCGTGCGAGGAGATTTGCTTGACGTTCTCGATCAAGCACATTCTTCACAAGATCTGGCATCTCATTCATTGCGACGCCTAGTCGTTTTAGTGCCTGAGGCATGAAAGGTAGCGTTAGGCAGCTGCGTGGAATAAAGGCGGCTGCAGCAAGGAGATCAACGACGGTTACAATGGCGTCGACGTATCTGTTTTGCGCAGATGATTCATCAGATTGCGGTGGAGACAGAGAAAAGGGCTGCCTGCGACCATAGGCAATGCGGACCAAAACGTTTAGAGCGACTTTGTGAAGGCTGTGAAGCGTGTTCACGGATTCTTGTGCAGAAGGAGTCGAGTTTGATGATAACAAAACGTCGGCAAGGGATGATGCTTGTTCTGCAGCCTCTGTCCATACGTGTGGGCTGATGCGTTCGTTGAGAGCAGGAGCGACAATACGACGGTGTCGCGACCAAGAATCACCTTTTGCCTGTTTTTCAAATAATCAGCCAGCAAACAGAGACTAGTATGCAGACTTGTGACTTACCGTCATGATGTTGGCTCCCAGAACACCCATGGACGTTACCGTAATGTTGGGATGACTATAGTCTTTCCTACGAGACAAGATATCGGTAGCCATTGCCGGGTCTGCACAGATGAGACGGTTGTTTCCCATGGTGACATAGATAAAGGCAGGCCCAAGCCTTTCGTGGATGGCATACTTGTCACGAAATTCCCAGCACCAGATGCTAAGTTCGACAGTGGCGAATAGAGCAGTGGGGAGGATTCGAAGGAGCACAGGCCGGAGGGGAACACAGAGGAAGGCCCATATTCCCTGCAAGTATGATTAGCTTGGTACTTTTGCTTTCATGTAGACAGAGAAGGTTAGGCGACTTACACTATCTGGATTGTAAGGGCATAGGATTAGGGGCAACCCTGTAGCGCGGGCTGCCTGGTAGTTGTTACTAAACCTCCTTAGCTTGGGTCCCAAGTACAGCAGCACTATTCCTATCGATCCGACGAAAAGAGTAAGCAACATGGCTTTTGGAAGGATGATGCCTTTGATCAGCTGAGCCCTTTTGAACAATGTTGCAATGGCCACTGATTGTCCAGCGAATTGAATAATAAAAGTGTGGTCAAATCCAAAGACTCTTATAGGCGGCGTGCTGTTGATGATGCTCAAGATGCCCCTGCCGGAAGATCCAGATCCGGACTGTCAGAAAGCAGACCACCCAGCTCTGACTTGTGCCGTACCCAAACATGTCCCGCCAAGAGGGGCTAACAGACGCTAAATCCCAGAATTTTGGCATTGCCAGCCAATCCTGAGTGAATTCCATCCTCTTTCTTCGTATTTTCTCTTGTTCAGTCTTTTCTGCTTCGAGAATACATGTTTCTGTAGAATGGAACTAAACCTATTTTTAGCTAGTGTAAGAGAAACACGTCTTAGCAAGCTATGAACCCAATCAAGACACACGATAGGTTCAAGTATTCTTGGAGAAAGGTCAGGGTATGCACGGAGATTCTTATTCAAGTTTAGCATGTATATCTAGGCAAAATGTAGGCTTGCGTCGCCTGTCTACACCCGGGATGTGTACGTAGACGGTAGTACGTCGCCCTTGCTTCGGTCTGACTCCCGGGCATCTGTGCGTATGAAGAGTATGTAGCATGTCACTGCGTCACCACACTACAAGTGCAAGGGACATTGTATGTAAACAAGTAAAAAAGGGGCAGCCAACAAGAGAACAAACTATGTAGAAGCACAAACACTCAGTAGCCATTCCTATGCGCATGGTTTGTCGCCTGCTCAACTCCTTTCCAAGGAGGTGTACCCCTTGCCGTTAGGCGCGGTTGTGATACTAGACCAACTTGCCAAGATTATGAAATGCTAGTGCATAGTCTCTGCAGAATTTATGATAGAAGGACATACATGGGAATTGTCAAGACAGAGTGTACAGTTTGATATATGGACGCACGTAGTGTGTACGTAGTGTACCTGTATGGGAAGTTGAGTGCAATCACGAAACGATGGCGTGATAGGCAACGATCTACCGCGCTAATCCCGCTCGGGCATCTCTCTTATCGCCGCAACTTCGGGGCCGGGCCAGGCCAGGTACCGCGGCCCCATGACGCGCAACATTGAAACATGTGCAACACCAAATACTCGCGCTGACTCTTAGAACCTCATTTCCATTTTTCGGCCGAATCAAAGCAGTCATGGCATCCTCGGACGACCTGAGCAAGCTCGCGACACCGCCCATGTGCACGGCAGACTTTTGTCTCATCCCGCTCGGCACCCCCACGGCGTCCGTGTCCAAGGAAGTGGCAGAGGTGCAGCGTCTCCTCAAGAAGAGCGGACTGGAATACTCAATGCACTCTGCTGGCACGACTCTTGGTAAGACTTTTTTGAGCAGCACACATCCTTCTCGGCCGGGAAGCAGTCTGCGTGTATATGTGTGCGTGTGTGTCCATGTGGTATTATCTGCGGGGTATCATGGCATGGGATGGAGGGGTAATAAGAGGCGAGGCTTGGAGCACATGCTAATTTTTTTCTCTTTGCAGAGGGCTCATGGGACGATGTGATGCGGGTTATAGGGCAGTGCCACGCCATGCTCCACCAGAATGGCATTGTGAGGATTCAGAGCGACATCAGGGTGGGGAGCAGGACGGACAAGAAGCAAGGGTTCAAGGACAAGGTTGCGGCCGTCGAGCAGCTCTTGAAGGAGGATGAGGGCGCGTGACGCGTGGTCGAGGATGACTTGTCAGGGCGGCGGAGGGGGATGCATGAAGAAGAAATTTGACGTTGCCAGTCCGGCGCGAACACGCAGACGGCACATGTGGTTGCCCAAGCCACAGCGTGTGGGTGAAACAAGACTCCTTTTTGCGCCATTGGCTGTTTGGTGTCGTGGGCCAGTAGGCGGATGCTGGGGTAGGATGACATGGCTGGGATCGGCTAGCAATTACGTGGAGAGCGTACTGTGTAGGATGGCCGTCCTGTCGCAGATTACCTTGCATGTGTGAATGGATATTCATAGACAATGTGTGTGTAGCTGTGCTGGCACTGGCAAGCGACTAGGGGCCGGGGCTGGTGAAACGGTCGGTCGAGGCTGCGGCCTATGGCTCAATGGCAAAGGATAACCCCGCATAGTAGTGCTCCAGAATCTTCACCGCCAGTCGACGTGGAAGCACAGTAGTGCAGTGTAGGATGTGAAGGCTGGCGGCAGTGATAGGCCAGGCCCTGGGAGACGCACGGCCGAGGGGAAGGTGGAAAAAAGTTGGCGGGTGCCGAGCAGCATCATCCTTGACGTCGGTACCTCAATCCCGGAAAATCCCCTCGACTCCCGCAAATATCCTCGCGCCTCGCACACTCCCACCACTCCACCCACCCTCTCCAGCCATATCTGCCTCCGCCCTCCCACTCCGCCCGCACCGCCCCCATACAGTCAATCCTCTACACTGCTCTCCGTCAACACACCCTCTCCGTCCCACGCGTCCCGCCCCGTCCACCCCGTCCACCCCGTCAGTGTCTCGTGTGATCGCATGGCAAATGCACGCGACCGCACCATCACCTGCCAATCTCTAGCTCCCGCCCGGTAAAGTCGACGCTCAACCCCTCGCCGCACCGGGCGATCCCAATCAATCGCCATGGCTTTCAACTTCAACTGGTCCCCGCTTATCGCAGACACGTCGCGCGCCCGCGACATGCTCACCACCGCCCTCAACAAGTCGCCCAAGCCGCCCATCATCGTCGACGACATCATCGTCACCGAGCTGAACCTGGGCACCACCCCGCCCGAGCTGGAGATACTTGAGATTGGCGACTTGGCAGAGGACAGGTTCAGGGGCATTTTCAAAATGTCATACGCCGGCGATGCCTTCCTGACCCTCAAGACAAAGGTCCAGGCAAACCCGCTCAAGACGTACTTATCCACAAAACCAGACTTTGCCTCGCCCCAGCCCTTGGCCGCCGCCTCGGGCCTGACGATACCTCTGCAAATCACCCTCTCCGAAATCCGCCTGTCTGGCTTCGTCATTCTCGTCTTCTCCAAGCAAAAGGGCCTGACGCTCGTCTTCCGCAACGACCCCCTCGATTCGCTCAAGGTCTCTTCAACCTTTGACTCTATCCCCTTTGTGCGCGACTACCTCCAAAAGGAGATTGAGGGCCAATTGCGTGTGCTGTTCATGGAAGACTTGCCCGCTATCATCCACAGGTTATCCCACCGAATGCTCTCGCCAGAGTACCGCGAAATCGACATTGAAGAACGCTTGGAGGGGGCCAAGGACACAACCGCTGCCATCGACCCTCTTGCATCCCCGCCTCAAGATGCCGTCGATGCCTTTGGCAATCCCCTAGACGAGGCCCAAATATCTGCCCTGTCCCTCGACTCGGGCGAGATACATGCTTCGTTTTCGCAGAAGAACATCCTCCGCCTCGCCGCACTCTCCGAATCCCAACGAACCCTGTCGCTCTTCACACCCGGCATACGCGATGCCGTGTTCCGTGCCTGGGCGGGTCATCCCGACCGGCCCGAGTCTGGCGTCGCCACCCCTGCGCTTACACAAGGCAGTTTGTCAAGAATACAGTCAACGTTTGGTAGCCTAAAATCTGGCGCATCCTCGGTTGCTTCTGATAGCACGGGCAACGAGACCCTGAGCTCACGGCCGACCATGGTTTCGTCCTTTTCCTCGTCCGCCGGAATCAGTCTCGGCTCCGCTCGCTCACGCGCTGGGGGCATGCGCAAACGGAAGAAGCGCGTTGTCGATCTCCGGAAAAAGGACACCCCAGACTCTGGTGTGTCTACAGGAGAAAACACGCCATTGCCGAGCGCGTATGCATCAGAGACATCAAGCGTCATACCGGAAGAGAGGGAGGCAGAGGACGAGCTGGCTACTCCGCCAATGAGTCCCACACAGCCAGGGGTGCGCTTCGAGGGCAGACGTGGAAGTCTAGATGTCGGTACCCCAAAACGTATACCTGAGTCCAAGCCGGTACTCGAAGAGCCACCTGCATTTGGTTCTCTGGCCCCTGCACCTGAATTCTCAAAAGCACCTAGACCTGCAAAGTCGAAGCAGTCAGCACCACAGCACTCGCTACCATTTGTACATCTTGAAGACCCGTTCATATCCCGTGGATCCAGACGCCCGCCCATTTCCCACAACAAATTACGACAGGCCCAGCAATCCACCTCTCCACTCCTCCGCTCCCTGTCTTTCGACAAGGTCTCGTCCCTCTCGGCTCTATGCTCGCCCCCTCGCGCCCTCTCCCCTCCTAATACCAACATGGCATGCAGTTCCGGCGGCATCCTCGAGCAAGCCTGGATGCACAAGATGGCACAGGAAATTGCGAGAAAAGTGCAGGAAGAAAAGGATCGGTCTTCCAGGCAGCGGCCCTCAGGTCACACACGCACAAAGACTGCCCCTGTAGGACGAAGCTTTTGGCAGAACGACGATGAGATTGAGGCTCCACCTGCTTATGTGGCGTAATACTGGCCTCTATCTCTTGAGAAACAGCGAAAAAGTGGCCCTGTGATGAAGTTATGAGCGATGATATTTTGTCATGACCAGCACTTCTTTTTGTCCGTATTTTCTCTCCTCAACCTTTTTGGTCTAACTTTTATTTTTTGGTTTCTTGCTCTGTAATTTTTGTTACCATGGGTTTTTTGGAACCCTTTTGTTTCGTTTGTTCACACCAAGCATTTTGTGTTTTAGCATCGGCGTTTGGTCACGGATGGGTAAGGATTGAGCGGAGGGGGAAAGGTAGAGTCAAAAGGGGAAGTGGGGGAAGGGGGGGGGGCATCAAAAAGTATTGTTCAGTTTCAGAGTTTGCAAGAGAGAAAGAGGTGAGACACCTTATTTGCATAGCGCTAAACGGTGGTTTATTAGCATTTTCTTTTCTTTGTTGTTGTTGTTGTTGTTGTTGTTTGAGGCGCACGAGGTCATGGGAAGTCTGATCTGGGACAAAGTGGATCAGCGGTGCATTTGCAAAGGGAAGGGGCTGGGGGGGAAACGGAATAACTCACCACACACATCCTTTTTTTTTCTCTACACCGTTTCTGTCATTACTAATCCTACTCTACCATTCTCTTCGTCTTCGCAATTGAATCACGGCGGGGTCGTTCCGTCTAGCTGGTTCTTGCGAAATTGGAAAAAGAAAAAGAGGGCGGAATCTATATACGTATATATATATACATACATACATATGCTACAACTCGAATATTTGTGGTGTAGAAATTACATGAAGAATTATTATTCGAATATACCACTTAAAGATTTACACTTCAAACAGTGAAAAAGAAGAAGAAGAAGAAGAAGAAGAATATGCAAGTTGAAATTTTCTATGAAGAAGAAGAAGCAAGAATGTATATATGCGACCCTGAAACGCCCCCCCCCCCGTTCATGCATTTATCATAACTTCGTAACCCCGTTATCCCATCCAGTCCTCCCACCAAATTCAGAAAGAAAAAGACGGAGAGGGGATGAGTGGGAAAATCCAGAACCCACAACTACAATACAACAACCAGCATTTCACCGCGCAACATCCCCAACCCTAACCCACCTCTCCTCCAACGCCAGGACAACCAACTCCTTGACACTCTCCAGACTCTCCTCTCTTCCGAGGGCAACAGGACATAGTAACTCGCTGACGCGCTTGAGTACCTTGTGTAGCCTGGCTGCTTTTTTTTCAATCTTGGCTGCTACATCCTCGTCTTCCTTGTCTTTGGAGGCAGAGGTAGAGGTGGAGGTAGAGGTAGAAGTGGGGCTGTTAGACTTGAGCAGGAATTGACTGATAGGGATAGTGTTGTGAGGGGCGGGAGAGGCAGAAGAGAGGTGGTTTAGGAGTTTGTGGAGGAGGAAGTGGAGCCAGAGGAGGTTGGTTTTTGGGTGGAAGGAACGCCATGGTGATTCTTCTTCCTCCTCGTCGCCTTTTCCTTGCTCGGGTTCTTGGTCAAATCGGATATGCGTATTTTGACGGGGAGCGGAGTCATTGCTTTCATCTTGGTTGTGGTGTTCGTCGTCGGCGGATTGTTGAACGGGAGGCTGGAACGCCATTGGGTTTCCAAAGACGGTTGCGCCGCGCATATAGCGATAGATTTCGTATTGGTATTCTTCGGTTGCGTCGCCGGAGAAGATGGCGGGGTCTTTGTCGAGGTCGAGGTATGCGACTTCGGTTTCTGAGTTGGAGGTGTGGCTGTCGGCTGTTGAGCTGGAGATGTGGGAGAGACTTGAGAGTCTGCGTGATGATGCGGGGGATATTGGTGCAGCAACAACGTCTGCGCGCGAAAGCGTGTAATCGATTACTGTGGTGTCAAGCCCTGTGAACCGCAATTTGCGACGCAGAGGATCCTTGATGCTAGGCTGCGATACGTCGTCTCCTGTCCGACTAGACCGCACGCAGATGTTGCCCAGATGCAGGTCACGATGCTCAAAGCGGCACGCTTCTTCTGCTTTGCCGACGCTAATTGCTACCCCCCAGAAAACGTCCCAGACCTCCCAGATGGAGGCTAAATGACCCGCCTCCATCATCTTCTCGCAGTCGGTACCTGCATCTTGCATCTCCACCACGGCCCAGAGTTGGTTTTCGTCGTAGCTAGATTTCTTACTGGGGTCCGGGAATTCGCTCTTCTTGCCGCGCGGCCGCGATTTATTCCATTCTTTCCATGCATCGTTAAAGGATGCCGAGGGCCGGCCTTGCACAACAGTCAGATCACGAAAGACTGTGAAACCAGGAATGTGAGTGAGGTTTTGAAGGAGCTTGACTTCTGATAAAACATCATCAACCAGGGATTTGAACTGATCATCTTCGTCTCGCTGTGCTGTTTCTTTTTCTATCTGCGCTTCAAGGTCCCGTACAGCGCGGCCATGGAGCTGGCATGGGAGAGGAACGGTTGGCGGTGTCTTGAGCGCTACCACCTTCAGAACAGACTCTTCTTTGACGCCATTGGCTGACGACGTCGAGGATAGGCGATACACTTCTGAGAAGGAGGCTTCTGCAATTTTAGAAACTTCAAAGTGAGGCTCTAGCTCGTCTGCCCAATCCTGAAATGCGATAATCTTCTTCCTGTCACTGAGAGCTAGTAACGGGGAGGCGTAAATGGAATAGAGGTCGTCGGGTTCGGGTGTCGGTTCTGGAGTGGGTAGTTGAGGAACTAGAGTTGGTATGGCACGCTTCTTCTCCTTCTTCGGTTTTGGTGCAGCTGCTACTGGAGAGTGTGTGGGATCCGAGGCATTCATATTACGGTCGCTAAGCACTTTTCTCGGTTTCCTGGGCTTCTGCAGCATCTTCTGGTTTTCCTCGTATTCCGTAGCATCGATCGCTAGTGTCTTCATACTCTGTTCCAGTGCATCCTCTAGTGGGGCAATGTTCTCCTTGGTAACATCAACATCCTGGCTGGCCTTGGCTTCTTTCTGTGATTTTGTTCTCTTCGTCGTAGTTCTCTCCTCCTTCACACTTTGCTTCTTGTCAATCTGCAAATCCTCAAACGCCCTCTCCAGTACCGAAGCTTCATCTGGTGCCTGCAACGTGCTTCCCTCTGCTTCCGCCGCTGCCAACAACTGCTCCCGCCAATCACTTGTTGTGCTGCTGTCTGCATTTTGGCTTTTCACTTTTCGGGGTGCGACTTCCTTCTCAGGCGACAACAGCTTGGTGAACGCATTGCGTTCGCCATTTCTCTTCTTCCCGTATACGACTTTTGGCGGCATTTTGAGCGAATGAACAAGGGGTGTTGAGGGTGGTGGGTGAGGTGAGGCTCTGGTTTGACGTGTGCAAGGGTACTGTTGGACGGAAAGTCTAAGCGAGGTAGTTGGCCCGGCAACGATGGACCCCTGTCAAGCCATAGCCCTACCCCATCCTAGGAACACCGTCTCCACTCCACACGTAGGTTGACACCTGGTTTCGTCCTGGAGCGTTCACATAACATACTCAGTAGGCATGGGGAATCCAAAAAAATTAACATTAAGAGCGAGCGGATACCACGTATCCCTCGGCATCTTTCAACGCTATAGCAAACAAACACTCATCGCAAATTGAGCGTTCAAATCGTGTACGTGTACAACAGAGAACAGTCTTCCCTTCCCTAGACCGAAGAATCAGATTACATGAAGATAAGTGTGCAGAAGAAGGTTGCCCAAAAGACCGGCAGACGGGCGGGTGCACGTATGATAAGATGGAAATGCTGACACAAGGAAATGAAGCTAGTCGTTCTCGTACAATGCAAGGAAAAATGGTCAAGACAATTTACAGCCAAGCGAATATGGTAATTGGTAAGTGTGTGTGGGTTGGTAGGTTGGAGGTGGTAGTTGTTGTGATATTAGGACATGTCGAATCGCAGAGAGGGCGAGGTAGGGGCTTTGATGCTTAGCATCACGGGAGTTGATAGTGGGGCTTAGTTGTCTCCACTGTCAACTTCAGCTGGCTGTGGTTCAGCCTCTTCTCTTAGCACAGGTTGCGGCACTACTCCCAGACTCTTGCGCTTATTTTTCCTCTCCGTCTCAACATCTTTCTTGACGCCGTTAGTTTCTGATGTCGCCGTAGTTGGGCTAGCGCTAGCCTTTTTGTTCGGGGCAACGCTCGTAAAGCTACCGGAAAGTTTTGAAGTGGTGTCGTTGTTATCGGACTTGTCGGCGAAGTCTTTCCACTTGCGCCAACCGTCAAAGTCAATAAGAGCCTGCATGCAGCCCCACTCCTTGACCTTTCGTTCAAGCCAGACAAAGTTTACGGGCTAAAGGAGATGTTAGCAAGACTCTGCGTCAAGAGAGGTGGATCAGCTTACCTTTGTCAAGAAATCATTGCAGCCAGCAGCCAAAGCCTCGTGCCTGTCACTCTGCAGCGAACTGGCCGTGAGTGCGACAATAATGACTGGGCTCTTGAACATTCCCTTGTCGCCTAGCTTGTCGTCCTCTCTTAGCTCGTCTTGGCCTTTGCCGTCGTTCCCAAGCCGAGTGTTGGGTGCTTCGCTGCTGCCACTGCTGAAGACACCGATACCGTTGACACGCTCCAGCCGCCTAATCTCTTTTGTTGCTTCGAGACCATTCATGACGGGCAGTTGAATGTCCATGAGCACCAAGTGAAATCCACCAGCTTTCCATTTGGTGACTGCCTCTTTTCCGTTCATTGCGCGTTGCCAACGAACCTTTAATCTTTGCATAAAAGCACCCAGGACACGCAAGTTGATGATGTTGTCTTCGACAATCAACACGTTGATGGGGGGCACTGATCCGTCCAGCAGCCCAGCAGGCAGGGCTGGCGGCTCTACTGGGGCCTTTCTCCGCTTCTTCTTAGTGTTGAGTTGTGGTGATGAGATGCGCGGGGTGGGTGGAGTCGATGTCTGAAGCGTTTGCTGGTGAGGCGTGGGATCGGCAGGGACAGGAGGTGTGGGTATTGCGTTGTTCGAGGCCGCCGAGTTCTTCGCTTCGGACGCTGACGAGTCATGCCGTGGACGGTTTGCGGGGCGGATAGAGGTGGCAGAAGAGGGAATGCCGCCGCCCAGAGTGGTGGGAGAGGCGGTGTGTGTTCTGTTGTACTTGGGACGATGTGGATGCATGGGCCCGCGTCGTGTGCCGCCGGGAGATGGCAGGTTGGGTAGCTGCCCGGTGTTTAGGACGGATATGGAGTGGAGGTGGGGCACGGGGATACGGTTGTCGTGAGGATGCTGTAGGCTGGCACTCATGTTGGCTGGGGAGGGGGTGATGGCCGACATGGGGGGAAAGTACTCGGTCTGCTGGTGGATGCCGTCTTCATGGTGGTAGTAGGGAGGCACGCGGGGCGATGGCTTGGGGGTGCGTCGCGAGGGCACGTCAATGATAAGGGCCTCGTGGACCGTCTGGCCACCGGGGAAGTATGCGTCGATAGTACGGCACATGTCCTCCTCGGGCCCCAGGGTGCGTTCGCCGGCGCGCTGGCTATCGCGGGGCACAATGCGCAGAGTAACGTCTGGCGCGTCGAAGCTCCTGCCCAGCGAGTTTGCATACTTTTTGAGGATCATGTCGCGCACGTCGTCGACCAGGTCGTCCTCTCTGATCTGGACGAGCGTGGCCGAGGCATTGGGCCGCTTGACCCAGATCTTGCGGTGCAGCATGGCGGCGGTGCGGGCTGTCGATGGCGGCGCGCCAGCGTGGTTGATGGCCGTGGGCGGGCCTAAAGGCGTTGCGGCCTGGGAGGAGTCAGGGCCGAGCAGGTTGGTGATTAGACGACCATCGGCGGTGGAGGCGGTGGTGGTGTTGGAGTGGTTTCGGGCGAGGGTGGGGGATGAAGGGAGCGAGGTAGTTGTCGCAGTCGTCGTGGCTGTCGTCGTGGTGGTTGCGGGGACAGACGAGGGAGTTGAAGAAAGCGAGTCGGGCAGGGCAGGGCGGTCGAGCTCGGCAGGCGGCGCTCCGGGGTGGACGGGCGTAGGAGCCTCGAGCGTGACCTGGGGGCAGACAATGGGCACGTCGGCGGAGGGCTTGCGGGCGTCGTGGGAGCTGCTGGGCGCAGTGCTGGCCTGGGTGCAGCTCGACCGCCCGTCTCTCGACGTATTGATGCTGCCGGTGCTTGCTTCTGCGTCGGCCTGACTCTCGGTCGTTGCTCTGCCCACCACCATCGACTGCTCGTCGTCGTCGTCGACATGCGCCCCCGACCGCAACGCCTTAGATGCCGCCGGCTCCGCCAACTTTGGCAGCGACACGCTCTTGCGCAGCGGGCTGCTCAGCGGCGGGGGCGGCGCGTGGCCATGACGGTCGCTGCCCGCCGACGATGCTATCGAGCGTGCTCTCGTCGACACCTCGCTGTTGCGGCGCGAGAACTTGGACCGCGCCTTTTGCAGCCGTGTCTTGATGTTGCTCATGCCGGCAACGAGCCCGAGTCGGCCAGCATGCAGTCGTGGGAAGCGCTCAGCGGCCGTGGTGCGCGGCGGTGATGGCCGGTTTATCAAGATGGATTGCGAGCGAGGGCAGAAATCACCCCGTCGTCCTGTCCGCGGCGCTGGCTCTTTGGTGCGCCACAGAGCCAAGGGGCGATGGGGACGAGCTTAGTCTGGGATGCGCCGGATGCCCGCGCTGCATGTGCTCATGGACCGTGGCTTGCGGGGAGCGTGCACAGAGGAACAGAGTGTGGATGTGTGCGTGTGCGTGTGCGTGTATGTGTGTGCGGATGTAGGGAAACGACAAAACCAAAAAGGAGCGGACGGGCACAAGCCAGAGGGTTATCAGACGGCGCCAAAACAAAGTGCGTTGTGTTGTGCTTCTGCGAGCCCAGTCAGTTGTATGACATGTCCAATCTCCAGCGCTTGGACCGGGCGGAGGATACAAGAGCATGGGCGAGGGAGAGTGCATCCTCATTCATCCATCCATCCATCCATCCTCCAACTCCCGCCCTTATGCCATTATCACGTCTGCCCCATCCCGCTGCCTGCATCTGCGCTGCATGCGCAACGCGTCATTTGCACATTGCCGCGCCAGTCCGGAGCCAAACCCGCAGCATACGCCGGTTTCATTCACGATTCCCTATTCCCTGTGCCTGGTCCGTCTCACTTGATGGCAGTGACATGATGGCCCAACGTCGCAATCACAGGCCATCCTGGTGGAACCCCATCGCCAGCTCATCCACGCCCAATCTCACTTCTGTCTCTGCCATGCCCATTCGCTCCCCACAACCTGCGCCTAGTGCCTCTCTAGCCAGCATACCCATCGTCGATTCTCCCTACAGATTGCCACCCACAACCCGTCCGCTAGCTCCAAGTAGTATCACGGCCAAAACTTGGAATCTTGTTCAAACCCGGTCGACATGCGCCACAGTGGCTGAAATAAACTCACAGCCCCCAATTGGTTGACATGTGCAGTCGATGCCGATTGATCTTGACCTAACATCAAGGCACATGCTCACACCTAGTCTGTAGTCTCCACCATCTCTTCCCCATGCAGACCTCCCCGGTCAGTATCTTACTGGCGGGTCGACATGCACTTTTCTAAGCAATCTGTTTGGTCGCAAATATCTTCAGTTCTCATTCGCTCGGCTACATCATCGTATTGCTGCTTTTGCTGAAAAATCACCTAGTGGCTCTGGGAGAACAAGCAACATCAAGTCCAAGGATACTAACAATCGCAAAGGTGCACATGTAGTCAGCACAGCGCCACCCGGCTGGTTGGAGAATGGCTGCCCAGTCGCTTAGCCTCCTTGACAAGCACTAGTGGCTGCAGACACGCCTTGCCAACAACCTCACTCCTCTCGCAACACAAGACATCTCTCAACCAACAAACACGTGTATCGAGTCACTGCACCTGTAACTTTTGCTGCTAACCATACAGACCATTACCTCGCAACTGCCAACTCAATCACATGGCCAACGAAGCACTCAGTATCTTCCGATTCCTAGCTTTCAAGTCTAATGTTCCTCCATCCTTACGGTCGGGCCTCCTTATGATTAAGGTTCGGCCCGAACACACTAGCCAGTTTCACAAGGACCAGCAGCTGAGGCTGAGCCTAGTTTCAATTCAGATTGGCTTGTTGACTCGGAAGGTGTGTTTACTTACACCAATTCAGTAAGGGGGGACCACATTCGACATGTCGGCATTGGATTGTAACAGGGCGTGTCTCTCATATATGTCTCGCGTTGCATCCTGTATGGATTCAACAACCTATTACTTCCATGACAAGGTTTTCCGCTCCGATAGAGTTTCCATTGTTCGCACTTCAAGCGAGTAATGTCAGATTGATCACTTCAAGATTATACTAACGCATCTCCCCAAGTCCGATAGAGCATCCAGTACTTGAGGGTGAATATTGAGGCAAAAAATGTTTGTTAATTTCGCCATTTCCATTATCCGATATCATCCGACGAACACTAATAATCACGACTGCATGTGTTGTCCCCATCACAACACTTGTAGATGCACTTGAAATGTAGAGTAATTTATATACGATGAGTAGCCAAAGCCCAATCCCTGAATCGAATGCAGTCGTCATTGCTTACATTTGACATCAATGCTGGCCACAGGGAAGTCTATCGTATAGAGTGTACATTGATTGCAGCACGTCACTCGCACTCTCTTCCTGGCAAGTGTTTATCTCGTGATTCATGGAGGACAACACCATAATGCCCCATCTAGGATCTCGAGTATTCACCAGCATAGCCTGTACCAAGCAAATAAAATAGAGGGCACTCACAAGCCCCAGATGACTTTTCACTACGCGTACCAGCACTGCATTGCCGTGTTCACCTTCTGTCAGCTGTCAAAGCATGTGGACCATACTAAGCACTAGAGGTGACATTAAATGTACATAGAAATCACCCCCGATTCTCGGACCTATCCAATGGTGCTAATCGAGAATACCTGGTTTGGGTTGAGTAACAAGCTACAGCAATTAGTCGCTGCCGCTTTCGGGCGACACGTATTAGCTACTGTCGCTTGGCAGCGACACCTGTCGGCCACTGCTATGCAAGTCCCCTCTTCCTTTCCAGTCACTACTCTACGTAATTATGCACTTTCCATAACACCCCTTGCAGATTTGTACCTGCAGATATCTCTAACATCTGCTTGGTTAGCAGAACTGCTAGGATATGATTGTACCGCTTATCGTGTACTGCTAAGAAGATACTTGAGCAGTTTAGCATTATGCCTCTGGTTTCGTCAGTATATACATAGGGGAGTGTTTTCATCAGAGACGCTGACTATACTAGCAAATCAACCAGGCGGTGGCTGTCACTCGTGGGCAACGCCAATTGGGTAGCCATCAATAAGAGCTATCGGGTGGGACAGTCGCGAAGGGCGCACTATTGTAGAAGGTGCAATACCCAGCATAAGCAGAAGTCACAGCTTAGGTGGCGGTGGCTTCCAGGCTCAGACTAGCGCATGTAAACAAGAGCCAGGCTGTCTAGATGCTAATGCACCTTTATCCTCATCCCACTATCCCTATGTACATGGAATGGTCACTTCATCCACTTTCGCATCTTCTCCTTCACAACACCACCGCTACTGTACCTTGTGCCTTCAGCTACTCTGAAAGCAAATGCTTGGAAGTATTCCATCCCCCGACATCTTATGGAAGGCAAGACGGAGTTATCAATCATGGACAAGAACATTGTGAGTTTGTGCTTGGTAAGGATTTCCAGGAAATACAGTGAGTACTAACGACACTGTATCTGACTATTCAATGTAGAGATACCTACCTATCGGACTTCCTAATCGACATTGCATACGTTGAATACGTCATCAGCGTTGAATACCATCCTGAGATTCTTCAGTGGAGCTTTGAAATCATCGAGTTTCTTGTGGCCAACCGTTGTTGGCAACGACATTCTTCCAACAACTACAGCAACTAGCCACTATCGCTCGCCGGCGGACCTGCTAGGCAATTGAATCCGGTAAAATCTCAGGAGGAAACGCCTATGCCTTTGGCAACTTGTTTGTATCCCAAAGATGCTCTTCGATTTCTTTTCTTACCTCATAGCCGTCTCGTTGATTAAGTCTTTACATGGCTCATTAACTTATGTTGCTAGCAAGCGATACCAATCGGATTAACGCTAGTTAGGATCGTCATAGAGCCGATGTCATCCTACTGCTTGGAGATCTTTGAGGGAAGCAAGAGAATTACAAACAACTCAACGATATACTTTGCAAGAAGACTGGGTTCACTTCCTGCTATCCCATATATTTTTAGACCTATACTGGGAAGACAGAACCTTGTCTGTACGTAAATCTTGCTTGCCTACATCTATAGGTGGTGGCTAACTACAGTAGCTCTGAAGCAGCCATGCTGAGACCACTGTGTTCTTCAACTATAGTTCCCTGGATTTTCGCCTCAAGCTGCTGTCCATGCATTTTTATAAGTACCTATGAGACAAGTATCCAAAGTATTGGAGAATTCCGGGAAAGAAAGTACGCATTTACAACCCGCTTGTCAAGTTCTTCTCCATTCTACTTTCACGAACAAACACGAGTCTACCACCGGTTCCTGCAACCGAGATCCAAACCTGCAAAGGTTTCCACGACCAGGAATGTTTCGGCGTTGTGCGGTCAGACGTAACATTATCCCATTACTAATTGTATGTTCTGCTTTGTCTTCCGCTACACCTTACTGACCTCGACCCATAGCTAGCCAATTACTATCGTTACTTTGAACTTTGCGAGTGTATACGGTATAGGGTATAAGGGAGAAGGAGTGGGCATTGACATCTTGATGGATCAACCAGTCGGCAGTTGCTATTGGTTGGCGATACCCAATAGGCGGAGATACGACATCCATGTCTATCAGAATCGTTGGGCGGGCAGCCGCTGGGGCACAATGTAGTCATTGGTCATTACCTCACCAGTGATACTAGCTGAATACTTCGATACAAGCTGTCTTTTTTTCCTAGTTGGTACTACCACACGACTATACTGCTGAGTATGTATCACAAGTAGCTCAGCTAGGCAGTGACTCAATCGAAGTAATATGAACCCAAGTGCTTTTTTTTTGTTTCGGAACGTATGCTCTAGGTGCTCTTGTTTCAAATAAGAACTTTGGATTTATGTGTCACGATCCATCAACCGGTCAATGACTGTCACTGCCCAGCAACACTAAACTGGATCGCTTCCGTTCAGCATCGGTGATCAGAGCAGCTCAGAGAGAAATCCATATTGAGCACCTGTTATCACTCGTGATCGTGCAAGAGGGGTCCTTTTTTTTATCTTCTTATAACAAGCCTACGTTCAAAAGAGGTCTTATCCCAGCTTGTTCCCGAAACTCGACATCGGGAGTAACGATTAATTCATTTTTTCTTCTTCGTTTGAAGTCGAATGAGAAATCCCTGTAGAGCTGCCTCTCCATCGATGAATACTGAACCTGCCAATCTAGTAATTTTATCAGGTAGGGTGTCTTGAAAGCGCAGCGCATGAGCAATCTCGGGACATTGCTCGAGCATGTAGATTTCATCGAGCTTGTAGACGGACTGGGCAGCCCGGAGATTCTTGGCTTTTTTTTTTGGTTCCTCCTCGGTCATCTGCTCGAGATTATTAGGGAGGAGGATGGGCTTCAAGCCTTCTGGTAGTGGTCCTTCGAACTCGATTAGTGAAGGATGGCGTACTTGGAGGAAGAGTAGGGAGACATTAACCGCTTGCCAGTCGATGATGTTCAGGACTTTTGTCGGTTGGGAAGGGTCGACAAAGATGTTATCAGTATGTAGATCAGAGTGTCATAGAGTTGGTTTTGAGAGGTTTGCGTTGTTGGGCAGAGCATGGGCTGTGACTTTGAGATAGTCTTGGAGGACTTGAATCTTGAATGCTTTGGTTGGACAGTATTGGTTTGGACCATTGAAAAGACATTGCTGCCTAGGATATGATGAGAACTTCTCGATGCATGCTAACTCTCGAGCGGCGCAGGAATGGGCATATTCGTTGAGTGAAGGCCCTATCGTCTAATCAGCCTAGGACGAGCATAATGAGAAGGTAAAAGAACTTACATGGCCCTCGATTAACTTCGACAGAATCTCTCCCTTTGTCGGAGAATGACCTGTTTGTTGTGGGTCCTATTACGAATGCTTCTCCTTTGTCTGTCGAGTCGACGGGATCAAGAAATTCACTTGGACTCGGGCTAGGTAGATCCTTTGCATAATACAAGCTCCCATACATAGGAAGATTAGCAGAAGCAAAGGCTTTCTCGTACCCAACCAGGGTCTCAATGATCCCAAGTCTTTCCTCCCAAGACATATTGTGCCACATCTTGCGCAGCTCCACCCCTTTACAGTGTCCCATCAGGATGTATTCTGCTTTAACAGGATTCTCTGTAGAGGAACTCCAGCCATATACTTGAGGCGCTGGGACACCGAGGACATTTCGAACCTATAGCATACCCTTATATCAGTAATTATCAGATATATGTAATTGATCAAGGAGCTTATACATAGTCCATAGTAGCCATTGTAAAGTGCGGCCTTGCAGCATTCGGGTTTGGGATTTTAGCAACCAATTCTTGACCGTCATCCACTGTAAGTAGGAAAACCTTGCTGAAGTTTCCCTCAGGTAGTTTCGTAACTCCAACGCAAAAGCGAGCTCCAATTGCTTGTGCTGAGACTTGAAGAAGTCCTGGCACATCGAACTCAACGTAACGGCGGGCAAGCTCATACTTTTCGTTCCAGAGCCATCGACCGCCGTTGTACTTGTAAAATTGGTCCACATGGCCGCGTTAAAGGATAATGGTGTCGTGCGAAGTCGTTGTGTACTGCTGGGAACGCAGTGATGTGGGTGGAGTTGGTTGACGAGGCTTAAGGAGCTTTTGGCGGAACCAATTCATTTGTAAAGCGCTTGAAATCGTATTCAAGGTAGGAGCTCGATGAAGAGTAGTCGAGGCGGTACGGAGTGGTATGCCGAATGCCATTGCAGTGTCAGCTACGATGGAAGCGGTAGAGTACTTTGCGGCGCAAAACAATGTCAAGTTGTCGTACTAGCGCGCGTGTAGGCGCAACGTACGTATGCAGTAGTTGGCGATTGATTCTGGGCCAAGGATGGCACGCATTACCATGTGCCAGCCAAGATACTGATAGTTGTTGTTGTCGCAAATATGATTACAGCGCTGTGAGAAATATGCAGAACGATTGTGATTGTTTACTACATCAAACTGGCCAGATCTGAAACTAACATGTATTACAGAATTTTCCTGATACTGAGTCATCTATAACTCATACATAGTGAATGAACAAATCACGTACACCCATTTCTCGTATCAACTCTCAATCACCAGCATAGTGAAACAGATAAGCGATTTCCGGCACTCACCTACCAGCTAGTGGAGCTTAAACAGCGATTTTCGCACAATACCCGTACAAATAGAGAGCAATGGACCAATACTAGCAATAGTGAATCACTCACAGAACCTCGTGATTCCATCCACCACCAACCCAAGACACTGTGCATCAAACCCACACCCCCAAAACAAGCCTTATTGTACATTCATCCTTCTTACTAATGTCTACCTATAACTCCCCCTATACAATCTATTCTAACCCAGTATTTCCTCCCTACTTCTCAACTTCTTCTTCCTCACCTCCATCAAGTCCATCTATCCATTCATCCATCCATCCTGGGGCAAGATTCACTTTTTTTAACCCCGCCCCCTTCCCCCTCCAAAGATAACTCCCCCCCTACCTCCAGAATCCCTATAAATCAACCCTTCTTATCCAACCCACCTTTTCAAAAAAAATAAGAAAAATCAAACCAAGATGTCGCACTCCCATTCCCCTTCCTCATCCTCGCACCCCACCCCCTCTTCTACCCCTCCACCACAACCCCGCTGCCCCTCCTGCACTTCCTTGCTAACCTCCCCTTCCCCCTCATCAACCTACGAGCTGCGCACCTGCGACACGTGTTTTGTGCGTCTTCGGTGCACGGAGTCGCTCTGGGGGAGTACGAGGAGTGGCGAGATTACGTTTTTCCCGCGGGTGCTGGATGATGAGGATTTTTGTACCGAGGAGAGGGAGAGTGAGGAGGAAGGGGATGGAGGGGTAAAAGAGGTGGAAGAGGAGAAGAAAAGGGGGTTGTTTGCTTGGGTTGTTGGTAGGAGGTGAGATGAGGGGCAGGGTTGGAGAGGTAAAAAAAAAGAATTCAATAATAACAATAATAACTAATTGAAAGAAAAAAAAAGATTCACACCTGAATGTTGGCAAGCGTGTGAACTTTGGCCATTTTTTTCTTTTCTGAGATGAAAGTCTTGACAAAGGATTGGGCTTACGTATTCGAAAGATAATATCAGAAGAATACTGTTATTTCCATTTAGAACAAAACTTCTACGAATTGTCCCCTGGTAACGTATGTGTGATGTTGACCCCCTTTCATGATTGAGAAAAGATGAGAGAGACATGATAGTAATGATGATGATGATGGAGCTTCAGGCTCCTGCATACCCGTTGCTCCCTTCCTGAATATGCGCCTGTTCCCTTCCAACGGTTCGAAGGATACGAGCTGTTTGCTGATAAGCTCGTATATGAGGACTTATTAGACAGGTCCGGTGGGCCGGGAGGTTGTAATCCCTATACCCACCTTCTACTCTCGCGTGTCATGCTCTTCTTGTAGATATTCTTGAGCTTGAAAAAGCACACGTCGAGTTGTCTTTCCCCTTTCTCCTCTTAGCATGCTGAGTGTCTTTCCAATTCCCTCTTGGCACGCCCTCTTCGGTACCTCTGATCTAGAAATCCTTGAAACTCTCTTCCCACCTATCACTCAACTCCTTGGTGTACGGTTCTCTGTTTTCCGACTCTGGCTCATACTCGTCAAAATTCCGTGTATCAGCCGGGCCCCGTAGGTGTGGTACTATAGGACCTTGGGTTTCGCGGTTATATATCTTCTGCCAATCAATGTCTTTGAACCACTCATGGTCCTTGACACGTTGAGCACCACCAGCGACATTTCCCAGACGCTTCGAGGTGTCGACGGTGCAGAGGCCGGAAATAAGATCCCGTGCAGTCGGTGACATTGCAGATGGAAAGCGGACGCGTCCTTCTACAATTCTACCAAAAAATTAGTACAAATCTCGTATCCTTGTGTTTTGAAACATACTGTTCGTAGATTTTCATAGGATTCTGATCCCAGAAGGGCGGTTGCCCAACAAGGAACTCGTACACAAGGATGCCAAACGCCCACCAATCGACTGCTGTGCCATGGCCTGATATTTCGTCAGTGGGGTACCAATAGCATGTGTGGTGCAGATCGTACCTGTATTACGAATGACCTCGGGAGCCAGGTACTCGGGAGTACCACAGAGCGTGTACGTCTCTCCTAGGCGAGCTGTCAGTCTCCACTCTCGACATGCGACCGATGACGTAACTTACTGTTGTCTACCTTTTTCGCAAATCCAAAATCTACCAACTTGAGATGGCCCTCTGCGTCTATGAGGATATTCTCTGGTTTTAGATCACGATATGCTACGCCCTCGTGCTCGTGTAGAAACTCTAATATCAGCACAATCTCAGCAGCGTAAAACTGCGAAGTGGGCTCGTTGAAGCGCCGTGCTCTTCTCAGATAACTGAAGACTTCGCCGCCAGGGCAGTAGTCGAGCTGGTTTAAATGTTAGCAATTGCCAACTCTTATTCGTATATGCAACTACATACTACCATGTAGAGCGAATCGAGCGACTGGAAACTGGCAACCATGGTTGTTATGAAGGGGTGGCCGGCGACCTTTGCGAGGACATTGCGCTCGTTTCGGACGTGCTCGACTTGTTTGAGCCGGATGACTGAGACGAGGCGGTCAGCGGCAGCGCAGTGGTTATTTGTTATGGGGCGTGCATACCGTCCACCTTGCGTAGAATCTTCAAAGCAAAAACCTTGTTCTCGTCGCCGGGCCTTGCGTCTTTGAGTCGCACGAGCCAGACGCGCGCAAAGGTGCCAGTTCCGAGCGTCTTGATGAGCTCAAAGTCTTGCTCTCGCAGCACCTTTGACGAGTGGCCGACGGGCTTCTTCTGGGGGTCAATGTCGATTTCGTCGGGGGTGAGGGTGTGCTTCTGGGCCTCCCACTGCGCCAACTGCTGTTTCTCCTGTTCGCGCGGCTTTTCCATGGCCGAGTCGGTGCGGTCGTGCAGGGGGCCGGAATGGGGCGGTTCTTTCTTGTCGCGATGGTGGTGCAGCGGGTGGAGCATGTTTTTGAAGGCAGTCGCCATGGCGATGGGGGGAGCTAGGTCTTGGCCGCAGTGGGCGAGGAAGCCAGGAGCGAGGGATGAGGGAATTGGGGGGGAGGGGAGGCGGAGAGGCGGGTTCCGTTCGTGTGGCAGGGCTCAGTAGCAGAGGCACCACATGGCAGACACGGGCAGTCGGCGACGGGTCAATGGCAGTGTTTGCGTGGGTGGTGGGTGGTGGGCGGTGGGCAAACGGGGCAGGAAGAGTGAATCGAGGGCGGGCCTGGGGTTAGGCAGAGCAGCCAGGCAGGTGGCAGAGCACAATCATGGGCCGTCCTTGGTGGGCGCTGGAGAGAGATGGGGGTGGGATAGGATGGGCACGAGGGAGCGGGCGCGGGCGCGACAGGAGGATAGCGGGGGTCCTGGGACGAGGCGCATTGCTGCAAAAGATGACGCACCGGGCGTGGGGAACATGCAACACACGCCGGCTGAACCCTGGCGGGCTGGCGGGCTCTGCGAATACTTACACGCCCTGCCCTGCCCTGCCCTGCCCTGCCTTGCCCTGCCCTGCGAGCGTAACTAAGTAAGTAAGTAAGTAAGCCGGCCCGCTGTGGTCCAGTTGTCTTGACCGCTTGCAGTATCCCTTTGTTCGCCCCAGCCCACGCTATCCGCCGGCCCCGGCCTGGTTGCCATGCCCAACTACTCATGCCCTACTTACACATGTAAGTACATCTCAACCATACGCAAATAGACTATGCTCTGCCACCACCAGCCGCTGTGGGGTAGCAATAGGCGGCATCCGGACCTCGCTGGCAGCTGATGTCTTGCGGCTTACAGTAAGCCGCCCTGAATCATCCGACATGCATGTGCATGAACCACGGTACGCTGCAAATAACGGCTCGTCGCATTCACACTAAACTCGACAAACTCCGCGCCCGACGCTGCTCTCGGCGTGCTTGCCGGCCTTCAAATTGATACCGCTACTTCACATGCAGGGCTCTACCCGCCCAAACTGCCGCCATGCACAAATGCCTATATATATAACTCTGATTCAAACCCTCTCCTTCTTGCCCAGGCCGCGTAAATCGCTTGAAAAAGTGCCCGTGTGGCCTGCACCTTCTCTTGACCTGCGCCAGTTCCCCACCCCAAACGCCAATGTGTTGCAGGCTCAATCGAGTATTTCTACACCATGTAGTCGTACAATACAAATAATTCTTCCCCTTGTCCGCTCAGCCGCTTGCCCGCGTGTTGAGAATGAGGGCAACAATCAGTCTAGTCGAGTCAGCACATGAGCAATCACGCAGTCTGCATAACGCCGTCCTTGTCGCGCGCGCGGACCACGTTGGCGTCTTCTGGCTTGGGAGACGTACCCGTAAAGACCCAAGACTTCTGCGAAGATGAGAATGAGCACCATGCCGACAAAGATTCGCGATTGGCTCATAAAGGAGCGCACGCCCTGCTGCAGTTAGCCTTTCTCTCTCTTTCCCACCATCTCCTAACGACTCAACATACAGCGTCGCCCACAATTCCGATGGCGTATCCTGCAGCCAGACCCGACAGACCAACTGACAATCCCGCAGCCATGTGCATGAATCCAGCATACAGCGAGTACGTGTTGTTGGGCGGGGGCTTGATGTCGCTGGCGATGAGGACGGATATGACTAGTGAGTAGACGGCCAAGATACCCGACATGACAATGGGAATGAGCGACTGGCCAAGTTAGATGGAGCTTCGTGTGCGCAGTGCATGGCAGCGCACCTTCATGATCAGGTCTGGCCTGTATGTTCCGATACCAGCAATGCCGATGCCAGCTTTGGCGGTGCCATAGGCAGCTCCGGCGCCTGCTTCGATTAGCTCCTGTGCAGCTTGGAAACGCGTCATGGGGGCGGCGTACATCCAAAGATCATCTGGGTGAGGTTGGTACATTAGTTGGCCAGCTGCAACGGGGGCGAGGAGCTACTCACTGCAAACGCGATTCCGCTCTGCGTGCCTGTTAGCTATGAAGTCATGATACGGGCGCGGCCGGGGGCACTCACCATGCCAAAGAAAGGCGCGAAGCTCGGGGCGAGCTCGTTGGAAGACATGGTGCCTGTGATGCTCGCGACAGAGGGGGATGGATGGGGGTTTGTGTGGGCGGTTGTCGTGGTGGTGGAGGCGTCGTCGGAGACAGCTGGGATGCGGCCAGGCGGTTGGTGAGGAGGGCTCTGGATGCCAAGCGCATGCCGGTCCAACACCTGCACCACCGCCATTCTCCCCAACGTCGCGAGCTGCGAGGAAAGCCGGCCAGCGCCCCCCTCCCCCCTCAGCCAACGCTACCCCATAGTCGACCTGCAACCCCCATCCTGCCCGCGCCACACCCACGAGCCAGCTGCCGCCGTTTTTATCCTCACCACGGGCTCCTCGCACCCGCTGCCTCCCCCTCCCCCCCTCGCTGGGCGGCTTGTTCCCTCAACTGCCGGAGCGGTGGCCGTTGACCCTTCTCTGCAACACCCCGCCGCCCTGTCCACGCCCACACCCGCTCTCGCTCGCCAGCACGCCTTCATTCAAGTGAAAAACAACAGGTGTGACTCGCCGCCGTGCCCGCCAGTCGCCTCGACTCGTGCGCCCCCCCCCCATCGTGCCGGCTCTGCTGCCCCGGCCACGCCGCCGAATCCCTTGTATCAAAAAGCCCTCGCCCACGTCCACCACCCACCCACGTCCACCACCCACCCACGTCCACCACCCACCCACGTCCACCGCCTCGCCTCAACAGCGCTGCGAATGCTCGCGACAGGCTAGATCCGCTGTGGACTGAAGAGACATGGCCGACTACGGCAACCAGCAGCGGCCGGACTATGCGCGCGGCCAAAACCATGGCCAGCCCTCGGGCGCAAGGGAAACCGCCTTCACAAACATCTTCGGTGCCAGCCCGTCCATGGCCGGCCGCTCCCAGACCATGACGTCGCAGTCGCATAGAAACATCCCCGACCGCGCTGCTACAATGTCCAGCCAGACGGCCGACATGATGCAGCGCGCCCCGCCAATTCGCCAGCCCGTCAACGGCTACGATCGTCGTCCTCACCCACAGTACGATCAGCGCACGGGACCAAGTCTCGGAGAGCAGCGCCCCATAGATCCGCCGAATGCTTATAATCGCTCTATGCCAAACGGTTACGGTCAGCACCCGCGATATCCTGACGGGCAACAGCAACAACAACAGCAGCAGCAGCAGCGCCAGCCGCAGCCTCAGTACCTGCCACAGCCCCTTCGCCCTGAGCGCCAGCCATACGGCCAGCCCCAGCGCTTCGACTCCCGCATCTCTCCTCCTGGCCAGCCCCCTTACAACAAGCCCATTCCCAATCGCTTTCCTGGCGGTCCAGGACCTGCAATGAATTCGGACCCTTACCGTTCACAATCGCTTGCCTTGAACCCGCGACCACAGTTCAACCCTGGTGGGCCATCCCATCCGTCCCCCGCAAACACGTTCCGCCAGCAGCCTTACATGAACCACATGGCCCGGACCACAGCACAAGGACGCGTGGTGCCAGAACGGCCCGACGAGCGGACAATGTCCATGACCTCGTACACAAGGGATCCAGATCGTACACAGACAATGAGCGGCAGAATCATACCAAGTCGAAGGCGAGAATCTGGTGAATCTGAAATGTCAAGTGGACCGCACGGCCACCCTCAACACCCAAATATGGGACTGCCACCCAATCCTAGGAGTGTGAGCCAAGGAAGCATGCCGAACCAATCGCGCTCAATGTCCATGGCATCCACAATTGTCCCTCCTTCGGAGCGTACTAGCACTATGACGTCCATTAGCTCTCGCCCAGACTCGTCCCAAACACTCGGAAGCAACTCCAGCAACAACAGGACCTCCAACCAGTCCATGACTTCGCTCGTCCCCGCGCAACAAGTGCCTGCTGCTCAGCGACGGGCACCTCTTGTCTACCCTGCCCTACTATCTCGCGTTGCCGATACCTTCCAAGACCGAGTGGTTCTCTCTGAAAAGGAAAAAGATGGCCTTGTTTACAAGAGTGCTTTTACGGGTGCAGATGCGGTTGATCTCATCTCTTTCATTATCAAAACTACCGATCGTAATCTAGCACTCCTCTTGGGCCGATCCCTTGACGCGCAAAAGTTCTTCCACGATGTTACGTACGCGCACCGCTTGCGAGATTCGACAAACGAGATATACCAGTTCCGTGAGACCATGGTGGAGGACAAGTCTGAAATTAACGGAGTCTTCACTCTGTTAACCGAATGCTACTCTCCCACATGTACACGTGACCGTCTATGCTACTCAATTGCATGCCCACGCCGTCTGGAGCAGCAAGCTCGTCTAAACATGCGCATTCAACCTGGTCTCAAGCGCGAGGAATCCCGAGCAAGTTTGCACGAGGAAAAGGACCAAGAAGAGCAGAAACTGTGGATCAATACCGTACCAAAGGAGATTTCGGACAGTGTGTCGGAGAAGGAGCAGAAGAGACAAGAGGTTATCTCCGAGCTCATGTACACTGAGCGCGATTTCGTCAAGGATCTCGAGTATCTTAGAGACTTCTGGATGAAGCCCTTGCGCAACCCCGCAACATCACCAATTCCCGAGCACCGCCGCGAAAAGTTTGTCCGTACCGTCTTTTCCAATTGCCAAGAGGTCTACATGGTCAATTCCCGCATGGCCGAGCAACTTACCAGACGCCAGCAAAAGGAGGCCGTTGTCCGAAACATTGGAGACATCTTCCTGGAATTCGTACCTCATTTTGCACCATTCATCAAGTACGGTGCTAACCAGCTCTTCGGTAAGTACGAGTTTGAGCATGAAAAGCGCACCAACACCGCCTTTGCCAAATTCGTCGACGAAGTCGAGAGAATGAAGGAATCCAGAAAGCTGGAACTCAACGGTTACCTTACTAAGCCAACCACGAGGCTGGCCAGATATCCGCTGCTTTTGGAGAACATTGCCAAGTACACCGCGGACGACAACCCGGACAAAGAAGATATCCCCAAAGTGATTAGCATCATCAAAGACACGCTGTCAAAGGTCAACATCGAATCCGGCAAGGCAGAAAACCACTTCAACCTTATGCAGCTCAACAAGGATCTCAAGTTCAGGCCTGGCGAGTTTGTCGATTTGAAGTTGACAGATGAGAATCGGCAGTTGGTATTCAAGGGCACGTTGAAGAAGACGCCGACTGAGGCTACTGGCGACATTACCTGCTACCTCTTCGACCATGCTGTTCTGTTGGTGCGTGCGAAGACTGTAAACAAGCGTGAGGAGCAAAAGGTCTACAAGAAGCCAATACCTCTGGAACTTTTGGTCATCACGCAAATGGAGGAAGTCAACCCCAAGCTGGGCATTGCAAAGAGGCCTTCAGCAAACTTGATTGCTGGCAAGGCCATTGCTGCGGCAACACCAAAGAACAACGACCCCAAGCAGCAAGGCTATCCCATTACTTTTAAGCATCTTGGAAAGGGTGGATATGAATTGACTCTCTTTGCGAGCACGCCAATCTCCCAGCAAAAATGGATGGAGCACATTGATTCACAGCAGCGAAGTCTGAGGGAGCGCAGCAACATCTTCACCAAGACTATCGTCCACGAGGGTCCCTTCTCTCTTAACTCTCCTACTACTATCCGGGTTACCTGCGCTGTTCCTCTGGGTAAGTATATCTCAAGTTTGGCCAAGTCACATACTAACATGATGCAGATGGTGGTCGCAAACTGGCCCTCGGAACGGACAATGGTGTATTTGTTGTAGAACGCAAGCCAAAGGATGCTTCGATACGTCCTCGTCGTGTGCTGGACTGCAAGGGCGTTACCCAGATCGAAGTCCTCGAGCAACACGCCATTGTGCTGGTCTTGGCCGACAAAACTTTATACTCCTACTCGACCGATGCTTTGGAGCCCGACGAGTCGCAAGCCATGGCCAAGCGTCCCCGAAAGATTTGCCATGCCAACTTTTTCAAGGCTGGCATTTGCTTGGGCCAACAGCTGGTCGCTGCGGTCAAGACGTCGGCGCTGTCAACTACAATCAAGGTATACGAACCCAAGGAGCAGATGGGCAACAAGAACAAGAAGTCTGGTTTCGCAAAGATGATGTTATCAACGGGTGGCGCCGATCAACTCAAGCCCTACAAGGAATTTTACATTCCTACGGAGTCGACGTCCATTCATTTCTTGCGTTCCAAGCTCTGCGTTGGTTGCGCACGTGGCTTCGAAGTTGTCAGTTTGGAAACCCTCGAAACGCAATCACTTCTTGACCAGGCCGACACATCCCTCGACTTTGTTGTACGGAAGGAGAACATCAAGCCAATTCACATTGAGCGCATGGCAAGTGAGTTCCTGTTGTGCTACACAGACTACTCATTCTTTGTCAACCGCAACGGCTGGCGAGCACGACCAGACTGGAAGATCACTTGGGAGGGTACACCGCAAGCCTTTGCCATCTTCAACCCATACATCCTTGCTTTCGAGCCTAGCTTTATTGAGATTCGACACATGGAGAGTGGTGGCCTTGTGCATATCATCACTGGGAAGAACATTAGGTGGCTACATACATCAACAAGAGAGGTACGTCATTTCGATTCATAGATGTCTGTGAAAATAAGAAACTAACAAAATCCAGATTTTATACTCATACGAGGATGAATTCGGCACCGACGTCATTGCCAGCCTGGACTTTTGGCAAACCGGAAACGCAAAGCAATCACTCGATGTCCCACGCGGCTCCGAAAAGAGCTAGACGCAACGATATATAATCAGTAAAAAAAGGAATTCAGCGTCAAGCTCTCTCTGTTCTCGAACACAAACGAGTACCAAAAATGAAGCGGGCGGCAGACGTTTACGCAATTTCTTATCTACGGCTGTGTAACCGACGCTACCGCATTCAATCAAGGCTACCTACTCCGACAGTCTCGAGCAATGAAACTCAGAGAGAGAGAGAAAGAGAAAAAAGAGAAATCGAGCTAGGCAAATGCAATGACAACTGTTTGCCTCGGTCGAGCCGCGGATCGGTGATGGCAGTGGCAATGGAAAGGGGGGAGGTCTGGGGAGACAGGCGGAGGAGGTTTCACTTCATTCATACTTCTCTTCCTTCACAACAACAACTTTTGTCCCTTTTTTTCTTCTTTTTTTCTTTGTTCAAAGGAAAGAGAAAGAGAGAAGGGAGGGGGGCCAAAGAGAGACCATTTGTATCATATTAGACTAAAGGGGGGGGTTGATTGTGCTTGAGGGCTGTGTGTTTTGTTTTTCATTCGCTTTTTTGAGGGGGGTGAATAAAGACATCCATTGCCGGTTTGTGGAAGGGAAGTAGGGATGAGGAAGTTGGGAGGGAGGGAGGGGAGATTTTTTTAAAGAAAAAAGGGTAGTTGAGGATCGAACGCAGCTTTTAATTTGAAGAAAGCGATTCAGCGAACTTTTTGGGTGTTTATTTTTGCGAGATGTCTCTTTTTCGGGTGGTGGTGGTGGTGGTTCATCTTTTGAGGTGTTGTATGTAGTCAAGAGGCGCAGTTGGAGCAGGGATCGGGTGAGGAGGATTTATCATTGGTCCCGGAGATTTTTTTTCCCTGCTTCCACTTTTTTTGTCCGCGCGATTCTGGGGATTGGCAAACGACTCTTTTTTTTCTTTGGTTCGTTTCTTGTTTTCGATATCGGTCCGATACCCACTGATTTTTATCTCGGTTTTAACACAATAACAAAGCGGGGTGAGGGAAGGGAAGGGACGGGACGGGTGGAGAGAGAGGAGAAGGGGGAATGAGAACCAAGGCGAGAGAGATATTTGTACGGACAATCCAATGGTTGAGTTACTATTTCTTGTTCAAGTCAAAATCAAGTTCTCTTTTAAAAAAAAACAAAACAAAAAGACATTCTAGTTCAAGGAACGTATCAACTATTTGAACCTATTGGGTCTTCCTAGATACGAGTTGTGAAAAAAAAAGCCGCAGTTACCGCAATAATAATAAGTCGTTTGCCTCCAAACTTACGTGGTCCAACGAAGCTGGGCCACTTTTACCCACCCCGTCTTGTCTCCACCCCCCCCCCCCAGCCCACGCACCCATGTCGCCCGCCACGAATCCCAGCCCGCGTCCACTTACCACCCCTTACAAGTTAGCAAGAAATAGCCCGCCCTGGGTTTCAGACAGCAGCGGCCATGTCTTTCGATCACGCTAGTACGGCGGGGTCATCGTTCGTTTTCTCCAAGTCCACCATCGTGTCTGGAGTTGTTTGTTATTGTGTTAACGGCTCGCATACTCGTTTGCTTATTAGCCTAGGTCACCCAGAGTTTCTGGAAACAGTAAAAAGAGAAGGGAAAAAGGGAAGGTTTAGGGAATCATGGCTCCTCCGGGTATCTTGTGGGTGTCGTCACGGATTACGCATCCCGAGAGGCTTTCGGCGGATAAGTTTTCGGATTGGTATGAGAATGTATGGTTATTTCTTTCTTCTCTTCTTACTCAATTTTTCGGGGTTTTTCTTCTTCTTTGCGAAGTTGAGTTGGTTGCAGGGAGGAGGGAGTGATGAGCTGTGAAGTTGAGAAGCTGACGCTGAGTGTGACTGTCTAGGACCATATCAAAGATGTCCTCGCATTACCTGGTGCTACGGCTGCCGTGAGGTATCAAGCTGTGGAGCGGCCGGTAAAGGATGGAGGGGAGGAGAGGGCATATAGTGGGGAGATGCCTTGGTTGGTGAGTTTCATTTCGTTTTTCTGGAAACAGATTGTTCACTCTCGTGTTATATGTTATACATGAAAGTATGGCGAGCAGCTATGTTACATGTTTCTGATTTGAACATGAAGAGAGGCTTTTCTTATCCTTAGGTGTTGGATGCTAAGTGATCAATAGGTCGTGTATGAACTCCCAGATATGGTGGGCTTTCGCGAATCAGACGGTTTCAAGGACATCGCCCAACGAAATCCGCCCAGCCAAGAGCAAATTGAGACTATCTACGTGAATACGCAGTTTTCTGTTCGGTTCTACGAGGAAGTGCAGCTTTTTGAGGGGGAGAAGGCTAAGGAGAATGGTACGTCTTCTCTTAATCTCACCTGATCTCACGTGAAAAAAAAGAATTGGGTCATTTTATTCCCGTTGCAACTTCAGTTTTGCAAGTATGAAGAGAAGGAGAACATTCTAAATTTACGATTTAGGCCCCGTAAAATTCATCATTTCAGGTGCTCTCGAGCCACCCTCCGACACTGCTTCCACCGCCGATTTCGACAGATGGTACCGCGAGGAGCACATCCCCCTGCTCTCCCGCATACCAGGCTTCATTCGTTCGCGGCGTTACGAGGTGAAGACCGCGTACACGCTCAACCAGCTTCAGCCCTCGGATGATATGGAGAAAGTGCCAAAGTACTACGCGCTGCATGAATTTGGGGGTGAGGCGCTGCCGTGGAAGCAGATTGAGGAGAGCGTGGGTACAGAGTGGGCGAAGAAGGTTATGGCGAGTGTGCAGAAAGCGGAGGTGGGGTGGTACAAGGTTAAGAGGGTTTTTCCTGAGAGTGAATGGGGGAATGTGGGCAACTAAGTATGATGATATGCCAATTACAATACCGAAATAAAGGGCTTGATAAACTGTATTTATATATCTCACTCCTTCCTCAACAGCGCTAAATGCCCACCCGCACTAACGGTATCACCAGGCTTCACAAGTACCTTTTCTACCTTGATCTTCCCCGCTTTAGCCACAGACTCGGGTGTCTTGACTGCGATTTCCAATTTCATCGCTTCGAGAATGACGATCTGGTATCCTTATTAATACAACGCTCACATGTCCAAACACGACAAAAAAAAAGTGTAACTTACCACCGTCGTCTCTCCAACCACATCTCCTTCCTTAACCTCCACCTTCCACACATTAGCGTCAACCGGTGCCTCCACACCCACAATATCGGGATTATCCAGCAACTTCTCCACCGTCCCCTCATCAACCCCACTCTCCGCCTTCTCCCGTCTCCACCTCTCCAAACTCTCCTGCTCCGCCTTATTCATCTCCTCCTGCGCCTCCGCCTGCTTCTCCCTAATCCGTCCAACCTCCTCTTTTGTCTTCTCCAACACCTCATTATGCCCCGCCATGTCGAACTCCACCTCTTCATACTCCCACTTGTACTTTCCCGCGCGAAACCGTCCTAGCAACTCATCCAGCTCCTGCTCCTTAACTTGGTAGAAGGTGAGAATGTCAAAGTCGCGGAAAATCCAGGGTTTACCGTCGAACCCGGGCTTGTAGGAGTAGTAGTCCCAACAGGGGACTGTGCGACCGGTCATTTGGTAGCCGCCGGGAGAATCGACGGGGTAGATGGACATGCAGCTTCCGGCCCAGCCGACGGTTCCTTCCGGGGTGAAGACGCGGCTAGGGTTCATTTTGGGGGCGGAGATGCGGTGGCGGGGGTCGACGGGGAGGGAAACGGTGTTGCCGCAGAAGAAGCCGACGACGACGGCCATGAATTGACCGGTGAGGTAGAGCTGCTTGAGTTGCTCGGGGGTTAGAGCGTTGTTTTTTGCTACGAAGGCGAGGTTGTCTGGGAGGTAGGGGGCATGTGGGCGTTGGTTGGTCATGTAGCGTTGAGTTGCTTCGTCTTGCAGTTTGGACTCGAAAGAGATAGGGAGTTTGAAGACGCGGGTCGGTACTTTTGTGCTTCGGAGGTCGCCGAGTTGGAACTCGATGGATTGAAGGTGGGCGATTAGATCTGATCGGAGGATTTTGGAGCCATCATAGAAAAGGAGGAGGGAGGTGCAGCAGCCGACTGTGTTGAAGAGATTGGATCTGATATTCTCTGGAGTCGACTCAGACCGGATAGCGTTTTCTAGAGCCGTGACACGACATCGGTGGTTGAGATCAAAGTTCTCGTTTCCGTACTCGACCAAAATGTGGTCGTCTCCTCCTTGGCGATATCTGACTTGAGGAGTGTTGGCGTCCTCTGGCTTTTCCCATATTACAGCCTTTCCAATGTCATCCACATGGAAGTCGCAATGGGCTCCTTGCAACTTTTCAATCCCCTGGAAGGTGCCTCCGCTCTTGATAGCTTTCTCAACAGAGTCGAGGAAGCTATCATTCCACTTCCGCTTCTTCAATGCATCTTCGAGCCCAACACGGACATATCGAATAGTGTTGCCTGCCTTGAGCTGCCCCAGCTTCCACCAGTCTGCTCTGATGACCGTCGTGCTACTCGTGAAGCCACCAAAGTTTGGACAATCAACCGGAAATATACACGGATCGTCTCCTGTCCAGTTCAGGGTACCCAGTGGATATCCATATTCAATCAGATTACTCGGATGTGCACCACCCTGGCCACCATCTTTGCGCGCCCATTTTGGTACTGGGCCAACCAGACGAATACCGCTTCGAGAAGCGTTATGGGAGACCTTCCACTCAGTGTTATAGATTTGCTCAATGAATTTTGGATCGAAATAGCCTTCGTCATGCGGACCAACCATGGCCCGAATCTCCCATTTCGACTTGTACACTGGGCGGAGATGCTCAGGAAGCGACATGCTCGTGAATGACTCTGGGAGTCTATCTGTTATTTGCAGCAAGTCACCCGGTGCAAGTGCACGTCCTTGGTATCCCCCAATAGCAACAAGCGGCGATGTCGATTTCGAGCCAAAGTAATCTGCTACTGATGGAAATCCGCTGTAGATAGCTAGATAAGAACGGCATCCACCGCCAGTTGTCTTCCCAATTTTGAGTTTCTGACCAGCTTCGATCTTTACGCTTGTCCACATAGGAAACTCTTTGTCGTCTAGGGTTGCTTCTATTGGTGCACCGCACAGAGCTACGATGGCCGGGCCTACGAATCGCAGCTCTGGTCCCGTCAAGGTGAGTTCTAGGGCTTCTTTTGTCCGAGGATTTCCTACGAGCATATTTGCAATTTGGAAGGCTATGGGATCCATTGGTCCGGAGTGAGGCACACCTTTTCCGACGGTTGGTCTCGCTGGAAGGTCTTGGATAAGAGTGTATGCACCCGCTGATATCACATCAATGGCATGGGGTGTATAAGTGAAGTCTTTGAGGAAACTAGTCATTGTGTTACCGTTTTTGAATCGAGCGTCTTCCAGGATATAAGCTAGGAATTCGAGGTTTGTTGGTGGTCCACTGATTAGGGATTGTGTTAGGAGATCTTTCATTGAGGCGATTGCGCTGTCCCTGGATTGAGAATGAACCATTGCCTTGGCTATGAGGGGGTCTGCAAACCGTCAGTTTGTTATCCTGTCTGAACATAGAACAGAGGATATCACATGTGCAAACATACCATAATTCGGCGTAATCCTCACACCCGTAAACACCCACGTATCAATACGCCCACCAGGGACATCCTTCCACTCAACCTTCTGCAGCAAACCCGGCGAGGGAGCATAATCTCTGAGCGGATTCTCAGCATATATCCTCGCCTCAACAGCCGCCCCAAAAGGACCCGCAGGCTGCATATCTTTCAACGTCTTGCCATCCAACCCATGTCTCCCAGCAAGCTGTGCATCCGCCTGCTTGAGCATAAGCTCGACTAGATCGACATTGTAGCACAGCTCCGTAATGCCATGTTCAACCTGCAATCTCGTATTCATCTCCAAGAAGAAAAAATCTCCAGATTTGTCATCAACCAAGTACTCAATCGTGCCCGCAGACCCATACTTGATAGATTCTGCAAGCCGCACAGCAGCATCACCCAGCTTCTTGCGTAACTCGGGATGCCTCTCGACAAAGGGGCTCGGACACTCTTCAATAACCTTTTGGTGACGGCGCTGAATCGAGCATTCTCGCTCGCCAAAATGTATCGCTTGGCCCTGGCCGTTGCCAAAGACCTGGACTTCAATGTGATGACTGGCAGGGTAGAAAGCCTCGATGAACACACCAGGGTTCTTAAACAGCGTCTTTCCTCTTGATTGAACCATGCGAAATCCATCCCGCACCTCCTCAACCTTGTTGCACGTGATAAGTCCCATACCGCCGCCTCCCCCCGTTGCCTTGAGCATAACCGGAAACCCAATCCGCTCAGCTTCTTTGGCAGCTTCTTCTTCATTTTCAACTAATCCTTTCGTTCCAGGTACAATGGGTACATTCGCCGCTTCTGCAAGTTCCCTCGCAGTATGCTTGACGCCAAACGCTTCAATCGCCTCAGGCGATGGTCCCACCCACGCAATCCCCGCATCACCAACTAGTCGTGCGAAATCTGCATTTTCTGATAGAAAGCCGTAGCCAGGAATGATGGCATCTGCGCCTTTGTCTTTTGCTATTTTCAACACGGCGTCTGCGTCTGTATACGCTGTTGCGTTGCTTCCTGGAAGTAGTACCGCGTCATCTGCATCCCGTACATGCTGCGACGCAGCGTCGGCCTCAGAATAGATGGCGATGGTCTTGATATTGAGTTTCTTCGCCGTCTTACAGATGCGGACCTATGTCATAAATTCATGTCAAGTCAGTTAACTTTGTATCGACAAACACCCGGTCCTTTGCGTAGATTGTAATGTTGACACTCTACATACCGCGATCTCACCACGATTCGCAATAAGCAACGTCCTTAACTTCTCCATCTTATACCAAAACCCATGAAGTAATTACTCAAAAAATCCATAAACATTGCATCACGATAGCTTCATGAGGATGGGGACCAATTTATCGACGTCGCATCGTTGGAGCCCCATCTATCCGTCTGCGCCGTACCATCTCCAAGAAACCCCGCCTTCCCCTTCCGCCTCCCTCCGTATCCGCGGGAGACCCTCAACCCCTCCCGCAGTTGGAGACAAATCCCTCTGCAATTGGCGCGCCGTACACGCCGCACATGGCTCGATTGGGTAATGTTGAAGGGACACGAGATTGCCTACGTCAGCGGGGCAACGTATAACAGAGAAAGCGGGGTCGATAACAAAGTTTGGAGACGATGACGCTGGCGGGTGTGACAGGTGAAGTGGAGTAAGAGTGGAGACGACTGTAGGATGATAGTTGTTAGATGTGGAGAATGGTTTGATTTATATTAGTTTCGTTGGCTGCGTGTACTACCTGTCAGACGTTTTGTTGTACTACATACCTCGAGTGTTTTTACGAAAGAAAGCACACGGCTATCACAGCAACAATGCCAGCAATCAAGCACCCCGTAAAGATCAACGTCGATCTAGGCGAAGGCTACGGAAACTTCAAATGCGGACCAGATGAGGAATTAATCCCACTAATTGACTATGCAAATGTAGCCTGCGGCTTTCACGCCGGGTGAGTCTTCCTCCCTCCCCCTCCCCCTATTCACATCAACCTTCCATTCTCTTATCTCTACTTGCTCTCAAACACCCCTCAAAAACAATACACAAGAAAACTCTCCAATATATATATATATACATTTTTAACTTTACATCCAATTAACACAAAAAACCCCGGTCATAAAGCGACCCCCTAATAATGCACAACACAATCCTCCTCTGCAAATCCCACTCCATAGCCGTAGGCGCGCACCCAGGCCTCCCCGACATCCAAGGCTTCGGGCGGCGCGAAATCTCCATGACGCCCGAAGAACTCACCGCCTTGACCCGCTACCAAGTCGGCGCTCTGCAAGCCTTTCTCGACGCCGAAAACATGCCGCTGAACCACGTGAAGCCGCACGGCGTCCTCTACGGCATGATGTACCGCGATGAAACGGTTTGTCGGGCGGTGTACGCGGGGGTGCCGCGGGGAACGACGGTGTTTGGGCTCGCGGGCACGAATCATGAGAGGGTGGCGAGGGAGATGGGTTTGGGGTTTGTGGCCGAGGTGTATGGGGATGTCAAGTATAATAGGGATGGGACGTTGGTTATTGATCGGAAGAAGAAGTACGTCTTCCCCCTTTTTTTTCCTTTCCTTTTTTTCCCTTACCCCCGGGATTCGAGGGGTTGAAGGTTGGGTTGAGTGGGGGGTTTTTTTTTAAAACGAGGCAAAGTTGCTGACTGGTGGAAACAGGCCGTGGCATCCGGATGAGACGAGGAGGCATGTAAGGAGTCAGGTGGAGAATGCGACTGTGACGGCGGTGACGGGTGAGGAGGTAAAGTTGCCGGTGGGCGATTACGAGGTTTCGCTTTGTTGCCATTCGGATTCGCCGGGGGCAGTGGAGATTGTTAAGGCAGCGAGGGAGATTGTGGATGAGTTTAATAGTAAGCACTTTCCTAAGTCGTAGCATGGACTAGATTGGCAAGAGAGAGAGTTGGCAAATGAATAGGGGTGGTGTTTTATGATACGACCTAGTTGGAGGTAACTGTTCAAATGTAGAACAATATCATTCCTCGAACATTAGTCTATAGTGGGTGTCATGACGAAGACAAATTAAGAACATTTGTCTGTGACGAAACCAAACAAGTCTCCGCTTGGAGACTTCTCTCGCTCGTACCTACGTTCGAAAACTAACACACATGACCTTCATTCTTCAAACATCCATTCATCCAAGGCAGTCTACGCAGAACATTATCACAAAATCCAAGAAAACCCAACCTACACACCCATCAAGACACCATGGTAATCACACATCTCCATCACACCCACCCATAAAAATCACCACACCAACTCTGTCAGCGAAGAAAAACCCTCGCAAACATTGATTTTTCTACCTTATCCAAAGCTACTTCCTGGCCCCTTCGCCCTGAAACCCCCCCTTCGCCCCCCAAAAGTAAAAGTTCAACCAACCAAGCATCAAAGCACGAAAAGATTCCGAAAATAAAACCAAAAAAACAAAGTCCCCAAATCGCCAAATAAAAAAACACGAAAACTCAATCTAGTCAAGTTTTTTTACTTTTTTTACATTTCTCGCCTTTCTCGTTCTCTTTTTATGATTCTAATGTAACAGCATGACACGCCCCGCATAGTCGGGCGAAACAAAGATATGAAAAAAAAGCCAGATAGCAGACAGAGAAAGGTTTCTCGAAGTTTGAATTGAGATATAGATGTTTGACAAGCCGTTTTGTAGAGTGGAAAAAAAAGATGACGGTTATGGATGAGAAAGGAAAAGGATAAAAATAAGAGCATAAGCGAAACGTTGATAGAAGAAAAAGAAGAAGAAGAAAAGGTATGGGGATATCGATGAAGAGCAGTAAGAAGCGAACGTGAGAAAGATAGGGTTGTCGCGGAAAAAAAAGAAAGGAGAAAAAGGAAAAGGAGGAGAGTGAGAGAAAACGGCCATGGGTTACAGCCGTGCGGTTCCTGATGTACCAATGCCCCTTCCCTTGGTAGCACTGCCAAAATGCACAGCAGGACACACTCCTGTCATGTCAGTGACTCCCCACCACGCGCATCTCTGTAGAAATGGTCCAAAAAAAAAGAATCACCTATAAGCCCAGAAAGGGTTTATTCAGCAGGAAAGGATAGAAGGAGGAAAATCCTAAAAGCTTTCATAACGATCACCTCTGGGGTATCTCGGTAGAAATCTCTTCTGAAACCTCATCTTCAGGTCGAGTCCTCAAGCCACCCTCGACCTGAATACCCTGCTGAACCCATTCCGTCTTCTCAATATCCTCCAGACTCTTGCGGCCGCGCGAGACCTTCTTCAAGAGCCCCTCGACGCATTCGCGGGCGCCAGTCCACTCTTTACCCTTTTCGGCATCCCACTCGCCGTCCTCGTCGCCAAACTTGACCCACGACCAGTCACAGCGGGCAATGCGGTGGGCGGCTCTGCTACGGGATGCGGCCTTGCCTGGCGGAGGATCAAACGGCAGACGGCCCTCCATCAAAGCATACAGCACGACGCCAAGGGCCCAGGCATCAGTGGAGCGGCCGTCGTAGGGCTGGCCGAGCAAAATCTCTGGGGCTGCATAATCTTCACTTCCGCATCGGGTGGTTAGGAGAGGAGATTCAGGGGGCGCAGGGATGCGTCGAGAGAGACCGAGATCTGTGAGTGTCGCTATGGCATGCGGGTGGGCCTGGGGGTTCTTGAGAAGAGGCACGGCAGACACAGGGATGTTGAGCAGGATATCTGGATGGCATTAGTATCAGACAGCACCAATAGAAACGTACCAATTTCAAAGGTGGAACGAGCAGAGAGAGTGAGAGAGAGTGTGGAAGCAGTACTTTCTAGTTTGATGTCGCGGTGCACAATGAGTTGGCAATGCAGATAACGCACGGCGCTGACCATTTCAGCAAATATGCGTTGGACAATGCCGAGGGTCAGCTTGTCGCGATGGTCACTGGCTACATCAAAGAGATCACCACCGGGACAGTATGAGAGGACAATCAGGGCTTGGGCGTCATCGTGATCGAAAGCTTGCAAATGGACAAGCGACGGGTGTGAAACGGATCGAAGCATCTCAACTTCTCGCTTGAGGCTCAGTTCTACACGCTCTTCGTCGGCACCACCGGCCGGACCATGCTCAACAACCTTGATGGCGGCCAGTTTCCGAGGGTCCAAAAGGGTTTCGTCAAGACGATCCTTGGCTGCTGTCTTTTCGCAGGTGGCCAAGTAGACCTTGCTGAATGTACCTTGGCCAAGTTGGCGGACAGGACGCCATAGCTTCTTTGTTTTTTGGGGCCCAGTTCGCACAATCAAGTACTGCTTCTTGTCCTCTTCGGTAACATCTTCTTCCTCGGTGTCGGTAACGCTGCGGTTGCTGGCGTTGCTTGCGGGGGGAGTAGGAAGCCCGGCTGGAACTTTTGCGGGGACCAGACCCCGTTGTGTGGCCAGATACGTCTCGCGGTTCATGCGGTGTTGGGCGGCGGCGCCGTCTGGTTCTACGGCGGTGTTGCCGATTGTGACATGGCGAGGGCGGGCGTTGTGCATTGAGTCGGGCGTGTACTCGCTCACGCTCCTGTTGCGTTCGCGAGCAGCCTCGTTCTTTTGGTGCGAGTTTGCAGCGGCGGCCTCGATGGCAGCGGCCTTGAGGCCCGAGTAACCCTTCTTCTTGAGCGACGGCGAGGGTGACAACGTGCCCTTGGCGAACATGGCTACCGAGTCATCACGAGAAGCGCCCGAGAAGCCCCGGGAGCGAGGTCGGTGTTCGGCTCTCTGCCATGGGCCAGGCGAGTCGCCCATCACCAGTGGGGAGGGGAGCGGGGTGATGTCGCCCAGCGCGTTGAGTGCGGGCGAGGATATTGCTGAGCCGGGCGACAGCGAACCCAGGCTCGCAGTCGACCAGGCCGTCCTCAGGTAGCCGTCCTGGATGGCAATCGGCGCCGTGGCCGACTGACGCAGCGCGTCGCTGCTCCCGTTGGCGTCCAGATTGGCGGGATCGAGCGAAACCGCCCGTGATGAAGTTGACTTTGAGATGGCAAGGTCCGTGTCTAGTTTGAGCGCCGTCGAGGGAGCGCGAACGTGGTATCTGGGCAGCGAGGGATCCGTGGTGCCGGGTTCAAACGAGAGGTCCGAGGGCGTGAGGGTCGAGGCAGCATTGGGGTGTGCGGCAGACAGCAGTGAGGCAGTGGTAGGCGTTGCAAGGGTGCTGTGCTCCTGGTTGGGCGTGTCAGCAGCAGCAGCAACAGCAGCAACAGCGGCGGCGGCCCTTTGGTCGGCGCAAGAAGGTAAAGGCGCGGGGCCAGGAGAGGCTGACGCTGGGCCCTCCATGGTGTTGTATTGCGGCGGCGGCGGGACACAAAGGAGTGGCTCGTCCATTAGTCGTCGGTCTACGGTCTGCGGGTAATGCTAAACATGGACGTGCGCCTCGTGTGGCATCCCTAGCGGCATCCCCTCCCAGCGTCGGCCCCCATGGCTTGCATGCAGCCCTGCCCATCCTATTGCAGAGGCTGCCACACTAGGACACGACCGGCCGGCAATCTTGATAACCTTCAAACAGGCAATAGTCTCGCCCATTGTACCGCCGATCGGCACACAATGGGCTAGCTGACGACTGAATGAAGGACAGACTGACCGTGTGCCGCTCATCTCTTTCCCTTTCCTCACCATGCATAGATGCCGACCGTCGCGCCATGGCACAGAACCTCGTCATCACTGCTATATCTTCTATTCGTCAACCTACTTGCTTGGCTTCCCCCTAATGCCCTATAAAAGTACACACCTCATGCCATCCGGGAACCCTCTGCTTCATCAACTATAATACAAAATCTTAACAAAAGACTAGCTCGGAAGCTTACATCTCGCCCGAACCCAATCTCGCTAATGCAATCTTCCTTCTTCGAAAGCCCGAGCGCCTTCTGGTTTCTTTTCTTCCATCTGTCATGGCCAACCAGGACGGGCCTCTAGTCCCCTTGTCGACTTCATTTCGCCTGTCCGTGGTTGTTAAACGGGTACTGCTGGTCAGATGAGGAAGGAGAGTAACCGAAAGGGGAGTAGCTGCTACCAGAGTATCCCGCGTTGAAGTGACCTCCACTGGCAAAGTGGTAAGGGTTCGTTGGGTATGAAGGGCGATCTTCTTTGCTATTGCGCCCAAGATAGCCGGCACGCGCAGCCCACTGGCCGCCCTGGTATCCAACACGACCATCATTCGCAATGTCTAGAGGCGATATCATGCTGCGGTTATCCACCACATTGCCCATGTCAGAGACAGGGCCATGGTTTCCAGCGAAGCCTTGGGACTGGGGGTAACTCTTGTTTGGAGTACTGATCTGCCCGCTCACAACATAGGGCTGACTCGTCTTCTCCTCTGACGACTTTTGCATGGCCTGCAACATCTGCTTCAGCTCCTTGATTTCTGATTCCATGCTCGCCATCTTTTTGCCTTGATTTGTGAGAGTATCGGGAATGCCCTCGTTGATGTTATTCTTGAGCAGGTCGAGCGTAGCGTAGACATTGTCGTGGTTGGTCGTGATACTGTCGAAGCGACTCATGTATTCGTGTATACGAATGACATGTTCTTCAAGCTTATTCAATCGGGACTTGATGTCATCATAATGCTTGTTGGTCAATGCCACCAATTCATCATGCCTTTCCTTAGACGTGCTCTTGTGCTGCTTGCTAAACATCTCGAGAAGATCCCAGGTTGTCTTGCCCACCACGTCTAGGTGCTCATTCGTCATGTAGAAGTGGTCGTCAATGCTCTTGGGCGAAAGGGGTGGTGGGAAGGGCCCAAAGTTAACATTGGGAGGCACCGACGGCCGGGCTGTGGGGACTAGCACTGGTGCTTTGTGCAGTGGGCTAGGAACAGCACTGGGACAATGAGGTCGGAAGTCGCCATGTGACTCGCTTCTACCAGGACCAACCGCATCCAGCATGTCAGTGAGCCGTGAAGACGACTGATCTGGGTGAGGAGGACCGCCCTGACCATTGTTATGTGGCGTAGGGTTGCAACGCTCGTTGATGCGAAGCTCTTGCATAACGCGTGTCGTGATTCCAGTATCAGGCTGTATTCCCTCCGCCCTAGCACGTTGTTGGTTCTGGTAAAGTTCTCGTGCAGTTGGTGAGTTTGGATCAATGTCTCTTGGGTCGCCCTGGAAGACCATTCTGATAGAGCCACTGGTGGAGACCTTGCGTAGGTGCGGTTGTGATTTGAACTCAGAAGGAAGTGAGTATACGAAGCGGCTAGCGTCGGTCTGAGGGGTATTGTCAGTATTTTTTTCCCATGAAACAATGTGTTTATTCAGTGAGAAGCGGGGTAATCGAGGTGAAGGTGAGGGTATGTGTGAGTCTGCGAGCCAACGCTGCTCCACTTCCGGTGAAGGCAAAATGCAGCAAAAATGGTAGACTCACATTTTTGGACGGTGTCTCACCCTCCAGAAACCCACGGGCAGGAATGTATTTGGGAGAGTAGAAGCGAGGCTTAAGTGGGCTGTAACTGTTCTGCTTGCAAATGTTGCTCTGGTGGTTCTCACTACTGTGGTCTGGACGAGGAAGGAGCGATGCCTCCTGACTAGTGCCTTCCAGCGGAGCACTGCGCTTGCCTTCAGACTTGGTCCGCGAATCAGTCCGCTCAGGGTAAGGCCATGTCAATGCCTCGCCCACTATCAACTTTGTATAATCCTCTGCGTCATAAGGGCGAAATTTTGTCGGACTACGGCCACTGTCCTTAGGCAAGGGGTCCAAGAATGGCGAAGGTGACAAGTCGAAGTTTGGTAAGTGCAACTGCATGCTTTTTTCACCTTTTTGGTCGTAACTTTGACGCAGGTCTTGAGCGGGAGCTACCCTACGAAGCGGACTCGCAGGCCTCTGGGTTGGAGGAGTGTCCTTGGCAGGTGGTGTCGGCGGGATTATGGAATTCGGCGACGCAACAAACGCAGACGTTGGAGAATTGTTCTCAGCATCAGATGATTGCATCTTGAAACCATGTCTATCAGGCGAGGCATTTCCGGTCGTGGGGCTGCATCGTAACGGACCATAGAGGTGACGATGGGCGTAGCTATCAGGGTTGACAACCTTTGTAGGCAGTGACTTTACGGTTTCCGAGCGAGAGGGCTTTGCAGGTCTTGGTTGAATAGGTACTGCCGGCTTGATGGGGCGGACTTGGACAACACGGGGCTGTCGTGCTGCTGTACCTAACACTTGAGCTGCTTTGGACGGCATTGGCGGCGGAGCTATGGAGCTAGATGACTTGGAGAACGGGTTGCGGATGTTTTGGAAAAGTTTCTTTTTCGGACTCTTTGTTGCATCATCTTGGTCTCCTTCCGTCTCTGTGTTGGTAGCCCGACATTGTGATCGTAGATCTTCTGTCCTAACGTAGATGTCGTTCTCATTCAAGTGACCTTTTGTCTTTTAGTCTTTACATTTTGAATAGAAGCTATCAACTTACCAGTAGTCGGGGTAGGCGGTATCTGTCCGGTCATCTTGAAAAAGTTTCTTTCAGACCGCGACTCAATTTCACTTCGAGCTGTCTTCTGGTCAAGGGCTTCAAGCTGAGCTTGAGCAGTCATAGCACTCTGCTGACTGCGGCCCGACTGCTTTGAGCGTGACGTTGAGCCACGGCGGCTTCCTACTGTAGAGTCGCGGTCTGATTTGATGGGAGACGACACGCGTGCCTGTTCCATGAGATTGTTGAGCGTAGCCATGGCGTTGCGGCTCCTACCAGGAGCTGAGTGCTGAGTTCGTGTCCCAGCCAGATCCGTGGGTGTGGTCATTGAGGTAGCGTCAGTTGAGTACTGCTCCTGTCGAACGGAGTGCGATCTATTTCGAGCATGTCGCTGAGGGTTCTGTTGGCTCACAGGTCTAGCATCTGGTCGAGGTCGACTGAAGTGCTGCGGGAGGGGGGGTAGGTAGGGAGAGAGGGGCGGAGGGCATTCCTCCTCTTCACCGAAGCGAAGAGACATGTCTGGAAGTCTTCCGGTGAAAGACTCTGTTATTGTTTGTGTGAGCCTGCTGCGGATGACTGTGAACGAGGGAGAGTGAACACACCCTATGGTATTGACTCGGGCGAAGTGAAAAGCTCTGTTATCTGTCACTGCCTACACTGTTAGTGCTTTGAGACTTTCAGGTTACAGTTGTCCACGTCCGGAGGTTCTTCGACTGCGGGTGTTTGTGTGTGTATGTGTGTGTGTGTGTGGAGAGAGAGAGTGAGGTTATTGTTGGACAGAGACGTCTTTGCTGCATACAAAGTGCTGCCACAGGCAACAGCGACGACAACAAACGCACGCCTCACTCACCTCGACTTTGAAGACAAACGAGAGATGTATAGTCTGGAAATGACGTATGGGAAAAAAGGTGAAAGGAGGGCAAAACTCAGCTACTCTGGTGCCAACTGCAGCACCAGAGGCATTGCAGTAGACCCCAGCTGTATGCAAGCAAGACGGCCTCGAATTGGGAACGTGGATGCATCTGTAGATGGAAACTGGAATGTGATGTTCGAATTGACTGTCATCCGAGCACTGTACAGCGCCCGTATGCCAGCCATATCAATATGTAGAGTGCAGAATGAAAACGAGCCTGGTAATGGCAGAAGAAAAAGATCGCTACCCACAAATGGCGCCTGTATTCGAAGAGGTATCCAAAAGATTCATCGCCTAATCAAGAAAGATCTGCAATCCAACGCTCCCTAGCATGCGGTTGAGCTCAACTGTCGCCTTCACCCGTGTTCAAAGTATGCAGCATTTCTTCCCCTTCTTTCTTTCTCCGCCTTCTTTCTTTGTCGCCGGTGGCTCGAGTGCTGCGACGATTGCCTGTGGCTGGGATTAGCATCATGGGAAGTGGGCAACTTGTCATGTCCACCTACCTCATCAAAGACATCTTTGAGCTTGAACTGAGTTAGCGCCGAGCACTCGACATACTTGACAGCACCAAGCTCGCGCGCCATTCGCTCGCCGTCTTCCTTCTTCACAGGAGCCATTCTCTGCTTGGACAGTTTGTCTTTTACTGACGCATCCTCCCGCAGATCTACCTGTGTGCCTACAATCAGACACGGCACACCGGGGCAGTGGTGGTGCACCTCGGGAAACCATTTCTCGCGGACGTTCTCGAACGAAGCGGGTGAGGTGACGGAGAAACAGACGAGGAAGACGTCTGTCTGGGGGTAGGACAAGGGTCGGAGACGGTCATAATCCTCCTGTCCGGCAGTATCGAAAAGACCAAGCGTATAGGGCTCGTCTCCAATCCTTCAACGCAGTCAGCAGCTGCTCCACCAATAACGGGCGGCCCAAAACCCTGGTCGGCCAGGAGCATGCATTGCTTTTCCAGACGTACGAGCGGGGGGGAAAAGCAAAGGAGGGCTCACATGACGGTCACGGCGTAGTTGTCGAAGACGGTAGGAACATATTCTGAGGGGAACTTGTTCGTGGTGTAGCTGATGAGAAGACATGTCTTTCCGACCGCACCGTCGCCGACGACGACGCACCTGCAAGTGGATGGTGTTAGTGAGGAGCACCAAGGGCTTGGGTTGGAGGAGGTGGAGGGCGTGACATACTTGATTGTCGCGACAACCATGGTGGAGGGCGAGAGCGTAGGGTACAGCTAGAGGCGTGGGGAGGTGGTAGTTGCAAGGGCCGGTTCCAAGGGCAGCAATGTCGTGTTTGACAGTGGCGTAGAAACGGTGACGGAAAGTCGGGGTCGGCCGCTGGGGACTAAGTAGGCGGTAATGCGGAGATGGAGCTACGGGCTGGAGCTAGAGCCGCAAGGTGTTATGCAAACGAGGGGTCGAAAATGAGTGGAGAGGGTCTGAGCAGGCCGGCTGGTCAGTCTCACACAGGATGCGACGACGAGGGCGAAGACAGCAGAGTCGGGCAGGCCTACCTGGGACTCGTCGTGCAGACGGGCGGCAGCGGCGCGAGAATCGGCGGGAGGGGGAGAGAAGGAGGGAGGGAGAGAGAGGAGGGTGAAACTCGAAACGTTAGACTGCGCTGAGGTCGGAGGAGCAAGGCCAGGCAAGGCGGTGGGTGGGTAGAGAGGGCTTGCGGGCGGTGGGCAGTGGGCAACGGGCGGAAGATGTGGCGGGCAGGCAGGTGAGGCAGTGCCAATGACGAGGCACGCGACCGGAGAGAGACAGCACGGGCGCAGCAGCCAGCGGCGGGGAGGCGAGGATGACAGGAGGGAAGGGAAGACGTTGAAGGCCTGGGATGGGGCTCGAGTGAGGTTGCGAGATGCGCCTACGGTAGCGGAGGGCCCTTGGGCAGGCCAGCGCAAAGAGGCCAATCAGTGAAAGTCGGTCTAGCACTGTTATCAGAACCTTGCATGCATTCGGCTCCCGCCTGTAGCTCGGGACCGGCGCAGACTGTATGTAGGGGAAGCATCTGTGTATGTGCATTTGATCTAAATCCGGACATATAACTGGACTTGTGTACGCGCTGCCGACTCGGCGGCTGCACAATTGCTCCTTGTGCTGTATGTAGACCGTGGACGGTGGACCGTTTTGCTGGCCAGACCCCCAAGCACACGAGATTAACAAGCATAGCACACACACGCACACTGCACACACTCAACGCGCGGCGGCCCCTAAGCCCACAGCGCTGCAGTGCACCATGGCGCAGCACACTGCATGAGGAGGAGCAGCAGCAGCAGCTGCTGCTGCTGCTACTACCACCGGAGATTAGCATTGGCCTAATAGACGCAGCACAACTCGCCCATGTATGCGGTTGACATGCTCTCGTGGCATTCACACAGTTGCACCCCTGACACGCCTGTCGGCCGCCCCAGATTTGACGCCATCCGTGCACCTCCAACAACGTGGCTGATCGCCTTGCCTGTCCAAGTCGACGCAGTGGCTGCTTTTTACTTTTACTTACTGCGTAACTACTTACTGCGCTGTGCTGTGCTCTACTGTGCTGTGCTGTGCTGTACTCTACTCTACTCTACTGTTTCGTCATGTGCAGTGCGCTGCTGTGCTCTGCCCTGCCCTGCTCTGCCCTGCTCTGCCCTGCTCTGCCCTGCTCTGCCCTGCCCGAGTCTGCTCTACGGCACTCTCCAGTCTGCTCCCCCGCCCCCAAGCAACTTCACCCATCCTCGGCCCAATCCCGCAACACAACCTACCGGCCGCCGTGCCACGCATGTGCTCGCCCAAGAAAGACATGTCTCGACTTCCTCCATGGATGATGCCATGTACCATGTGCTGCGTGCAGCAGCTGGGTGACGCTTCACTCGATTAAACTGCCTAGGCCTGTCCAACGCTGCAGGGCAACGCTAGCTCCAGTCGATCCCGCCAATCAATCGCTAGCGCCATCATGGAGGAACACTCGGCCCGTAAAGCTCGGGCCCCCGTGTCTCCATCTTGTTGCGCCTCACATGTGCAGTTGTAGTGTGAACAGAAGCAGAAGAGCAGAACAGCCAAACAGCGCAGCCCGAGCATCTACCCTCGATCCACCGTGTCCTGGCTCTTGAACCTGCTGCCATGCATCAGCTCGAAGATGAGCTGGATCTGCGCTACCACAAGGGCCTCGATCCCGACGTCTACTATCGCTGTCCAACCCTTGAAGTAACCGACTCTCCTTCACCCTCCTCCGATTCAGCTAAGGTCTTTTCTGTCTAGTCCCTTGCAGGAGCGCTGCGCAACGAAGTGGACAAAAATGCCTTCAGCTTCATTCCCACTCATGTTGTCACCGAATTTGTCTTTGCACCTGCTTCGACCATCACAATGCCTGTGACCCAGCAACCCAATCTTGATATTCTGATAGAGCCAGCCGACCATCTCCAAAGCATTGCCGTCGAGCATGCACTATGCAAAGACATCCATGGCAAACAACGCCTTCAGGTGCAGCGGGCGATTGCGAGGTACCTGCCTTTCTGCATGCGCTGCAACACATTGACTCATTCAATACAGATCCATCATTACAACCATCCAAGAAACAGATGGTTTTGCCTATTCTGAGCGCTCAGCTCAGAACAGAGACGGCAGCGATGGCGTGAGGTTCAAGTATGTCTGCTTAGACAGCCTGCAGAACAGATATCGCAAAAGTAACAAAAAGAGAGACGTGTCACATGACTCCGATGGAAGTGATGTCGAGGCTGAAAAAAACGGCAATGGTGCATTGCCTACCTATGACTGCGGGGGAGCAGTACACATCAAATTCTCCCTTAAGCGGGAAGCGATAAATGTTGTATACAAGCATAACCCTATACATACGGCACGCCCAGCCAGCGACAGGTGAGTTGCAGACATGAACCGGCTGAACAAATGCCTTTAACGTCCCCTTTACGCACGTAGCTGCCCGGCTGGTTCCTGTAACTGATTTTGCTGTAGCCCACTTGCGCCAGCCATGGATAATAACGTCGCGCCTCCAGCTGGAAGCGCACATGAAAAGCCGCCACGAAAAAAGAAACGTAATAAAGAAGCCGAGGCAGGTGTGGAAAACGAACACCGAAACACTGACCCTGGCATACCAACTTCTCCAGTATACCCAAGGCCATCGGCAAAGAAGCGCAAAAAGGAAGGTGCTGCCGTGTTGTCTAAGCCTATCCTGACTACATCCCTCAAGCAAAGCAAAAAGGCGAAATCACTCGCGTCATCTGCCAGACCTCGAAAAAACGTTGCTCTCAGCGAAGAATCAAGGTCACCATTGCCAGTCTCAGATAAGGCGTGCATTCGCTGTCGTGAAAAGAAGATCAAGTGCGACAAGGCCCAGCCTGCTTGCGATCAGTGTCGAAGAGGTCTCTGGGCATGCCAGTACGGTGTCTTGGCTCCAAAGAAGCAGCGATCAAAGAGTGGGTGTCTTCCCTGCAAGGAGCGAAGACGCAAGTGCACAGAAGAAAAGCCAGCATGTGCGTATTGTCTGCGTACAGACAGCGACTGTGAATACGCGGCTTACTCATCCGTTCGCTGAAAGTTCCCGACACCATTGTTACTCGCCCACGTGTGAAGTAAAAGACCCTGGTTACTCCAGATCCGACGCCAAGTCCGCCGTTATGGAGACGTAGAGCGGGGAAGATACATACCCATCAGCCACTTATTCCACTGTGCATCGCCAATTCCACGCCAAAGTCCACTTCCTAAACCTACACGGATTTGCATCCTCCCTCCTGACCGGAAAATCAGATGATGCAGTCTGTCGTGTCATGTGGACCTTGTAGCACAACTTGTTTACCTTACAAACTGTCGGAATTGACTACAAAAAGAGGTCGCATGAGCGTGTGCCAAGGCATACCAGAGGGGCACTTAAGCACTTAAGTAAACGGTCCCTAACATACTACAACACGTGAATGTCGAATGGTATGCTGGTCTTTACACTGAGAGGCTTTGCGAAAACATTAGTCGCAAACTACGACGTTCTCCATACTCCGAAACGGTGCGCGAATAGAAGAAGCCGCCACCTGATCAATTTAGTCCAGTTCATCGCTCATCACAGGATCTAACCGCTTACTCCCCGCAATTCTCTCAGGCCTTGACTATACGGCAATTGCATCCGTAGTGACTTCTCCACTTGTTATGCAACATGCCATTTTCCTATTCGCTGTATCCCCTGTTCGCCGGCTGTTAAACCTAGGAACAACGGCCCGCCACCATATATCCCTTCTACCGCCTCATCAAACATACCGATCATCACTTTACATCACACGTCATTTAGTCGCTCCCTTCTCGGTATGGGGAATGTACAAGGCTCCTCCGGTTCTTGCCACAATATGCCAAGTGATGCATTTGGCAAGATGCTCTTTTTTTCGGCTCACAAGTTCCGCAGAAGAAATAAAATCTGAGTACTTAAAGGGGTGACTTGCCGCTACTGTGGTGCATGTAGTAGACGACCCCCGTTGATTTCAAGGCATTGACATCTCCAACAATGCGGTCTGCCATCTTCCCGTTGCTAGCTACGGCGGCACTGTCTACAGGTGCATATTTACTACTTTGCACACCATGATAGCTACTGACACCATCAGCCATCCCTTTCGACCAGCCTACTTCGAAACGTGCAGTGGGTAGTTGGGATGACGCATACACAAAGGCAACAGCAGCACTCGCAAAGCTATCGCAGGATGAGAAGATTGGAATCGTTACAGGTACTGGCTGGTCGAAGAGTAACTGTGTCGGCAACACCAAGCCTGCCAGCTCGATTGGATACCCCGAGCTATGTCTACAAGGTAAGCAAACATGTTGCAGCTTGCATGTATTCTGCGGAAACCGTCTGACTAACGGCACAAAGATGGTCCCCTTGGTATCCGCTACGTCCGGGGTATAACCGCCTTTGCAGCTGGCATCCATGCTGCCAGCACATGGGACATCGATCTCGTCCGTGAAAGAGGTGCTTTTCTCGGCAACGAAGCAAAGCAATTGGGTATCCACGTGCAGCTAGGTCCGTCTGCTGGTCCTCTCGGCAAGTTTGCCAAGGGCGGCCGCAACTGGGAGGGATTTGGATCAGATCCTTATCTCCAAGGCATCATGATGGCAGAGACCATTGAGGGCATGCAAGAATCCGGTGTTCAGGCCACTGCTAAGCATTGGATTGTGAATGAACAAGAACTCAACCGAGACACTATGAGCTCCGATGTGAGCGACAGAGTTTTGC